GATGACCGTACACAGTATAGGCTTATAGTCAATTAGTAGTAGCTTGTTTTGGCCGTTGGTGCCGGCTGCAATTGCGGTCGCCCCCCTCGTTCTTCAATCTCAAGGGCTGTGCGGTGTAGACAATGCCTTGCAAAGCACAGCACCCAACAGGCGCTAAACTCCATTGTTGAAAGGGGATGAGGAGGAACATGGGACACGATGGTCTTACCGATCGAGGTATAGAGACGACTCTCTAACTGCCCGAAGATCCTAGCTTGGACCCCTCGCCCCCTTTTGCCCACGATGATCAGCAAAACCTTCGCCTGCTCTGACCCCATATACACAGTTTGTTGAAACATGGATTCGCGTTCCTCTCAAACGACAGCATCGGGACGCTCTCGGGCCACCGAAAAGGCTTCGAGTGCTTCGACGAGTGTTCGACGAGATTGCTGGTTTAGGATGGGATCGACGGAGATCTCCCCCCTTCGTTGTTTAGTCCTCCGTAGCATCCCTGACTAAACCGTGGTTCCGGGTCTGCTGGCAGTCGTGGTCGGGACTTGGGGCGAAGAACCGACGGGTTGGAGAAGAAACGAGGGAGAGAGGATTGGGGGGTTCCCGGAGATTTTTCGGTCTCTGTTCTTTCCTTTTCCCCTTCACCGGGAGCTCTGCTTTCTTCTTCACCAGTAGTCATCTCCAGCCCATCTTCGATCACTTCCTGCCGAGACTCAGCAAGACTCGAGGGGTTTTCACCTTTGCTTTTCTTTATTAGGTTTTTAGTTTAGCAATTCGGCCGGGGTGATAGGATGCTTGCTGGTTTGGTACCAGCATACCTCTGCAGAGCGTCGTGGAGATCATTTCCATTCCTCTTTGCCCGGGAGTCGATCCTCGTCCAATTCAAAACGAGTTAGGGCGACAATCGAAACCGCCTGTGCTTTCGTAGGGAGAAAGGAGATTGATTGATAGATCACCTGCCATTAAGGCTTGGCTTGGAACTATCTACTAGCGACTGGTGCTACTCCTTGGCTGGACTAGTAGCAGCCGAAGATTGATTGTTGGGCAGAAGAAAGAAGAAAGCGAGACGGGGCTGCAGCTGTCTTGTGCTTGCCTCGTTACACCGGCTTTGTTTGGTGATGCGCTTTAGCTGCTGATCTAGTGGTAGCGGCAGATGCTGGATGGAACATTGACCATTGCCATTGCCGACTCCCGTTCCAGCTTGGTCTTGAATTTGCGACCATCGAAAGGAGACCCTTTCCAGCGCCTTCCATATAATGAAACGAACTATAGTTCCTGTGTCATCCCTGCCATGTATCGACGCCATCGTCGTCATGATTCCCTGTCTCCTGCAAATAAAGTCTGGACGATTGAAACCTGCAGGAGGCCGGAGTACCGCAGGAGTACATAGTCAGTTTAACAAGATCCCCGTCTAGCACCTTAGTAAGAAAAGTAGTCTAGACTGCCTGCCCTGACAGGGCAATGGTATGGTGGTGTCGACTAGTCGTCTAGCGAGAGACGGACTCGGTGTTTGTCACTGCTGTCTCGAAGCTAGTCCGTACAATGGCCGACGGTGCTGGGGACTGCACCTGTACGGCAGCGGATGTCTTACAGCCATGGCTGCAGGTCGCACCAACCAGCGAGCCAGCTGCGAGAACTAGCGAAATCCTGAGCAATTTAGACTCGACGTAGCGGCTTCCCGAACGACTCTCAATATCGGATGCTGTTTCAGACCGCAAGACGAGGAATTCCAGACGGGTCAATTATCTCTCCGCAGCTGTCAGGTACGCGACACACGCCAGCTGACCTATACTCTGACAGGGCTTGAACGGCTTGGAAAGACTCCAATATCTAACGGTCGGTCAGCCAGAGTTCCGCTGGCAGCGAGTCAGTAACCTCCCTTAGTAATTCACTGGAGCCAGTAAAGCTGGAGAGCAGCAAGTCAATTCCTCAACGGCCGAGGTACAACGGAAGAGCTAGCCTAAAGAGGCAGTGAGGCCACAGTGACAGGCATAATTGTTACATAATCGACTCAGGGCGGTTTGCCCGAAGCTGCGGCGGCGGGAGCAGCGCCCTGGAGAGGCGAGCGGGCGAGCGAGCGAGCGCTCATTCGAACTCTCGGGGTCTGTCCGTGCTGGTCGGAGAGCACTGACCAATAACAACGTGGCAACAAGATCAGAGCCAATGACGAGGCAGCGATAAGCTGATGGTCCAAGTCGCCAATCCGCAGGCGAGTTTAGGAAGATCCGCTGCTTTGGGGAATGGCCGTCCGCAGCAATAATTGGGTACCGTGTCTTCCTTCACCGTGCCAGAAAAGGACCCATTCCGGTCCTCGGAAATACCTGTTAGTGGGATGTTGATTGAATTGGTACTTCCACAGCTTCCGAAAGCCTTCATTCACTCTCATCCATCCTCTCTGATCCTTATCCGACCAGACTGATTGGCACGCGATAGGTAGGACGGCCTAGTCGGTCTGTCACCGCCAGATTGCCCGTGTCCTTGCCTGGCAGAAGGAAGCAATATTGTGAGCCACTTGCAAGGGGAGGGTGATAGTAGCGATGCAATTCACATTCTAGTCGCAATATCGATCCGAAGTTGAGTTGTGGTGTACGCAGCAAGTAACTATACAAATGACTGTGTATGGGTGTACTCCGTACACACTAAGGGACTACAAGGTCGTAGGTGGTCTCGTGAACTCTTCCTAAGAGGGTAACTCGCTGCGCTGCACTGCTTTTTTTTTTGCTAAGGCGGTAGGTCGGTGGAGCCGAGGTCGCAGTGGGGCTATTTCTCGGCTGCTCTTGGACCAACCAGCAGCACGTCTATTCTGATTTCACCGGTAGCCGCCGGATGTAATGGTCCAGCGTGGTAGGAGCGCGGTAGAGAACCGCTCCAGGAGGGGGGGGATTTGGAGATGGAGATGGAAGGAAGATGGAACCCAGCACAAGTGGGGAAAATCGGACAGGAGCAGAGCCTGGAGATCACCTGAAGGGGAAAGTTATCTTGCTTGTCAGTTCAGGGTTGATTAACTGGTTGCCACAAGACCGGGATGCATACTTGATTCTCATACCACCGGGCTTGATCAATGAATCATCGTGAGAATGTGCGCCCACCTGTAGACAAGCTCATAGGAGGGGGTGGGATGATGGCAAGAGGCGGTCAAGAGAAAGAGCCTACACAGTACAGTAGAGGCTGCCGTAGAGAGACCGGGGGGAGAAAAGGAAGAGGAGGAATAGATTCGGCTGTCATCATGACTTTGACCCTCTTCGGAAAAAGAGCAACTGGTTGGCAATGGATGTATCCATCCCTGCTTGATGATTCCTTCCAGAGATCCGACGGATAGGAAAGGAATGAGAGAGACTGGTCGTCGTACTTTATCACTATGGTTCATGGCTACCTAGTACTAATGGAGTAGTCCTGCCTTGCTTGAGGTTTTCTCTGAAGTAGTATAGTAGTACTGTGTATACTATCCATGCAACCTGATGGTGGTCTGGTAGGTTTTCTTGACCCAGACTCAGGAGATGAATGCATCCGATAACTCCCATGTGCCAGTACTGTGCTCCGTAAGTGTAATCCGTAGTGGCTATCGTCCATCTATCCAAGGGCCATCCTCGGTAAAAAGCCGTGCTGGTTTGGGGATAGTGTGTGGTTGGTATGCTTCCGATCGGGAGGCAGTAGTTTGCTTGGTATGTTACAACCTGAGATGTACTCCTGGTATCAGGTGCAGTATCACCTTCAGGGGTCAATGACTCTTTACTTCTTTTTTTTTTTTTTTTTTCTTTTTCACCCCCCTTTCCATCTTCCCCGGGAGGGGGTGGTCAGAGTCAGACTTGCAGAATATTTTGTGCTGCAGGCGCCTGTATATTATCCGACTGGGAGGATTGTTGATTGGTATGATTGGTATGCACTGCAAGTGTACAAGTAGTACTGTATAAGTGTTGTATGTATGATGAATAGGGTAATTCTGACGGGGAAAAGACTCGCCTCCAACGGCTCCACCGGCTGCTGTTTCTTCGGGACTTTCTAGCCTCAACCTTTTTTCTCGAGTGAATGCGACCACTTCAGAGAGAGATGCTGATCCCTCCCTCCCTCTCCCACTTCTGGTTCCCCCCCAATGGTAATTTCGCCGCCGACTTTTTCGTCTAGCTTACCCGCCCGATTTTGATTTGATTAAATAAATTAATTAAATTATTCTGGGACTTGCTCCCGCTAGTGTGAATCTCCACAAGGCAGGCATGGCAAAATGTTAGACTAAACAGAAGAGAGGGTAAGAGAGACAGCCAGACAGCCAGACAGACCGAGACATGAAAAGTGAAGAGCCACTTGATCTCATTTAATTGATAATTTTAATTTCCCCCATCTTCTATTCCACACCCGGAGAACAACACCGTGAACTATATTAGTATCCGGGTTATCCCCCTCGCTCGCCGGATTTGAAGTGTTACTTGCCAACTGCACTGGTGATAGTGCTTCATTAACACCATTACTACCTCTTCCTTGGAATTCACACTGGTGGATTAAAATTGATCTCTGGTTACTACTTTCTTATACCACCACTCAACCCATCTCATCCTACCAAGCCAACCAACCACCAATACTCTACCAGTCTCATCTTACTAGCATCTGTCTATCAGCGCTTATCCTCAGATTGCCTTCGTCATAGCGAACTTTATCAACCCGCGTCTCCTGCTTGCCACTGCGATGCTTCTTTGGTTCCAGCCAATTTCTCTGTCGATACTCGTCTGCTTGATCTACTAAACTCACTACGAACCCTTACCATCACTTAACATCATCATCTTGACCTCTACCCGGCCTTATCATCCTAATCGCACAACCACCCCGACAAGATTCTCCCTTACTTAATCTCTGCCACCCTTGCAACGTTTGATACCTTCGAAGCGACTTTTTCTATTGTTCTTCCATCGCAATATCGTGCATCTACTCTCCTCTCCTCTCCTTCGTGTTTCTGTCATATCAACACACCGGCAACCTTAATTTCCCTCCGACTGTGGTGATATCATAATCTTCCCGAAATGGCCACCCACGTTGTTACTGCCACTACCACCACCACTACTTCTCCCGTCCTCGCGGGAAATCAAATCTCCCTTTACGGCCAAACTACCCCCATTCACTCCGCCGAGACCACTGCCAACAACTCGCCTGCCTCGCCTCAGCAGCAGTACCTTCCCCTCCACAGCAAACAGCTTCGTCCCTTGAAGGGTCCGCTGTATGTTCCTGCTGCTCTGCGCCCCAACGAACACGCTGCGCAGAAAGCCTCTCCTCCGACTCCCCCCCGCAGCGTCCACGGCTCTTTGGACAGCCTGACTGAAGGCGAGATCGGTGTCCCGGCTACTCGTCGCTCCACCATGGAAAGCTACAGCAGTGGTTCAACCGTCAGCAAGCTGGCGGAGGACGAGTGGATGAAGAAGGAAGACCTTGGCCAGGTCACCGGCCAGCCGACCCGCGAACATTGGAAAGTGAGTATTTCCTTTTCTCTTCCCTGCTGGGTGGGCGATAGGTGTTATATAAAGTTGCTATGGCGTGCCTGCGGCTTCCTGTCGCGTAAACGCGGTCATTGCGAATCATCGCGTGATCAGAATGACGCCATGGCACCCCTGCATGACAATTGAATGACAAGTCCTTCGGAACTCGAAGCTAACAACAAATCTCCTTCAGGCCGACTCTGCTTCTCCTAACTGCGACTCTCCTACCTGTCGCTCTTCCTTCGGTATCTTCCTGCGTCGCCACCACTGTCGCCATTGCGGCCATGTCTTCTGCTCTTCGCACACCCCCTATGTCGTTCCTCTCGATCAGAATGCCCGCTTTCACCCTGAGGGAGTCCCGTCGCGTGCTTGCGATCTCTGCTGGAGCGCCTACTCGCGCTGGGAGGAGTCGCGCACTGAGCGCCTGAACAAGATCCAGACCCAGCTCGACGCGCAGACCGGTACTGTTCCCGCTGGCACCAACCGCGCTGTCGCCCAGACCACCAAGGCCTCGCCGGTCGAGAGCCTCAAGGCTGCTGCTCTCAACGGAGTGCCGGGACAGAGCACAGAGATCGCTGCCAGCGTCCCTCGTGGCTGGAACTGGAGCACTTTCTGAACGACTACGACTTGACGCATTAATGAACATGCCCGATAAATGCGCGGTGTCGGTTTCTTGATTCTTCCGACCCGCTGACGCCCAACCTTCTTCACTTCCCTTCTATCCACCTGTTTTAGACATACCTTTTCTCATGGCTTTTCGGTTTTTCATTCTCGGTGTTACTGCGAGGAGTTTCGGGAGATTTCCTTGTTCCTTTCTCACGATCGTCAAGAGGCGGAGGTGTTTGTCTTCACTTGCTTGTCTCCTTATGCTTAGGATACCCCGTCATGTTGCCTACGAGCGGCGATCTCTTTTATTCAATTGCTGGTCTGGTGTTTACCGACCGACCTTACACTACAGAGTTAGACTCTTCTACAAGAATGATCAGAAATTAAGATTACGTGCAGATTCCAGTCGTAGTCTAGTGTCCATGCTGCCGTGTTATGTAGGGTAGTGAGTCTAATCGACCAAATCGACCCTCCTCCACATCCCCAAATGTTCAATGCCCTCCTCATCCCACCGCCCCATACTTTCGTCCGTCACAAACCCACATCGCTGGTACAACTTCTCGACCTGCGTCTGCGCATGAACGAGCACCAACCCTTTCCAGGGAGTATTCTCCCCTGATGTAGCAGCAGCAGCAGCAGCAGCAGCAGCATCGATCTCTCGCGCATGCCCCCGCGCCCACTCCACCGCCCCCTCGACCAGCGCCCGCCCAAGCCCATACCCCCGGTACTCGGGCATGACAGCCACCCGCGTCAATTTAATGTAGGGTTCCCCTGTCTGTATGGGTGGTGCATCCCCTCCCGACGACAGGTGGTCCTCCTGCCCATGTTCATGTTCATGTTCATGTTCATGTTCATGTCTATTAGGCGGCGGCACCAATCGAATCGTCGCAACCGGACCCAAGCCCGAGCCCGAGCCCGCGCCCGTACGACCATCACCACCATTCCGTGGAAGTGTATCAAAATGGTTATCCCCTCCGAAATCAAGGCTAATCACCACCTTCTTCCCTCCTCCTCCTCCTCCTCCCTGCTGCAGTCGCCCCCTTTCCTCCCCCTGAACGACTCCATCACCATCACCCCCGGGTGAAAAAGCGGAGGATTGGTGATACACAACCCAATGCCAACTCCGGCCCTCGTCCTGGTCGATCTCGCCTTCCGGGGAGCAGCGCTGCTCGTCAATGAAGACTTTTTGGCGGATGGTGAGGGCGTCATTGAGGATGCGGGGGTTGTTGGCTGGATGGGGCGTTGAGGGGGTGGGGAGGTGGTAGTTGATGTTTTGTTTCTGGGGGGATGAACTTGAGGAGGGTTTTGGGGGGTTGGGGGGCGTTTGGAGGTGGATTGTGAAGTGCATTTTCTTCTGTCTCCCTGTGTTTCTGGGAAGGAATTGTTGTTGTTGTTGTCAAGAGTTGGTTGGTTGATCTGGTCGGTCACTGGTTGTCAATTAGGCTTTCTCTTCTTTGGTCTGAGCGAAGGTCGATGACAAAAATTGAAGATTGGGTATTGGGATTGGGATTAGGAGATAGGGGTTAGGGAGTTGCAAACCTCAGAGGATGGTAGGTATATTTATGTATATACTGTGTATAGGGCGCAGACAGGAGTGAGTCAGCTCGAAAAAAAGATGCGGACCGATAAGTCGGATGCAGGTGCGGAGATGCGGAGGTGACTCGATAAGGAATGACTTGCGACAGTACGGACTACTCCGTACAAATTCTGGTAAGTTAGATACACTAACTAGGGCAGCTCCCTTCTCAGTATAACAATCATCAGTTCCAAGCAGAAAGACCCGATTAGCTGAACCAAATCAGTCCTATTCGCCGTCACACATTCTCCCAAACCAAATTCCAATCCTGCTTATCGACCATACCCTCCATATCTAACTGAACCCACCGATAACAATCTATACACAGATCAAACAAACAATGCAAACACCGAAATTTCTCCAACACCACCATCATCCCCCCCGCGAACACCCTTCCTCCTCTCCGAGGATCTGCGAGGCGCAACAAAAATGTCCCTCTATTACGATGCTGTGACCATTCTCACAGCCCCTGCCACGGGCGGCTCCTTCAAATCCCGCATCTACAACGCCCGCACGCTCAAGGCCTCGCCCGCGCAAGTCTACGCGCTGATCATCGAGGCCTCGAAATGGGATATCTTGCTTAAGGAGGTAATTGAGAATGCGGGGATTTTGAAGTTGGAACCTAAGGTGTGTTTCCGCGTCTTTCACGATTTTCTTTAAAAAAAAAAGAAAGGAAAGAAAGGAAAGAAAAGAAAAGAAAAGAAAAGAGAGAGAGAGAGAGAAGGCTTCCTGCGCAGCCCTGCGCATGCAAAGCAAACGTTCTAAACAACGAATTAACTAACCTAGCCCCTCAAAAGCTAACCCCCCTCCTCGCCCTCCTCCTCGTCCACGACCACCTCCTCGCCAAATCCGGCATCGCCGCTAAAGCCACCCACCCCCTCCGCCAGGCCGTCGAGCGCCATAAGGCCCGGCTGCGCGGGGAGTTCGTGAAGGCGCGCGTGCGGCGCGGGTGCGCGACCGTCGATGCGCTCCGGGATGTGATTCGGAGTGAGAAGGCCGGCGCCGGTGGGGATGCTGTCGCTGCGGTATACCCCCGCTGGGTGCGGATTAATAATGTGCGGACGACGCTGGCGCAGCAGCTGGAGACGACGTTCAAGGGGTATGAGGTTGTGGGTTCATTGGGGGAGCTGGGGGAGAAGTTGGTGAATACCAAGAAAGCGAAGCAAAGCACAACCAATCGAAAAATATATCTGGATGCGCATGTCCCCGACCTGGTGGCTGTCGCGCAGGGGGTAGATCTAACGGGGACTCCGGCCTACAAGAGAGGAGAAATCATACTGCAGGACAAGGCGTCCTGCTTTCCGGCGTATTTGTTGGTCGGGGATGAGGAGTGGACGGGCGGGGATCTGCTGGATGGATGTGCTGCGCCGGGGAATAAGACTACGCATATGGCTTCGTTGCTTGCCAGGCACGCGCGCCCAAAAAAGAAAAGCCAGAGGGTTTGGTCGATGGATCAGTCGCAGGTCCGGGCCAAGATCCTGCAGAAGATGGTGGCTACGGCGGGCGCGGATAAGCTGGTGACTGTGTTGCCGGGGCAGGATTTCTTGGCCCTGGATCCCGAAGAGGAGCGGTTTGAGGCTGTTACGGGCTTGTTGCTCGATCCCAGTTGTTCGGGAAGTGGGATTCTGGGCCGCGATGAGGTGCCGACGCTGGTGCTGCCGGAGGTGAGGGGGAATGAAGGGAGAAATGACAGGCAGCACGGGAAGAAGCGGAAGCGCAGACCCGATGATGATGAGGGGAGGGAGAGCAAGGAGGCGAGAAAGCCGGATGATGAGGAGGCGCTGGCGGAGGATGAGAACGATCTGCCTGCCAATGGGCACATGGGGCCCGAACGGTTGCAGAAGCTCTCTAACCTGCAGACCCGGATCGTCGAGCATGCCTTGCACTTCCCCGCTGCTACCAGAGTCACGTACAGTACGTGCTCCGTGCATATGCTGGAGAACGAGGCTGTCGTGGCCAGGATTCTGGCGTCCGATGTCGCGAGGAGACGCGGGTGGAGGATCATGCGACGGGATGAGCAGCCGGAAGGTATGAGGAAGTGGAAGCATCGCGGCGTGCGGAGTGAGAAGCCCGTAGCCGGTGCCGCTGCTGCTGCTGAGGTCGAGGTGGGCGATCTGGGCCTCTCGGATGAGGTGCTGGATGGCTGCCTGCGCTGTTGGCCTGGCGATGACGAAGGCACTGGCGGCTTCTTCATTGCCGGATTTGTACGCGACGGTGAGGTTGAGGATGTGACGGAGGACGCTAATGGTCATGCAGAGGACGAGGTTAGTGGAGAAAGTGAGGCCTTAGATCAGGAGGCGGTCGCAGAAGATGCAGATGAAGGAAATACCAGCGAGGATGAATGGGCCGGGTTCTCGGATTAGACATGTATCAGTGAGCTCTAGCTACTCCTCCAGATGTACAGTGCATATATAATTATAGTACCTCTGCAGTCAAGACCCTAAGAAAGGTCGACCGTGATTCCGAACCGTCTCCTGCGTATATACGTCTAACTTGACTGCCCTCAGAAGGAAGTCCAGACTGCTTTGATTCACGCTCGGCCGCACGCAGATGCGCCACTGTCCGGTGCGCACAACCCAAGCACGTTTGTTGGCCGGCTCCTCGATGCGTCTCCGCTTGTTCTGGGACTCTTGCGACAACTGCTCTGCGTCGGGTGTAGAGTATCCGATAATCTCACGGGGACTCGTCTGCTCCCCGTCGACAGTGAGAGACGTATCCGGCCCCGTCACAAACCAGATCTGCTCATCTCTAATAGCGATGTCTCCTAATTTGGCGGCCTTTCTGCCGGCCACGATCTGTAGAAGGCTTGTCACACGGGACTTGGTGAGGTTCAAGAACAAAGGGTGTTTCGTCGTCAAATCGAGAATGGTGTTCTCGTCGCCGATCTCGACAATCAGGTCATACTTCTTTTCATCGACGAACGGGCGCGAGTAGCGAACCCAGCTGCTATCACAGGCATTCCCTCCCTGCTCAAGGTGGACCCCCGACCGGCGTACGTCTTCCAGGCGGATGACAATCTCCTCTCGCCTAAGAATTGGATTGTAACTAACATGATGGGGAATGATTTTCTGCTCGAGTCCCCGCAAATGGAAGTAGCGACAGTCCCGAAGGAGCTCCGCGCGGTGCTCCTCATTCCGGATCCGCAGTGGGTAGCCCCGTAGGAGGTGGAGGAGCTGCGCGAAAACCTCTCCGGAGCGATTAGGGACGCTGGGCGGCGTGATGGCCGGGGGCCGGAGGAGACCCTGACGCTCGAGGCCTGGAAACACTTCGACGGGCGACGCGAAGAAAGCGGCGAAGCCCAATGTGAAGAAATTCGGCGAGTCGCCTGGGCGGGAGAAGATGTCGCGGGGAATCTGAAAGTTTCGATCGCCGATCTGGATAAAGATCTGGGACTCGAACAACTGAGATATCAAGCGCGGTACTGCGACCGTCAGCATGCCGAGATGTCTAAGCAGGAGGTTGAGGGCGACCCACAGCTGTAGAATTGAGCATCGGCGAAGAACTTGACGAATTGCGAGCCATCGGTTGGCTGAATGTGGTATCCTATCCTCCACAAGCCGATTAACATGCCTGGCACACGCACAACCATCTAGAGATATCCCCGGCCCTACCCTGTAGATGTTTGGCGATCTCCTTGAAGGTGGTTGGGTCGCGATCGATGTACAGAGTTCGGATGTTGGGGTTGTCGCCATTCTGGCGGATCTGTTCCTCAAAGAACTGGGAGAAGTAGGACGGCGCTTCGGAGGCTTAGAGGAGGCTCGAGAACTGGGAGGGTCATGGCAGACTGACCATCAGAGGCAATGGATGCCCCGGACAGACGAAATAGCTCCGTCCCGATCTGTATGGAGAAGACCCTCTCCGGCGGGAGGTTGGATTTGGGGCTCCGTCGCGTTGCCGGGCTGACCATTGCCTGTCCAGAGTCCGCCGACATTGTAGTTCTAGTTATAGCAGGGGCCGAGCTCGTCCAGGACATTTAGGTGTGTAGTGCAGCGTCTTGCAAGGATTGATCTTTGGACACGATAAGGGCGGTGCTAGGGGATGGGGTAGGCACGTTTCCACGAGGTGCGAGTGTCGCGTGTGAGCGATTTGACGAAGTCAGCGTATGCGGGAGGAGGTGAGAAACTTGGAGATCGCTATTGAGACGTATATTGGGGGTTGCAGGATTCACATTGTGGCCAGTGAAACATTGCCAGATAAGATGGATCGCGATTCGCATTGCATGTGGGTGAGATCGCAATTGGCAACAAATGATGCAAACATTGAGCAGCCCGCCCATTGAGGTTTAGTGCCAGCCTGACACGTTTATGCGCGTTACGGAGTATACATGAAGTCAACCACTCCACTAACTTACACTCTTCAATATTCAAGTTCAAGCACTTAATCTGGAGATCCTACCTCGTACTTCCAGTCGCCTTATATCCATTATTCGATGGTTACTCTCCCATCTCACCTGATAAACTTTAGACTCACCATGGAATTCAGTCGAAAACACGAATTTGGGGCTCTTCTCTACAGACCGATCTCCGCATTCCAACCCATCCGAGGTTCTTCATCTGCCTGGGACCTCGATAGCGCCCCGCTCTGGTACATAGATAGATTCCCTCACCTCGATGACAGCGGGCTGATGCACATGGTCATTACCAAGTATCTCGGCTATGATTTCCCACCAGCACTTCCCCGCATGCTGAAAATGGGTCTGGATGTCGATCGTAGACCCTCGACCCACTCGCTCGTCTCGTGCCCAAATTGCAGCTCTCTCCACCACGGCACTAATTATTGGAGCTGATGCAACCCCCGTCTTGCTTTAGAAACCGTTGAGAAGAGGCACTTATTTAGTACTAGAGCTGCAAAAATGTTGGCTTCTTCCGTTCTTTCTTCTTTCTCGCTCTCCCACTCGTGCCTACTCAATCGTGGCGCCCACTTGCCTATTTAGGGTGTGGGGAGCAGAGGAAACCAGGCTGCGAGCCAGAAGCCCAAGAAGAGAACCTCGTAGCTTGACTTTTGATTCCACTTTCGATTCCTGACCTTGTCCCATACCTCACACGTATCATCTCCTCGCATCGCGTGACCTCCAGTATCTCTACAACTCATCGTTAACTCCTCTGCTCCTATCTTTACTCGACAACTGCAAAAACTATCAACAACCATGGCCGAGGAGAACACAGCTCAGCACGTCCCTATGGATGTTCCTCTTCCCCCTGTACCCACGCGAGCCATCTTCACCACGACACAATGGAGGACCCTTCTAGCTCTGGCCGACGCCGTAATTCCCTCCATCCGTTCCCCCGTCATGTACAAGTCCAAGGCGACCAAGATAGTCACTTCACAAGAGATGGAGCAGGCTCGTGCGACCTTGATCTCCCGAATCCCTAGCCCTGACGCGGCTACAATCGCCGGCCAGTATTTACGAGAGTCTGCTTCCTCCAATAACACGTTCCGCGAGAGCCTGCAACGTCTGTTCTCGTTCTATGTTCACGACGAAGGGTTGAATGGAATCAAGTTCATTCTGAATGCCCTTAAGTATGTATCAGCATCAGCCCTTACATGCATTGGACTGACCTGTATCAAAGTACGCGACCCGGCTCTCTCCTTTTGACAGGATCGCCAATCTTGATCCGGGACCAGTCCGTCGATGTGCGTGAAGAGGTCTTCCGAAGCTGGGAAACTGCCCGGCTTAAACCACTCCGAGCTGTCTACCGGGCCTTGTCTGCCATCTTCAAGAAGACCTGGATCTCAACTAGTCCAACTCTGAACCTAGCCCTCGGTTTCCCTCGAGTCCCAGTCTACGGTAAGCCTGTAGACGGCTTCAAGTATGAATTCTTGCAATTCCCTCCAGGTGACGATCTCGAGATCATCGAGACCGACGTCATCATCGTCGGTAGTGGCTGCGGTGGGAGTGTTGCGGCCAAGAACCTTACCGAGGCTGGGTATAGGGTAATGGTAGTGGACAAGTCATATCACTACACGTCCAACCACTTTCCCATGGATGCCAACGAGGGCTTCATCAGCATGTTTGAGGCAGGCGGTGGTATTGTCAGCGATGATGGGTCCACGGTCGTTCTGGCGGGGTCCACTTGGGGTGGCGGTGGCACAGTCAACTGGTCCGCTGCTTTGCAGACGCAGGGATACGTACGTCAGGAGTGGGCAAAAGACGGACTGTCATTTTTCACCAGCCAAGAGTTTCAGAAGTGCTTGGATCGTGTCTGCGACCGGATGGGTGTGGGAATCGAACATATCGAACACAACAAGGCCAATCGCCTAATCCTCGAAGGCGCTCGCCGACTGGGCTATTCCGCCAAAACGGTGCCCCAGAACACAGGCCAGAGCCTACATTACTGCGGTTACTGTACTTTGGGCTGTCACACATGCGGCAAGAAAGGTCCTACGGAAACGTTTCTTGCCGATGCCTCTCGAGGAGGAGCTACGTTCATTGAAGGCTTCCGCGCGGACAAGATTTTGTTTGAGCAGAAACCATACGGAACAGTGGCCTCGGGCGTGGAGGGAACATGGACCTCGAGGGATTCGTATCTAGGGCTGACGGGGCTTGGTGCTGTCAAGAGAAAAGTGGTCATCAAGGCGAAGCGGGTAGTTGTGTCCTGCGGCTCCTTGCAAAGCCCTCTGCTACTCATGCGCAGTGGATTGAAGAACCGGCGCATCGGCCGGAATCTCCATCTTCACCCAGGTATGTTGACACTTGTATTTGAGTCTCACCCCTTCGGATCATACGGCTAGGTTTGAGTGGCTATTCTGTGTTTCACACTATTCTTTGCCTGGCACTTCTTGAGCTTCCTAGTGCGGCTGACTGAGGTTTGCAGTTGTTGTTGCGGGCGCCGTCCTCAATGAAGAAGTTCGACCTTGGGAAGGATCCGCGTTGACCACGGTCGTTAACGAGTTCGAGAACCTCGATCAAAAAGGCCATGGCGTCAAGATCGAGGCATTGTCCATGTTGCCTTCTGCCTATCTTCCCCTCTTCCCCTGGCGGGGCGGACTTGATTACAAGTTATGGGTGCTCAATCTTGCTCGAAGCGTTGGGTTTATCACGCTCACTCGGGACCGAGACGGTGGACGAGTGTACCCAGATCCTGTGGATGGAAGATGCCGAATCGAATATACGCCTTCTGCTTATGACCGTAAGCATATGCTAGAGGCACTTATCGGCGCTGCCCACATTGCGTTTGTTGCCGGTGCCAAGGAGTTTCATACGACCTGGCGAGAATTGGCCCCATACATCCGCCCTGAGATGGCACCTGCGGAGGCTGCAGAAGGCACCAACAGTGCATCTTTCCAAGCGTGGCTTGCTGATATACGTGCCCACAAGGTGCCGCTTGCTCCCGAGCGGACACAGTTTGCCAGTGCTCACCAGATGGGAACCTGTCGAATGGGCACCAGCCCTAAGACCAGTGTGGTCGATCCGGACTGTCAAGTGTGGGAGACTCGGAGCCTATACGTGGTGGATGCGTCGGTGTTTCCCAGTGCTAGCGGTGTCAATCCTATGATCACCAATATGGCGATTGCCGACTGGGCCAGTCGGAACATTGCTAAATCGCTGGGAGACAGTCGTGAAGTACACCCGATGGCCAGGCTGTGAGCTATTTGAGTCTGTTTGTGTCATGGGCGTTTCGGGGCTGGCCCCTCTTATTGTTATGTTCATCCCGCTTTGTGATTCATGAATGATAGGCATCCTATGGGTTCAATGACTTGTGGACACAAGCGCTTTATTCTCTAGTCATTCACCTGTAGAAGCATTGCGCGTAATCTGGGCCTAAGGGAGTCGCTGACGAGCAGGAAGGAGTGTGGGATAATAGTGAAGCACGTAAAGGCTGAGCCTTGACATTGAAGAGGTCCTGGCCTTCCCCTGGCAGGTGACTAAGAATCCGTACATGAGGGGGTCTTTATATCTTCCTCTAAACTCCCTCCCCTTTCAATCCTGCTGCGTGAAGTATACAGTATAGGAATACATTATACTCTCTAGTTTACTTATATAGAAGACTTTGCAAGCTCAGTAGCCATATAGAAAGTCTTGCAAGGCTGGGGGATATTGCGGAAAACCCACATTGGCCCCGAGCATGTCAGAAAGTCATGAAGCTCACACCCTCGCAAATACCGTAAGGGGAGGAGTAGGTATTCAGCTCAAAGTCAAGCAAACTTCCATGCAGGAGAAAAAGTTCAGTTGCCGGCTCTCGGGTGGCTTCTGGTGTCTTGCTCTTCTTTACGCTCGCTCAGATCTGAATGACTGGCCCAGACACAGGGCGAGATTTGTGAGAGATCGCGTTTTCTATCTACCAAGTTAAGCCTTAAGAACATGTCTAAACTTATCTCTACAAATTGCCCGTCTTGTACTGTAACTGTGCTAGATCGTCATAGTCCCTTCGTCTTCGGGGGTGGTTCATTACCATGCCGCGAAGCCCGATGATTCGCTGGGCTTGTTGGCGCTGTTGTGCGCATCTATGTATGTATTTCCGAGGCATTCCTCCCCTTCCCCCCTTCCCCCCTTCCTTCCTTTCTTCCGTCTCCTCGTCATGATTATCACCACATACGAGCAGCCAGACCTGACTACAACGCCTTTTCAAGAAGTACAACTGTTGGGCTCTCGAACCGATTCCCCGCCTCCCTCGCTGATGGAAAACCCCCTACTCGGAATCCAACTTCTGACTGAGAATCGCCTGCCCGTGAAGCCGCTCCTACTATTGCATCTAAATTGATCCTTGAACGCATGATTCCTCTAGTTTATTCATTGGCCCATTTACACATTCACTCGTTCAAGCTATCAGGATGTTCGGGCTAGACATCAGACAACTAAACTACGAAAATAGATATACCTAACCACCCCTCTAGAACAAGAAAGGGAAAAGTCAACTAAGCATACTTCTCACGCACAGCCGTCCAGCCCGGCCGCAACTCCGCCGTCTCCAGCTCCGCCACATTCAGCGAACTCTCCGCCACATAGTTGACGCGCCAGTCGACGGTCATGCCCGCGCCGGCCTCGGTCTGCGCCCACACCGCCACAGCAATGGTGTTCTCACCATCGTAGTTGAGCACTCCGGCAGGGACCGGGTAGACGACCTGGTTGCCGATGTAAGGGTAGTAGCGACCGTACTGGTACCCGTTGACAAACAGCTGGGCGCGGTAGGCGTTGCTAGGGGCGTCGTCGGGGGTGCCTAGCACGAAGGAGATGGAAACGTCCAGTCCCGCGGGAATATGCAGGGGGACGGTGGTGCGGAAGAATTTGATGGTCGCGCCGGTGAAGGACAGAGACGAGGAAGAGGCGGCAGCAGTCCAGGCGCTGTCGTCGAAGCCGGGGAGGTGCCAGCCAACGCGCTCGGCGAAGAGGCCGTCTTCGTTGTAAACGCCGCGGACGGGGTCGAGGTTCGACTCGCCGCCGGCGGTGCCGGCGAGGCGCCAGTGAGTGAACTCGGGGGTCTCGGAAGTGTTGGAAAGGAGGCGGGCTTCGAGGATACCACGGGGGTTGAGGACGCCGGTGGTCTCGTCGTGGCCAGTGTCGTCGTGGACGATAAGGAGGACGTTGGGGGTGGTGGTGGGGTTGGTGGAGAGGAGGTCAGCGGGGAAGGTAATCGTCTTGTTGGCTTGGTCGACGGTGGCGTTGCCAAGATAAGAGCCGACGAAATGGCCGTTCAACCAGGCGGAGAAGCCGCTGTTTGTGTGAGTGTTGGTTAGATATCAGAGGATCGTTGTAAGAGGAGAGAGACCGGGATTCCTTACAAGGCAAGTCCACCTTGGACGTTGAGGAATACACCCGAGGCGGAACTGTTGAAGTATCCGCGGAACAGACGGATACCGTTGTGGAATCCTGGTAATTGTGGTTAAAAGGAGTATTCGATTGGTCAAGTTGAAAAATCAGCTTACCATAGTCATCTCCGTAGAGGACGGGAAGTGTAGCGGGAGGATTGGGATTGTAGGTCGACATATGGTCGGCCGCTTGGAATCTTTGTTAGTCTAACACAAGGCGGGAGTGATGGAGGATACTCACCAACCCAGGCTGCGCCAGTATCATCATAACCTACGCTGCGCTCCGGCAAACTGTCGTTCGATTTCCACGAGGTGATGGCCGGTAGAGTAATGGTCTTGGGTGCAGCCAGAGAAGCCCGCAGACTACCGTGAGCAGTTTTGGTCGACTTGAGCTGCTTGCCATTCCAGGTCAAGGTCTTGACCTTCTCGGAAGCAAAGACTTCGATCTCCGTGGCGTTGACCGCGTCGCCCGTGATCTTGAGAGTTTGGCCATCCTGCTTAGCGGAACGGACGAGGTACGGACCTTGGATGAGTACTAGCTTGAAGTCAGTCTATGGCCGAACAAAAGCCACAGAACTCTGTTCATACCTGTTTCATTGGCAGGTGCCAGAGGATTCGCCGTCAGGGTAGGGGCCCAGAATAGATAGGCCGTGGTCCGATCAAGGAGGACCACGCGCAGCTTGTCGTCGACTTTTAGGACACTCATTCCAGTGGACTGAGTGAAGCTAACGGTGAGGCTGCCTCCCTGGCGCTTGAAGGTTGGCTGGGAGCATCCTGAGCACTTGGACACAACGGATCCGGACTTAGCACCCTTTACAGCGAACTCGCCGGACTCACCAGTGGGCACCCAAAGGACAAGTGTCGGCTCATTGTCGATGACGGAGTAGGTGAGCACCTCGGCGGTAGAGTACAGCAGAGTCTCTGAGCCCAGGCTGAAGTCCGTCACGATGATCTTGGATTGATGTCCATTGAGTCTAATCGCACCTTCCGTGCGGGGCACAATCAAGTTTCCAGCCGACGTGTTGACGTGCAGCTTGAAAGCTTCATTCGTGTCCGACGTGGAGTCCGCATGCCGCGCCACGTAGAACGCAGCATTGGTCTCAGGGTTGCGGAGCTCGTACGCGGTAATGACGGAGTTATTGGAGTATTGTGTTCCATTTCCGATAAGATCTGTCATGGTCAAATCGGTCGCACTCCGAGTGAACAGCGACAACAGCTTGGTCTCGTAGTACTTGGAACCAATTGAACGATCCTCAGAGATGGGCGCGGAGTAGTCATAACTTGTCGCGGTCACCGGGGTGGCAATCGAACCCCAGTTGGTCCCGCCGTACAGCATGTACAGACTCATGGCGGTGACCCGCTGCGCGATGTTCCATCTGTAGAAGAGATTGACAAAGTCTGCACCAGTGTCATCACCGCATCCGCCCTCAGGACCAGCCCAAGGGTTGTAGGCGCCGCCCTGGAACTCGGGAAGGAACGAAGGCATGTGGGGTTGGAACTCTTGGAAATAGGTGTAGTACTCAACCAGCTCATAAGCGACATACTCGCCGTTGGTGGATGTGCATACGCTAACGTCGCATGACCAGCACTAATAATGTCAGACTAGACTAGTAGGACATGTTACGGGATGCAATCACTTACAGAGGGATAAGAGTCAAGACCAGTAACGTCGACGTTGCCTCCAGCATCCGACCAGTCACTAGACCAGGACTTCGCGTTCATGTTTGGATCGTTGAAAGTCAACGGAACTGTGATCCCATTGTCGCGTGCGCTTGCCTCAAGAAGCTCCATGTAAGCAATGGCAGTTTCATTAGGAACCCTCTCGCTCGGGTCGGTAAGCCATTGGTCTCCGTACTCGTTCTCGATTTGGTAGCAAAGCGTATTATGGCCGTCGGGTACCTGGTAGCGACTGGTAATCTGGGACACCTCGTCGAAGTATGGCTTCCAAGCCTCCGTGTACCGAGAATCATTGTTGCGCAACGTTCCGTACTCACCAGAGGTCAACCACAAGGGGAACCCACCAGCATTGGCTTCCGCGTTGACGTACGGTCCGGGGCGGACAATGATATACAGACCCAGCTCTTCAGCAAGCTCGAAGATGGAGGTGATGTTGCGAGCACCGGTGGAGAAGTCGACCGTCTGGTTGTTCGGGGCGTGGTACCCCCAGCTAGTGTAGATGGAGAACCCGGTGAAACCAGCAGCTTTAATCTTTTCGAGAATGTCCCTCCACAAGCCCGGAACGGGGATGCGCCAATAGTGGAACTCGCCGGAGAAGACGAAGATTCGTTGGTCATTGACATGGAAACTGTAATGATCCCATTTGACCGCGGTTGTCAGTCCATCGTCGAAGATCTCCCAGCCTGCTGCAGTCTGATTCTGAGCAGCTGTCAGCAAACCCAGGTTCGCCACAAGAAGCAGGAATGGCAAGAATAGTCGCGCCATAGTGTCCGACCATGCACCTGTCCACGCGCACTCAGGACAAGGGCAAGGCAAGAAAAGTGCTGTGGGAGAGACACAAATTCCCCGGACGACCGCGACCAGGACCTCTCAATTTATACCCCGGCCTCCAGTGAGGCAGGTACCCCACGTCACCGCAAATCTCGCATCGCCAACAGGACCGAAGTTAGGCATCGGAATTGACTTTTGGCGTCGCCGGTCTTGACGAAGGAGAGAGAACGAGAAAAAAAAAGGCGCCTTTGAGCTCAACCGGGTCCAAACAGGTCGGCTCAGGAAACAGGAAAGAGACCAAAAGACCGATTGAGCCGACATTGTCCACTTAATCTCCACCAGCGGAGGCCGGCGACAGTAAGCGATTGGGCCCAGGCGAGGAAGTCTTAATATGCGATTGATTAATGTCGCTCATGCGCGATGCACTAGAGCTGTTGCGCGTCGAAAAACTGGTAAATGACAAGGGAGTAGAGCTTCTCTGCCGCATGCTAACCAAAGCGAGATGAAAGATGTGGGGAAGGGACCAGGACTTGGGCCATTGTCGGTTCGTCATCGAGCTCAAGTCCGGCGGGGAGACGGGCTGTGGGGAAATTTAGTCTGGGGATTTTTCCTCCATTCATCGTCCTCCCTGACCAGCAACCTTGTTCGTGGGCCGATTCTCGCTCGGAACAAGGAGGGGATTCGGTCAGTCGGCTGTGTCTCTGAATGTTAATGTGTAGTATGACATCTTGCCAACCTGGCCTGGATGTCTTATGATGTGTGGACCTGCTGCTCCTGGAAGGACGAGCCTCGGCTTTAGCACACGCGCTTTTCGTGTAGGATCGTTTTGAACACGATCAATGCAGGCTGAAAAACAGAAGGGAGATACAACAGCGGTAAGAGGAACCTTGAATGTGTTTCGACTAGATCATTGTCGATGAGGGCTTCATCTCAAGAGTGAAGTGTGAGGTGGACGGGTTAGTCGGAGGCTGCTGTCCTTCGACTAAATCAAGGCGGCACCCCTCACATGATCCTTCCATCCGAGTACGACGGCCAATTCGACCATTTGCTCACTTTCAGGCCATGATACTGATTTAATCCACTGAAGTAGATTGATCTTGATTTTCCGATCAATAATAGCTATTCACTTTTCCGCATCCAACCCAGAGACTCCCATTGACAACAAAGCCCAAATCCCGCCTGCAAGGACGCTTCCAAATATGTACACCAAGAATAAACATTTGGTTCGAAAGCAAAGAAACAAAAGACGTTATAAACAGGAAAAGTGGAACGACTGCAAGCCAACCTACCAACCATTGCAAAAGATACACGGGTCTCGGATAGTATACAACGGAACGTCGGGGTTGTGCGAACGCAATCATTGAAGAAGCCGCCCTTCCCACGCTCTTGGCGAAGGTTGCGGAGAACTTTTGCGCCCGACTTGGTTGGGACGCGGCCCCTGATTCTTGGTGGCCGGCGCGGCCAAAACAGGGATGCCGATCGGCATGAGTTTTGACCAGGTGACACCACAGCAAAGACGACGTGCTGGTATGAGCGAATATTTATGCGAATGCGACTGAGATGTGCACCATGATTGTCAAATACTCTTCGAACGAGGACAGGAATCAAGGAGCCTTTTCTTCAAGAGGCACCCAGACTCACTCTCCTATGACTTAGGCAGACCGATCCAGAACCTCGAATGGATTGGAGTCTTTGGCTTCGACAACGACAGGGGGACCCTGCAGTTCCTCCTTGGTGGTCTTCTTGGCACCCTTCTTGGACGAAACAGTCGAAAAGCCCTGGTCAGAGTCTGCATCGCTAGAGACAGAACGGGCCTTCTGCTTGGCAGTGGTTGCGCGGGTGCGGATGGGCGAGTTTTCGATAGTCGGCTTCTGCTGAGACTTGTTCTGCGACCGGAGCGCCTGGACACGGTTGAGGGCCTCATCCTCAGTGCTCTCGCTGGTCTCACCGTTCACCTCAACCGCCTTGCGGATCTCGCGGCTGACACCCTTCAGGGCATCCAAGCCAGCCTTCTCCGCGGCCTGAAGGTTGCTGGGCTGGCGAGCGCCTGGATCCTTGCGATACAGATAAGAGCGGACGAAAAAGCGAGCGAAGAGGTAGGTCAAGGGAAGAAGGTACACGACGTTCAGCCAGATCGCAAAAGCCTGCCCGGTAGTGTCCATGCAAGTGACCATGGGGCCAACACGGTGGGGTTGCACAACAGCAGCAGGGCTCTCGGGAACTCCCACGTTCTCGGCAGGGCCTTCCGCACCTGCAGCCCGGAAGGCAAGCTTCTTGATCCAAGGCACCAACCCCTCCTCCGCAGCTTCAGCAGCCACAACCTGAGCAGTCGAAACGGGAGCTTGGGCAGCAGCCTGGCTGGACGGAAGCGTGTAGCTGATAAAGAGGTAAGAAGCAGCCATGGCAGAACCAATGACGAATTGAGTGATCTGCATGGTAGTCAAGGATCTCTTGATGACGGTCGGGACGCGGATGCGCAGAGCAGTGATGGTATAGTAAGTGTACTGTACGACATATCAGTCAGCGCGCGCTTCTCAAACTGAGGGAGACAGATCATTTGTACGTACCATCAGAGCGTGAATACCAGAGTTGACCAAGGTGAAGATCCAGATAGGAGCCGCAACATAGCGAATACCAGCCCACATGCACATCATGGCACCAGCGTGGTGGTAGGTCTGCAGAGTAGAGCTCTTCTTGCCCTTGGCGAGGATGATCACCGTGTCCAAGACCTCGTAGAACTTGGACAAGTAGAAAATCCAGCCCAGGAAAGCCAATCCCTCATTCCACAGGCGACCAACATCCGTGAAGTCAGGCAAGCCTGTCTCAGCCAACTTGTATTCCGGGTTGCGAATGGTCCACTGCTCGGCAGCAGGGTCATAGACGGCGGCATTCCCGTAACCGCGCGGGCCATTGACCTTGCACAGAGTATCTGCGACAGCTGCGACGTAGTTGGGATCATTTTGACTGGGCCAAGAGTTGCGGAAAGCGCGGATCATGCCGGCGAAGGTCCATGCAGAATAGATGGCCAGGAAGACATTGTGAAGGATCACAAAGAGCTTGAAGAGCTTCGTTTGGCTGAAACCCCAAGGCTTGTAGCCGCGACTCTTGTTGACGCGGTTGAGCACGATGACGGTGACGGCGTAGACACTGGCGATCGTGATGGGAACGCGCACGTCCAGCAGTTGATTGTATAGATCGGGAGAGATGTTGAAGGGCTGATACCAGGTAGGCTCTGAGGTGATGGGCGCAGGCAGTGTCGCTGGGAGTTCACTGGGAGGGAACTGTAGAAGAGAAGCAGGAGGGAGTCCGAACCGGATCACAGCCGGGTTCGACTGGCCGTTGACGGTAATGTCGACCATTGTGACGCAATCGGGAGCGGACAATGGAGAGTTTAGAGGGCAGGAGAAGGTAATCACACGGAGATAATATTCAAGTGATCAATAAGTTTGAGATAGTGGAGGAATTGCAAGAGATAGTTAGGCCCCAGTCAGGTTTACTGGCATCAAAAATGGAGATTAAGTGACGAGGAAGCGATTCTCAACAGTTCGCGTTCTTGACCCCAAAAAAGGGAAGGAAGCCCAGGTCTGAGGGAAAAAAAAAAAAAAAAAAAAAAAAAAAAGAAAAAGAAAAAAAAAAAAAAAAAAAAAAAAAAAGTTCTAGTGGAAAAACCACACCCGCAATGCCGCAACAGCAAACGCCAATTCAGTCACGATAAGAGCTCGGATAGAGGACCAGTTAGTTCTTTTCTTCTTCAAATCAAACCTTGCTCACTTTGCAAGGTATATATAAGGTGGTAAGAGAGAAATGGTGGGGGATCAGTTCAAGGAAACAGAAAGACGATCGCCGTTGGCACGCTAGAAGAGAAGCAGAGGCATTTATTTGGAACGGAGATGGAAACTTGGACTCAAAACCCGTCAGAGGACTCGAAAAGGTCAATATCCAGTCAACTCAATCAATCCAATTTCGATTCATCGCATTCAAAACCGGAGCCAGGCAGGAAACCGAATCAGGAGCAGCGATAAGAGCTTAAAAGTGGAGCCATGATGCGTTTTGTTGGGAATTCGGTCACCCTTCAAAGCCTCGGCCCAACAAAGGGCAGGGCAGCATCCATCACTGCAATATGGACCTTCAATTTTCTGAAGAGGTGCGGTATGCTTGTGATGGGGATCCGAGCCCGATCTCACTCCTCACTTGGAACTCTGAGGGGGGTCCTCCAGCAACTCAGGTCCAGCCACTCAATAGGGACTTTGGTCAGCTACCAAGGGGGTGTTCGTTGTATGGGTTAATGGTTCGATGAAGGGGCTGAGAATGGAAGCTATCTACATGTAGTTACTGAGAGAGTGAGAGTAATTTAGTACTGAAGTACTTGTGAGAGCCTATAAGCAACCCCTCCTCCTGTTCCTGCAGAAAGAATAATTCTTTCCCTGGGTTTCTGCCTACCTAAAGCATACAACTGTATACCTCGGCTATCCAGCCAGCTCAATTGGAGTAATTCTTTGATCACGGCGCATGAGCACGAGTAGGAGCATACTGACGCCAATGGTGGCCAACATCCATGGAAAGAAGCCTATCGGATACATCATGATCATGTTCTTCTTCCTCCCGCAAGTGAGCCATTGATAAATTGAATAATATGACATCAATGCGACCTCATTCCCAGGTCATTTGTGAAGCTCCCCTGATTGTATAAGAGGTAAGCGGTGAACCACGGCAATAATCTAAGTCAGGGCTTCAGTCAGCATGACCCCACCGACGTCATTGCCTGTCTGACGGACTGGCTATACTCGATTGGCTTAGTATGCTTGAACGCTACTGCATGGTGTGTCATGGATGTTCTTTCTAACGTGCCGCAGCTAAATATGTACAGTTAAATGTATACAGTAGAGGGGAACGAGGATATGCAACTGTATGCCGTGATTCGCTGAATCAACAAGAGTAGCGTAGCGGCAAGCAGTTTGTCACGTAGACACAACCACCGAAGTTACCTATATATCCGATTCGGTTACTCTCCGCTCAGCGGGGTTTGGTACTGAATGGAACAGGAGGAGGAGCTGAGCCCGTGCTGTTGACGGGAGCTGACCGCATCTCCGCCTTCTTCGGAGGCGGAGGCGGTGGAGGAGCCTTTCTTTGGCCCAGCGAGTCAATGCTTGAAGATGAACGATGTGTAACCGGGTGCGGGGGCACTGGGGGCATCTGTGCACTCGGGGTCTTCTTATCATCAAAGAGTTTGTTGACCCGCTGCGAGATTCCGTACTTCTCATTGAGCCCATTAAGCTTCTGTTTGCCTGCATCGATCTTGTCGCTATGGCGCTCACGGAAGTCGTTGAGCGACGCAGATCCAGCCCGCGCATGAGCGGTAGGGCCAGGTGATGGTCCATCACTGGAGATGCTTCCCCGTGCCGGCGGGGGAGGAGCTGGAGAGGTGGATGTAGTTCGCATCTGAGAAAAGCGGGACTGAAGCTCATTCACGGGAGCTTGGCCGATTGGGACCGGCGATGCAGCCCCTGAGGGACTGCTGTCGCTCCCAATCCCAAGAGCAGGCACAGAGATACCGGCGCGGGAGAGGTTGGAAGTGGCGGTCTGATTCAGGTATCCGTCGAGAGGTCTGGTGGTTTGCGGCTGTGCAGGATAGGCGGGAGGTGGAGTAGGCGGCTGCGACGACAGCGTTGAACTGGCCCTAGATGGCAGTCGCGGCGGGACGCTGGGTTTCGGTTTGGAGCTTGCAGATGTCACGGACTCTGCTGGGGATTCCACGCGCCTGACTGGGGGCGGCGGGAGGTTGGAAGTGTCTAGTCCGGTTCGATTCACTCGGTATGGTAGAGGAGGTGCTGCGGGCTTCTGAGCCTCATCATGCCGAGCTTGCTCCTCTTCCTGCTGTCGTGCATTCTGCTGATGAATTTGTTCTTGTGATAAGGGTGCACCCAAGCCTCTGCGATCGGGCGTGAGTTCGTTGGGAAGCGCCCCGGCGCCGTGGTACTTGATGTGCTTCGGTGGAGGGCCAAACGAGGCAGGATCCTTCAGGGAAGAGAGCGGTGCAGCAACACGCTCTTCACGCTCGTCTTTGTCCTTTCCTTTGCCCATCCATCCTGCCTGGGTGACGAAGGGTAGGTCAGCACTAGGACAAGATCAACTGCGTCATCAGAAGCTGACACGAACCACTTGATTGATGCCTTTGAAGTCATTCTTCCAACCTTCCTTTTTTCCGTCTCGCCCTTTTGGGTGCCAGCCCTCTTTCATTACCCCTCTGAAGCCACTCATATCGACTAAACGATGTCGAGGTGTTGTTGGAATGTGAACTTAGGCAGAAGACATGCCGATCAAACACCACCGGTGGTCGATGGGCCAGGCGGATGCGGTCGGGGGCGGAGCGGAACCATCAGCTCAGCCCCCACGCCTACCCGGATCCGGCTAGTCGCAAATCTTCCGTCCATCTGAATGCCTGTCACAGTCACATGACACATGCTGCTATACTCGATCAATTCTACTCCGCTATGCATTGCAATGAAAGAGAGAATATAAGACTTGCTATTATACTAATCCTCGCACAATATCTCAGCCTTGACGCAGGCCACGAAATCAACCTTTGATTCTATCCTATAGTACTACAAAGGGGAGGTATGCCAGGACAACCCTGTTACCCGATGCTAGGAAAACATATTCGAGTCCGCATGGGATCTGTATCCGAGCATCAGGACGAGCATCAGGATAAGTGGGACCAATAATTCCAGTCCTCATTCTCTCTTTAATGTACTAATGGCTGTAGGAGAAAATCAGTTAACGGCATCATTCATAGAAATCCCGCATGCGACGAAGCTCTATTTGCGATCGATTCGTGACGATTAGCCACCAGGCAGGGTATTTGTGTGTATAAGTACTAGGTGATTCTCGAGTCTTTGAAGGGTGCTCGTTGCACGGTACAAGAACTACCGATTCGCCATGATGCAGTTCAAAATACTTCTGACGGGAGCGACTGGATTCATGTACGTCCCAGCTCTTGAGGGTAGTGTGCATAAATTTGAATCTACGTAGTGGAGGGACTGTATTGCATCGCTTCCATCAACCTGACATTCGAGGATGTATTGCGGGAACACAAAACACTGGTGTAGTACTCATACAATGAAACGCCCCTCGAATCTAGTAATAGCTCGAGCAGGTACTCGGTAATCGTCTAGGACTTTGTGCCGCGACAACTTGTTCGTTTGACGCCGCTTGGCCCGCTTGCGACGGAAGGTCGCAGGTGTCTGCCTGATCAGTGTTCAGAAAGCCTCTGACCAAAGGCTCAAGGCTTGTTCGAGCCTGTCGATGCTGGTTGCTCTAGGGATATGGCGTGAGCATCGGAGTATTCTGTAGGAATCAGATGTACGGATAGATCAAACCGATAGATAACTTAATGCCGAAAGATCAGTGCCGACGCGGATTTGTAGGGCGCGTTGAGCCAAGTCTTCAGCAGACCGCAGATTGAGGATCGGCACGATCAGAATCCACCTTCCGAAGATGATAAAAGAGGTCAATGAATGAAGCCCGTAGCTAATGGGCGGCGATAATATACGGGAAATTGCAAGGGGTAATTTTAAAGACCGGTGGATTCATAGCAAGGCCACATATAGGGCTCGACTCGACCTTAAGCTTTGTGGTGTCCAGGCGTGGAACGGCTCACTGGCAAGCGGTCGATCATGATTCAATTTCGCAGAGAAAGAGTTTTTCTCCAATCAAGGGATAGAGTGTAAGAACACAGTGGAAACAAGTGTTCCTGGGGCGTCGGGAACGGGCGTTGCCAGATGGAAAAAAAGATATCTTCATTTGACACAGTCGGCGCGGGGCGGTGGGGGTAAAAGAGAAGCAGGTTGTTTTTTCGCTCGGCTACTCGAAGCACTCCATCCCTCCTCATCCCTCACGATCTACACAGCACTCATCCTTTTCAGCCAAGAATACGGGCTATTTCTTGGGATGTCATTGTATGACTACCATACAAAGCTATGAGATTATTCCACATCCAATGATCGTGTCTCTACAGCCAACTGCCCGGAATGGACGGGACAAAACGACCTTCCATCGGATGAACTGCCACTTAGTACTTAGACTCTCCTCAGCTACATGGCCTTCTCAGTCATCTCCGGGATTCTAGCCTAAAGCTATGACATGAGTGCAGAATTAAAGTAATGTCACCCCTGCCTGCCGCATCACAGAGCTTTTGTCACAAATCACCGACAGATCCGGCATTGTGCATACGTCAACTGTTCTCTAACTCTCCGAGGCGCAAGTCGTCTGCACCGCTTGATACATATCAACATGTATTAGTCAACCCCCGTGCAGGCTCTTCTTGGGAGTCTCTCCGTGGTTAGCGGGTCTCTTGCGATCCTGTTTCATTTGGGGAGAATGATACCTCATGGAAGGCGCACGGAGGACCGCACGGAGGACCGCACTGCCTGGCAATCTGTCATCAGGCCACCATTCTTGCCATCTGAGTTGGAGAAACGTGGGAATTCTGGGGCCATGACAACCACGCGATCGCAACCTTGCAAGGATGCATCCAGTGACAGGCAGGGTTGTTGTGGTGCATGTAAGAACTAAGCTGGGGCCGGAAGGCTATGCTGGTGCTCCCCTAGACCGAACAACGAACCGCTGCGCGATCCTTATTGCATCTAATGATCAATCGAGGTTGAAAAAAAGATACAGACTACCGCGGTTCTCCTTTCCTCTACTATACTGAGTTAGGTTGGAGCAAAGTTGACAGAAAACAATTTATCTCTGGCAATTAGTGCGCTGTTCCGCCGCTGGAATACGTACAGTCCTTCGGCCGGGTCTCCGCAACGCTCTCGAAAAGTGACCGACCGGGTGGAATTCGTTCCTTTTGTGTCAAAGCGCCCCCACCCGCAATTCGATCATGCACAGAACCAGAGCTCTGCCTTTGGCCCCCCTGTGATGGGTACACGATGCGCACAACTGACTATTACAGGCCGAACCGCTGCTGCACATTCTAGAATGCACAGCTTGCGGAGGAACTAAAATCTAAATCCAGCCCCAGGGTTGCCGTGAGATTGCATCATGGGATAGGGTTAGGCTCACCCACTATGACTTGGGCCATGCGGTTTACTCATCATATTAATCGGCCAGTGTGCTGGCCCCTGATCGAGGGATCATGCAACAAAAAACTCGAGCCCCCCCGGATTGTCCCATGTCTTCATAAAATTTCCCGAGTGCTCGTCCCACGATGCTTGCGGGCGCATTCGGTCATTGAAGGAGATGGATATGTCGGAACTTGTTGGTCTACCGCCAACAGGCGTCGACCTCACAGCAAACAATGAATCCAAAAATGACGCTATCGCCGCTACAATGTACACGTTGGCTTGCATCACAATTGGTGTTCGGCTGTTCTCTCGAATAAAGGTGCAGCAGGCTCGCATAGGCCTGGATGATTGGCTAATTGTCTCAGCGCTGGTACAGTTCCGTCGTCTTATACCAACACAAGCTCATCGACTAATACCTTGACATAGCTATCTGGAACGGCAAATTTGGCTTGCGCTATAGTAGGTTCGTGGTCTTTGTTCCTTTGCGGGCGATCGAATACTAAAATACGACTAGGAGGCACATATGGCGTTGGCAGGCACATCTGGGTGGTCAACATGGATGACATTATCGCCATGGTCAAGGTCAGAACAACCTCCTACCATATCAAGGGACCAAATGACTGACTTGAAGAGTTGGTTTAGATTATGTTCGCCAACGTTCTCCTCTACGTGACCACCGTAACACTGATCAAACTATCGATCATCCTGTCCTACCGACGCATTTTCGGCATGAGATGGACCATGTGGGCCTGTGTTGGTATCTCCCTGAGTTACTGGGCTGGCTGCACCATTGCGTTCCTGGCAGCCTGCCAGCCTGTATCGTACTACTGGACCAAATACTTGGACCCCGAGGGTGGGACAGAGCGATACGATTTGTCCGCATTCTACATTGGGCACGCTGTCTCAAATATGGTCGGAGACATAATCATTTTGCTGGTACCTGTTCCTCTAGTCTGGAGCCTTCAGCTGCGGGTTTCACAGAAGGTTCAGATCCTCAGCATTTTTCTCCTAGGCGGATTGTAAGTCTTTCCTCGGATCAGGGCCCTCAATGTGACGCCTAACAATTCCCCCTTTCGCAGCGTCTGCGTGGCCAGCGCCATCCGAATCTACTATTTCACCTTCGTCAACAGCGTCGACGTGACCTGGATCCTGGGCGATATCTTCATCTGGTCGAGCATCGAGCCTTCCATCGGCATCTTCTGTGCCTGCCTGCCGGTACTGCAGCCGCTTTTCCGGACCATCTTCAACCGCGTGACGGGCGCACCTGTTCGTGTCAAGCCCAAACCGCGAACCACTGGCCCACCGAAAGCCCTCCGTTACGCGCCCAACATCCTCAGCCGGATCCAAGGGGGAGATGAACGGATCGCTCGACGCGACGAGGAAGCCATGTTGTCGACGATATCCGCACGGTACGAGCTAGACAGTGTAGGAAAGGACCGCCTGAGCGGGGAAGAGACGGGTCCTTTTGATCTTCTGTCGATAACGATACAAAAGGAGTTCCAAATTCAGGAAGAGCATCGGTAGGGTCTGTCATGATTGAAAATGAGCAATTATTTCCTATAGAGAGGGAGAAAAGCAAGCGAGTAGCTGCATCCCGTTTTAATTTTTGTTGCACTGTACATAATGTTTACTCTTGCACAGGGACCGGCGTTATCATCATCGGATTGGAGTCGGAAAGCAGTGATTTGGTGTGTGAAATTTTGCAATTAGACATCTCAATACTCAATTTTGATCGGATAATGTTTAAAATGAGATTTAAAACTTGCAGCGTACTTGCAGCGGCTGATGGATGGACCCTCTAGTACACAGTACAAAGTGAATCTGGGTGCATCGGCCCGAACCATGACTCGGCATGGGTGAATGCTTCAGTCTGCATCGGCATGCCGACATCTTTGTTTTCTTCGGGGAGATGTAGAAACAACTGCTAGTATACAGTGAAGGTTGTCACCTGGCTCAACGCAACCCCCGTTTATGCGCATTTTGCGCGCGCAACTTTTTGAAATTGTGCAGCACATGGCTACCTGCCACTGGGTTTATAACACGGTTTTGCATCTCTTCACCTGTTCCTCTTCACTTTCTCCAATTCCTCCATTCTCCTTGAGTCTGTTACATCTCCCATTCCTCCTCACATCCACCCTCTACACTTTCACACTTCACCAAGCAGCAGAGATACGGATTACACGTGACTTCACAAACCCTCTCCCCTCCCTCCCTCCTGTATCCCCGCTGCGTTGCACCACCTCTACAGATAAAATCACATCATCCCCTACACACAGCAGTCTACCATAGCATCCGGGGGCCTCTGCCCTCGGCCTACAGCCTACCCCTCAACTTCCCCCCTCTCTTTCAATCTCTCAACCTCACCCCCCAAGGATAAAAGAAGGGAACCATGAACCCCCCCGGAACCGCCCCGCTCATCAACCTCGCACGCCAGTGCCAGACCGAGCTAGACAAACTGGCCAGCCAATTCGTGCACAATGTCCGGTCCTTTCGCATCCATCAGATCCAGTTCCGCTCGTGGCTGAAGGATTTCGCCGTCTGCAACACCCAGACTCCAGATATCTCGCTGGATTGGCGCGTCCGGAACAAGCTCGAGGCGCGGTGTGCGCTCTACATTCGGCTGGAGTCGTTGTTGTTAACGATTCGTTCGTGTAAGTTTCCTGCTCCTGGTGTGAAAGATGATGTAGGAATAATGGCGCTAAGATTTTGGGGTTGGGTGTAGCTGAGAGGAAGTTGAGGGGGGCTGCTGCTGCTGCAGCAGCTGAAGCTGAGGCTGGTACTGCGGATGAGAGTGGAGTATCTACTCCGGCTGCTGGACTGTCTGCGGCGGGCACTTTGGCGCTGGCGCTGGCGGTCGTTCCTCTGTCTGAGGCGGTGGGCTCGGATGGGACCTCGACTGTGGTTTCGCCAGTGATGTCGCCTGTTACTGCAATTGTGCCTTCAGCTGTGACTTCTCCGGTGGTTTCGCCGTTGTCGTCTCCCGTGATGTCTCCTGCGTCGGAGGCAGATTCTGAGGACAGTGGTGACGACGGAGATGATGATGAGGAGGAGGAGGAGGAGGAGGAGGAGGAAGAGACCGACGAGGAAGACAGTGATAATGAGAGCAGTGACAGTTCCAGTGACAGTCACGGACAACTCGAGGAAATCGATGCCTTCACCGAGCTCCTCATCTACTGCCGCAACGACATCTTCGCCATCATCCGGTATCTCGACGGCGACGCGGAGCGACTGGCGCGGACCAGCAGCACCTACGCGCCCAGTCCCCTGATGGCCCAACACCCCGAGTACGTCGTGCGCGACGAATGGGAAGCCGACGTCAACGAGGTGTTTCGGTTGGTGGTGCAAAACACCGTGCATCACCGCTGCAAAGTCCACGACCGAGTGCTCGAGACTCGCATCGTGGAGACCGTCTGCCAGCGACGCAAAGCCTTGAACTACCACTGGCGCTACCAGGACGGTTCGCCCATGAACATCCTCCGCCGCAACCTCAACCCGCCCACCTTCATCCTGGCGCTGTGGGACATCGAGCTTGGCAACCACCCTGCGCTCCCGAAACTGAGGCCCGGGCAGACCGAGTTCGAGTGTCCCTACTGCCGCTTCACGCTGCCAGCCCACTATGCCATACCTTCTGAATGGAAGTGAGTGCCCTCCCCCGCCCATCTTTAAACCCCTTCCCCTCCCCCATTCTCAAGTACATCTAACCCACCCCTCAACAAAAACACAGAAAACACGTCCTCGCCGACCTCGAGCCCTACACCTGCATCATCCCCCACTGCACCCATCCCACCCAAACCTTCGCAACGATCCCGCAATGGCTTTACCACATGGAAGTGGCCCACGCCTCGAAATGGCACTGTTTCGAGCCCGCCTGCCGACAGCGCACCTTCCACACGCAGATCGCCTTCGAACAACACGGCATCAACGCCCACAACTACACCCCGCAGCAAACCAAACACATCACCGAGTCCGCCCGCCGCCCACTGCCCGCCGTCTTCACCGTCTGCCCCTTCTGCGGTCCGCGGCCCGACCACGACCCGCCCAGCCAGCTCAGAGACGATGGAGCAGCCTACATCGGGAACCCGCGCGCGTTCGCCGCCGCCCAGCGCCTCTACAGCCACGTTGCCGCCCACCTCGAGGAATTCGCCCTCCTGGCGATCCCCTACCGGCCGCGTCGTCGGCTGCCGGCCGCGTATATTCTCTGGTATGCTTTGACCCTGGGTCCGAATGTCTTTCGTGGGTTGACGCCCCAGGAGATCCGGCGGGTGGTGATGCCCCCGCGTCGGAGACGGCGGCGGCCGGGGAGGGGGCGGACGCGGCATCGGCAGCGGCAGCGGAGAAGGAGTGGCGGTCGGAGCGACGGTCGTCGTGGTCGTGAAGGACGTCGCGATGGCCCCGGTGGTGCGGGCATTGGCCGTGCGGGTGGCCGTCGGGTTGAGTCCGACAGTGATTCCGATCCCGACAGTGAAGTGGAGGGGGTCTACGCGGGGGATCCGTACAGTGACAGCGAGAGTGATAGTGACTGGGAGTGGGATTTCAGTGATCAGCTCGTCCGACCTCGACCTCGTCAACCGCTGTCGTCGCTGAATGATCTGTTTTTCGGGCGCAGACGGCGCTTCCCCCATTCGTCGGTGTCGTCCGGGTCGTCGCTTTCGTGGAGCGGGCCGCCGACGCCAGTGGGGCCGGATATCTCAGATCTCGTGACGATTGTGACTGATTATGCGGATTTTGAGATCTATGAGGATCCGGAGGATTCGGAGGTGATGGGGATGGAGGACGTGGTGGTGAATGGGTTACCGGGGTGGGAGGACTACCAGGGGGAGGTTTAGGTTGGTCAGTTGTGGGAGGTGAGGGGTGGTGCGTTGAGTGGGGGTGGTGGATGTGGTTGATGTAGTTTGGGGGTTATTGAAGGGAACTGACGGTGGAGTAAGTGTCTGGAGACTGACTTATGTTGCTAAGTGATGAACTGGTGAGGTGCAGTGAGGACTGGATACTCAAGGTGACAGTGATGGTGAAGGTGGCAGTAGTGGTGGTGACTTGTCATGTGTAATATCTATGTACAATGTACTTATCAGATCTGGGTTTCAACGCAAACTGAACTCAATACTTAAGACTAATGGAATTGCATGCAATGTGACTTTAGCTTTGCAGTATGCTGAGGATTATCTGCACCGAATGACGAAGCCACACAAACTGTCAGCATTGGTTTGCAGATGTGAGATCAGAAGAAGGCGCTCTCTATCCGAGGGGTGTGCGAGGGAAAAGCGAATTGACTGTCAGCAGAGATATTGATGATTGAGGTATTGTAATCTAAGGTGTCTACAAGACTTTCTAGGCTGTGCTTAGAGAAAGCAAAGCAAACATAGCTCGTAAAAAGATCTAGCTCTAGAAACACTCTAACACAAGGTAATACAAATATTAACAAGAGAATCACAAAGTACATGCATCAATATATGCACCAAATGAGGCAACCTCCCAAACCTCGTGAATGAATCAATTCCGTGGCAGCAGCCCATGGTTCAGCTCAAGCTGCATCAACCGAAGAAACAATCATTTCAATCTCACTCGCTATCTCTGTCAAGAGATCATTCACCTCTTCCTCCTTCAAAAGTCCTCCCTCGACCCGCACACCAAATCCGATAGAATCGGTCTTGTGATCGGGAGCGATATCGATAAACACATTCTCGTCCGGAAGGAAGGAAGTGTCCAAGGCTGCCACGGACGTAGCCGTATCAGGTAGCGGCTCCGATGGAACGAAATCTGTTGGCACGCCGATCTTCAGAGGTAGAAATAGTTCGCTGCTCTCGTACACATCCGAATCCGGCGTGGTGTCGTTAGCTGAGGAAGCAGCGTTTTGCAGCCAAAGAAGATTGACCCAGGCATTGAACAGATGGCCTCCGCTTTGTTGAATGCCGGTCCACGAGAGAACATCTCGAAGAGAGCTCTGCTCGTACGAGACACGTTCTGCGAGAGCGGACTGGATTGCACGGGCCTGCTCAACGACAGCAGCTGGAGAAGCATCGTCAACCAATGTGACATTGGGAAATGTAAATGGATTCACGTTGAGACACGGGCCAGACAGTTTGTCAACGTCTTCAAAGGATGCAGAACGGCCTGTTTGATAGAGACCAACCGTGGGCGATGGTACGCCTGTACGTCTGGAAATGCCGCGGGAAACGGCGAGCAGAACCACCGCTTGAAGGCTGATACCTGCAGCCCGGCAGGTGCTTTCGAGCCTCGACAAGTCCTTGACTTTCCCCCAAGCCCCGACGAACAACTGATCGGGCACCTCATCCTCACTGATATTTCCTTTCTTGATCAGAGTAGGGGTAGCCGATCCCACTTTAGTTGACCAGTATCCCTTTTCATCGAGCGCACGAAGAGAGCGAAGCGAAGAAGTCACAAAGGCTGGGAAGTCGGGATTACTGGCAAGTTCCTGACCTCGATAAAGCTGCGCGAGCTCAGTCACAAACATAGGCATCGTCCACGCATCGTACGCAGCGTGATTGATAAGAACAAGAACACCATCACGATCAGTGGCTCGCAGAAGCCGCAGACGGACAGGAGGCGTGAAGAGTGTGGACGGGTGCAGCGCCTCTTCCCTAGCTTGAGCCTTCGCAGCTTCTGTGATTGAGCAGGAATGATATATGACCTTGAATTTGTCGGTATCACGCATCGCCTGCTTCATCACAATCTGGACAACATCTGTTGCAGAGATCGCTGCAAAGCATGTCCGTAATATAGGATGTCTCTGCTGCAGGCGGAACCAAGCTTCTTCGAGCTTTGCAGCGTTAACACGCTCAGTGCAAAAGTATGGCCAGGCGGACTCAAACATCTTCCTTTTGGACTTGAGCCAGCTCGCAAGGTGATAGTACTGCCCCCCAAGGCATGGAAGAATTACCTCCACCGATTTCTTCTCCATCTTGAGTTGTTGAAGAACAGCTTCCTCAACCTGCTCATAATTATCTATAAGCGCGGCGTGGGTCTGCGTCATGCTGCTTTCGGAGACTGACTGGATTCGCTGACTGATACCGCGGAGGCTGTTGCCTTGCAGAATGTCGGCAACACCAGTTTTCAGTCCCTTTGCACGACATAGAGAGGCGATACGAATGGCCGACAGTGAATCCAAACCAATGCTGAAGATGCTTGTGTTCGGGTTTATATTATCCAGGGAAACACCAGCAACCTCTGCAAGTATAGATCGAACGATGTCTTCATGAACAGGCTTTTTGGATTCTGCGACTTCGTTATCCTGAGCCTCTTGCTGAGATAGCTTCAAGGGTAAATCGCCGAGGCCCGCAGGTACAATCGTTGCACACCTAGTGGGATGTCCGACGATATCACTAAAAATGATAGCATACTCGTCCAAGAGCTTGTTAAGCATGTCCTGGGTGAAATATGTCCCATCGCAGGAAGCAGTGACCACGATACCATGACTAGCATGATCAACCTCAATATTCAGTTTGTACTCAGCCTGCGCAGTATAGTTATCGACCTCATATGGTGTCCAAATCGTCTGCCTATTGATAATGCTGCCCGCAAAGTCTGCACTTTTCTGGAACACGAAAAGTGTATCGAAGAGAGATGAAGAAGTAAGAGAATGGTACCGTCTCAATGAGTTTTGCACGGTCCGCAGAGGGGCGTTCTGGTGCACTTGTGCATCGATTGACGACTGTTGCAAACGGAGAGCCATTGCCTTGTTGCTCAGGAACTTTGGCTCAAAACTAACTCGCTGGGCAACGGTATTGAATAAGGGTCCCAAGGTATTCTCAGCTCCTGACACTGACAGTGACCGCCCTGCTAGAACTTGTCCAAAGACAATATCGCGCTTTCCCAAAAGGCGAGCCAGCAATTTGGCATAAGCTAGGAGAGACACGCTTTGAACCGTGACCTCCATGGCTTTGCAAGCCTCAATCACGGTGGACAAATTGTCACTCAACAGCCGCTCGGATGTGAATGCACAGTCAGCAGACACAGAGGTAGGAAGCAGAGGAAGCTCAGAGACCTCATATCCCTGAAGTCTCTGCGTCCAGAACTTAGAAGACTCGTCTTGTCCCTTTAGAATATGCTTGACTGTTTCCGAGAAGTTCGGTCTCTCTGGGGGCGAGCCACCATTGTAGATAATGGCCAAATCCTCGAAGAAGAACGGGATAGAGGCACCATCATAGAGTGCGTGGTGCAAGAGGATCACAAGAATCCTGCCCTCCGGTTGGCTGACCAAGAATGTCTTAATCGGAGGAGCCTGGAAGCTTGCTTCATCCCGGAACGAATACATAGCAGTAATCTCGGACAAAATATTATCGTTAGAAGTCAGCGTGATCTTCGTCCATTCAAGTGGCGGTTGTGTATGGACAGCACCGATCCAGGAGGACCCAAGGTCCTCAATCAGATGGAAAGATGTGCGCAAAATATCATTCCTCTCAATAACCTTGGTCAAAGCTTCTTTGAGCCGAGATTCATCAACAGAATCCGCAAGCCTGACAGGATGAGGATAGACGTAGACCTGCCCATTAGTGGCCAGAGTCTGAGTGATCATTCCCGACTGCAAAGGCGTGGCCTCAAACATCGCAGAGATAGAGTCATCGTCGCTTAGAAGTTGAGTATATTTACCGTAGACCTCAACATTGATGGTGTCGCTTTCCTCGTGTTCGGCCTCTTGGTCTGAAACCCTACTATTGGTAGTGTCGTCAATATGCTTAGCGAGTGCGCCTATGCAAGAGAATCGCATAACATCAGACGAAGAGACATCCAGACCTGCTTCGCGGAGCCTGCGCGAGAATTGAATTGCCGTGACCGAGTCTATGCCTAGACTCAAAAATGACGCACCCTTGGTGACATCCTCGATAGTCAATCCACAGAAGTCCGCAGTGTGCTCCCGAACCAGAGTCTCGAGCGGGGACCAGATAGAATTGTCCCATGCAGCGACAGGAGACTGTGTGCCTGGTGTAGATGTCCGTGATAAGTTGAAATTGGCCAAAGAAAGACCTTCGCCAGCTACTACACTTGAGATCACGGCCTCCATCTTTTCAAGATATTCCTCTGCATCGTAGGAGGATCCAAACGACGATGAAAAATTGCAATGTAACTGAATCGTGTCCTCTGCATGGTTTGCCTCGACTTCGACAGCAAAAGGATATTCTGCGGGCATATGGCTATCCAGTTCATGCCACAGACTGTGCTTGAGTGACGGGGTGGAGTGGATGTACGAGAAGAGGCAGTCAAAGAGCGGGGTATCCGCTCCAACCCAGCGCTGAATGTGTCTCAGCGGAGTGTGCTGGAATTCGAGAGATCTTATAGTAGACTTTTGCACATGTTCAATCACCTCGTCAACCGTCTCCAGATTAGTGGTATTGAGACGGCCAGGGACAGTGGTAATACATGGCAGTAGAACAGACGAGGCGCCTGAAACAGAAATAGCTCTCCCTGACAGAACCAAGCCGTACGTCACGTCCGGAGCCCCAACGGTATCCGCCAAGAGAAGTGCGAATACTGCTTGGACCAAAGATGGTACAGTAGTGCGAAGTACTGCAGCGCAGCGCTCCAAGTCACTGAGACTGTTGCTGAGCTTCCTGCTCCGAGAAGTAGAGAGTTCCATTGCCCCAGTGTTTCTTCGGAAAGTGGTTGGACGGTATCCTGCCAGATACGGAACCCAATGATCTTTTGCCTTGTCCATATCTAGAGTGCACACATGCTCAATGAACTCCGACGGCGATCCTCTCGGAGGCAATGCCTCTCCCACGTACCGGGCTGTAACATCCTCCATTAGCATGAAGAAGGACTCGCCGTCATAGAGCGCGTGGTGAATGTCAATGAATAAGGCGGGAGGCTGATTCGTGCCCACTGATTTCGCGATCAAGAATCGTACTGGTGGCGACCTAGATATGTTCGATACTATGTCCTGAGAGATCCGATCATACTCTTGTCGATGGCTCTCTATCGCTTGGTCCAGGCTATCGAACTCTTTTTCCTCCCAGCATATTTCGTGGAAATCAACTGCAAGTATCACCTGCACCATCTGTTTGTTGAAAGGGGCGAAAGCAGTCCTTAGGATTTCATTGTCATTGGCGACCATTTGCCATGCAGACTTGAGCATATCCAGATCAACAGTAGGCTCGAGCTTCAGGATAATGTGATTGACGTAAAGGTGATTGCCTTCACTATTGATGGAGCGGGCGACTAGACCCTCCTGAAGGGGCAAACAAGGTCGAACGGCAGCCACGCGAGCTGGGTCTAAGTCTGAGACTGGATGCTCTCTGTATTCAGATTCGATGCGGGCGAACCATCGACGGATATCTGAAATGACGGATTCGGTGGTCGAGGAGGAACGCCTAGGCAAACGCGCGAGTTGCTCAACAAAGGGGTTGCTCATGACAAGAGCCACAGTAGCTTGATAACCGATTCCCCGCAGCTTGATAGAGAGACCAATTGCACTAAGACTATCCAACCCAATTTCAAAAATGTTTGTCAAGGGTCCGATTGACGACGGATCTGCTGCAACAACACTGCAAAGTTCTTTCGCCACAGCCTGCTCATCAGCAGACAACGGCCGGTTGACGAAGGTGTCGTCTTTGCTTGGCGCATTATTACCTTGCAGAACAGTGGCAAGGGGAAGATTTGAGAAGAGACCGGCCAGTTCCTTGATGTTGGCTTTCCCGGATAGAGGTGCCAGCGGTATGTAAGTGATGGGAAGGACAAGCTCAGGGACCATGTAGTTAGGTAGCTTTCTCTTGCAAGCGTCCTGCAGTTCTTTGCCGAGCGTGGCAAATTCGGAGAAGAGAAACGCGACATTTGCGTCTTGCTCGCACTTGTGAGTATTTGATCTTGCAACAAACGAAATCAGCTGTTGTCTTGAGAGATCAGGGTGTTTTGCGACTGTTGTTACTACACTGATATCAAGACTAGAGGAGGAGCGAATAACCTCGGAGACTTCTCCAAGTTCTAAACGCTGCCCACGGATCTTTGTTTGGTCATCTCCGCGGCCGAGATACTCAACAGAATCATCTGGCATCAGGCGCCCAATATCACCAGTACGATACATCCTCTCGCCGTTGGGCCCAGTCACGAATCCGGTGGCATCGGGCCTGTTGAGATAGCCTTTCGCAACGAGGTCACCTGTGAAGCATAACTCCCCTGTCTGACCTCTGAGAGCGTACGTGAGTGTGCCAGGCATGAGGACGTGACCGACACAAGCACTTAGGGGAGGCCCAATGTTACGAAGATTTGTATCTCTGCCCACAGGGGCAAAAGTGCAACCAATTGTTGCCTCAGTCGGACCGTACGCATTCACAAGGGCGAACCCTGGTGCCGACGCCCACGTATCCAGCACTTTCTGCGTGATTTTCTCTCCCCCGACCGTCATGTACTTCAGGCTAGGGCATTGCGCAGGTCCGATATTCGATTGATCCACCAAAGATGGAACAAGACTCGCATGCGTAATCTCCCATTTGGAGATTGTCAATCCAAGATCATTGAGAATCATAGGTCTAGGAGCAGTCACTGTAGCCATGCCATGTCTCCAGGGAAAGAACATTTCCAAGAGATGGGGGTCAAAAGCACGGCTGGCTTGAGCAAGATATCTGCCCGTCCCTTCAAGCTCCAAGGTGACTGGGGCACGTTGACAAGTGAATTCCGAAAAAGACTCGATAAATGAGGAGAGATTCCCTCTGGTCACCATAACGCCCTTGGGTTTGCCAGTAGAGCCAGATGTATACAAAAGATAGGCTAAATCATCGGGTTCAGACATATAATCCTTGTCCTCGGTTGACATCGCCGTCAATGAATCTGAGAATTCAACACTGTCGAAGCATGTGATCTGGCAAGTGCCTGGCACGTTTTCGAAGGATGCGGCAAATGGCTTCTCAGTGAAGACAATCGGGCAGCTGCCATCCTCAATCAGAAATACCTTCCGATCAGCGGGCAGACCATCATCAATAGGGAGGTACGTGTTTCCCGATTTGAAGATACCAACGATAATGGTATACGAGATGAGATCACGCTCGGAGCAGACCGCAATCATTCTGTTTCTGTGACCAAGAGAGGCAATATAGGCAGCCACGCGATTAGCTTCGGCGTTCAGTTCACCATAGGTCATAGTCTCCTTCTCGACTCCAGATTCTGTTATGTTACTCGCAACCTCGACGGCTATCAATTCAGGATTCTTCGCAGCATACAGCTCGAGCCAATGCGTTGGGCTTAGACGCACTGAGTTCACCACTTCCTCGCTGACAGGTTGATCGGAGATCGACCGCAGGCTTTTTGAGAGACGGTTGACCAGACTCCCAAAAGGCTCGTCGATCGCTGAAAGCATTGAGCTTATCAATGCATCAATCTGACGAACAAAAATCGACAGCTGGGCGTGCGACATTATCCTGCTGTCGGAAGAGGCCTCGATATAGAGCGTACCATCAGAGCGCTGAAAGACGTTAAACGCCATGGGATGTTCAACGTGCAGGCCCACATCATCTTTTGATGCACGCCAAATGCTCGGTTCGACAAGCTCAAGCGATTCGTCACCGACAACATGGAAATTGAAGACAGCTGGATAGAGCGCCTCGCCTCTCTGACGTTTCAACAGGTTTCGAATATCGCGAGCGTGTATATGTCGGTTTTTCCAGGCTTGAACAGAGATTCGTTGCTGATCGACGAGTATTTGCCGAACGCTTCCTTCTGGATGAAATGGAACGGGTACGACGGATATCAGGGGCGCAATACAGTCCTCAAGATTGGGGTGCAGGACACGATCAGAGAGGGTCTCAGCGAACACGGCTGCCGGGAGTCCAAGGTAGCTTAGTGATACATAACACCACGCTGCCCGGATGATGGATGCGATGGAGGATAATTCAAGTTCTGCTGCAATTGTCTGTAATGAAGAACTTGGCTTTGTCAAAGACATTCCTTCCGAAATCCATTGGTACACTGGGACTTCGCCTGGTTGCAGCCTCTTGCCAGTGAGGTCCGGCCAAACAGGGGCGTCAAGGTTAGTGAAGTCCTTGAGTTCAGATTTCCAAAACTGGTTTGTTGCCTGGTAACTTTTCTCAGTGGGAAGAATCAAAGAAAATGCCTCCGTAAGCTGAACACGCAAGGGCGGTTTATACGTATATGCACGTCGAACATCATCCAATATCAGACCAAGTGAGGGTTCATCGTGTATGGCGTGGTGGACAGTGAACATCATAGTGCGTTCGGCGCCGGTATCAAATATTGTGACGGCCCAGGGCGGATGCCTGAAGTAGGCTTTCTGATGCATCGACATAATCTCATCCAGTCTCTGATCCCGTAAGTTCTGAAGATCAGAGCTGTTGCACTGCAGCGACTTCCAGTTGAGGTCTGGAAGCTGATAGACGATTTGCAAGATCGAGAAATCGTAGTGTTCGGGTGTGCTTGGACTTGAGCCTCCAACTTCAGCAACGGGAATGAAACCAGTCCTCAGAGCTTGGGTTCGCTGGCACGTTGAGAGCCATGCTTGCTTCAACCTTGGGAGATCCACCACATCATCGAGAAGAAAGAAGTGGCTGCTCCAGTACATGGAGTAGGTTCCCATCGTCTCAGTAAGCAAGCTTTCCTGTAATGGAGACGCTCTGAGGATGCTGAAGTCTTCTCCAATCTTGGCTGCCGCAGCGCTATGCCACTTCTCATTGAAATCACCCACGTCGAACGTTTCAGGTGAGTCCACTCGGGTGCCTTGATTTGCTTCAATGACTAAAACCATCAAATCTCGGACAGTCACGCAATTGAGAACATCGACAACCGAGACCTGGTGGCCGGCTTCTTTCAGTCTAGATGCTGCCCGGATAGCACGGATCGAATCGATGCCGAGGCTACTGAGGCGGCTGGATTTGGAAATGAGTGATGTCGACATACCAGCTAAAGAAGAGATTATCTCAAGCACGTCGGTTGCAACAGATGCGTCAACTTGGCTTTCGGCGACCAATTCAGAACCGTTGGCCAAGTTCGTTTCAGATTCCCAGCCATCGAGATCAAGAGACGTGTAAGCCGCTTGAAGTGCTCGCCTATCAGTCTTGGCTGAAGATGTCTTTGGTATATGGGACACTACCAGGAAAACTGAAGGTATCATATGACCGGGTAGGAGACGCTGGGCTTGCTTGCTGGCAGCTCGAGCTATCTCTACAGCGGAGCGACCATATATCATGAGCTTCTCCTGACTTTCCGTGGCTGCAGCTTTCGGCGCAGATAGAAAGGCAACAACCACACTGCTGGGCCTGTCCGGACGACTGAGAAGAAGAGTCTCAACGCTTTCGACAAGCGAATGACAATTCCTCAGAGAGAAGCTTATTTCAGACAGTTCCACTCGAATACCGCCCAGCTTGACCAGGTCATCAACACGGTTGATGTACTCAAGCGATCCGTCAGCAAGCATGCGAACAAGGTCACCGGTGTAGTAAACTATCTGTGCAGCCTCCTCGTTCCAAACATACTTCGCTTTGGTGATATCATCCTGATTGAGGTATCCGGGTGAGAGCTGTGGACCACCAAGTGCCAGCTCTCCGACAGCATTCTTCATGACCAGCCGTTGATCCTTGGTCACAAAAACCGAAACTGTCTCCATGGGCCAGCCAATGTTGGCGCTTTTGACATCCTTGTGCTCATTGCCGAATTCTCTGATCGTCGAGACTACCGTTACCTCGGCCGGTCCGTACGTATTGAAAGCTCTCATGTCCGTTCCCCAGTCATCAGCCACAGACTGCGTCAACTTCTCGCCGATCATTGTAATGACCTGTAATGTCTCACAGCTTTTCCTAGATATTCCAGCTGAGAATGCAGGGGTTAGATGTGCATGTGTTGCTTTTGTAACGTTGGCCAGCCTTGCAAATGAGCCAAGCATGATATCCCTCGTAGCAGAGATGAGGACGCCACCAACTCCCCAAGTGTAAAAGATATCTTGGATTGACACATCGAATGTGTATGCTGAAAATTGCAAGCATCGCACGCCCCCAGCCACGTCTGTAGGGATGTCACTTTGAAGAGATATCATACTAGACACGGCAGAAGAATGTTTGATCGGCACACCTTTGGGTGCTCCTGTTGTTCCACTCGTCCAGATCAAGTACGCCATATCATCAGGCTTGGGTTGGGCCCTGACAGTAGTCGAAGGCAAAGTCTCGCCGTTGATTCTGGATGCTCCCGCATCAATGAAACGATTAACATCGATGCTTCGGACTCCGTCAGGAATTGAGCCATCTGGCTGTGACCCATCGAGGTCAGAAACCAGTAAAATGCTCGATGCGGTTCGGGAAATCAAGTCGTGACGACGTTGTGCAGGGGACTTAGTATCGATTGGACACCAGGCGCCTCCAGCCTTGAGGATACCTAGGATTGCGACGTACATGGCTGGGCTTTTTTCAATGCAGATTGGAATTGGGCGATTGTTGAGCTCACCGCTGGTATGGACAAGATGCACTGCAAGGCGCTCTGCAATGTCATTGAGCTCTCCGTAAGACCAAGTGATATTTCGTGTGTCATTCTCGTCATCCAAATTGTGCATAAAGATCAAAGCAGGGTCTTGAGGGTGTAACAGCGCATGGTTTTCGAACTGCCAATGCAGGAGAGGATCCTGTACCATGTCAAGAATTCTAGGTTGGGGGTTGAAGGATGACTTGAAATCGTGCCTAGTCCTCAAAGGACCATCGACGAAATTACCTTCAGGCTCGTCGAGGATATAATTGACGATATCGGACATTTGTCTAAGCATCATTTGAGCCGAACACAAATCAAGCTTGGACTCGTCGAAACTGGCCCGGAACGTCAAGGAGGAGTCAGGACACGGCCACACCTCGACCATGACGGCAAAATCATTCGCCATGGGCGGATGATAGATTGAACTCCAGATACCACTCGCATTGGACCCAGCATTGAAATCCTGGTAGGCGATCAGTGTATCAAATGGAAGTCGTCCTTCCGCCGTAACGAGCGTTCCAAGGCCGGGCTGCAGGTGAGACAGGGCGCTTGCGTTAAGCGTTGCCAGCCGCTGAGTTATAACACGATTTGTGCAAGCATCTGCCTGATTAGTTTGCGAGTCTTCGAGAGCGAGTCTAATAGGAATTGTGGTAAATGTCGGCCCAATGCAGGCCTCGGAGACAGCATCCAATCGACCCGAAATAACACTACCCATCATCACATCTTGATCTGGTGAGCCACTGTAAGCCAATAAGATTGAGCCCCAAGCTGCTTGAAGTACAGAAAGCGGGCTTGATCCTATAAGCTTAGACCTCTTCTTGAGGATGTCATGGCGGATACTAGCCGTTACTTCCACACAGCCAGTTGACTTAACTGGAGACGGTCTGTATGAGGTGACGGATGGGAATGGCACAGGAGAATGGTGCTCTAGTTGCTTATTCCAGAAGTCGGAGGTTGCCGTCTGATCTGCCCGAAAGTGGTGCTTCACAACATATTCGAGAGACGTTCGTGGCTTAGCAGGCTCTTCATAATAGATAGAAGACACATCCTCAAGCAGGAGCTGCAATGAGCCTCCATCAAATATTCCGTGGAACATGCTCAAAACAATCTGAACTGTAGCGTGACTCCTGACCAGAGAAAGCCTGAAGGGTGGTTGGCTTAGTTCAATGCCCTCTTCAGCATCTCGGAGAGCAGCACGAAGAGCTTCCTCGGCTGAGACAGCCTCTGTGACTTGATAGACACCCCATTCAGTTGGTGATCTCGCTTCAGGAGTAAGAATGCATTGAGCAAAGGGTGCCATATCATCGTCAACCCAGCAGAAGACTGTGCGGAAGGAATCATAGGCGGCAACAGCAGTATCCCAAGCCTTCTGGATTCTATGTACATCGATATCTGGCTCAAGTTTCAAGACAGTGTGGTAAATATAGGACCGTGTCGCAAAGGTCATGTCGGATGAGCTACGCAGGAAACTGGTAAGCATGCCAGATTGCGTTGCTGTAGTCGGCAGGACCTTCGCAACCTGCTCAGGCTTCAAGTTCAGTCTTTCTGCACATGTTATGAGATTTCTGTCACTGAATTCCTGAAGTCTTAGGTGGAGCATGTCGTGCGTTCCGTTCATGTCTGTCTTTCCGGGCATTTTGCGACGCTCAAAGACGAGTGAAATCAGGCCCTTTGGCGTTGAAGATTGCAAGACATCGCCGACAGACAGGCCATCAAAACCATGATCTCGTAGCTTCTGCAACAATCGCATTGCGCCAAGACTGTCAATTCCCAGAGCATATAGGCCAGCTTCCGGTTTGATGGCGGTAACATCCTCGTCCGCTGTCTGAGATATGAGTTCTATCAAGAGCTGCTGAACGGAAGACAGGTTCTCGTCCTCTGGGATGTCCCACTGATCTCGTACACCATTGGGAGTGTCTCGAGTAGGCTGTTGTGAGGTATAGAACTGAATTTCGCTCTTGCCTCCTTGCAATGCAGCCACAATGGCCTTGCGATCGACCTTGCCGGAACTTGATCGTGGTAGATCGGGGAAGAATGCATACGCAGAGGGGCACATATACGTAGAAAGGTGTTGCTGTGCTTTGTAATGTGCCTCGTTCGTTATCAATTGCTTCTCGGCAGCACTCGCGTCAGTGTTGCTGACAACAAAGCATGCCACAATCTGTTCGCTGCCCTGAACCTCGACGTCACGTTTGGTTACGACGGACACAACCTCTGTCACGCCCGGAGTTGTGGACAGTACTGACTCAATCTCACCAAGTTCGAGCCGGCGGCCGCTAATCTTGACCTGATCTGATGTTATGCGGCCCAGGAACTCAATCATTTGAGAGCCAGAATCATCCCAGACGATACGCGCCATGTCTCCAGTACGATACAGACGTCCAAAATCTGCGCTGCTGACAAAAGCTTTCGCAGTTTCCTCCGGGCGGTTCAAATATCCTTTGCTGACCTGCGGACCTCCTAATGCTAACTCGCCAGCGAGACCTGCTGCAACTGGTTTCGGTGTATGACTGTTTGGATCTAGTACAAACATCGCGCAAGTCGGAAGCGCTTTGCCAATGATCGAGCCACGAACCGACCGACCGACCGGTGCTAGATAGGTGCAATTGATGGCTCCCTCAGTGGGCCCATAAGCATTTACCAACATCATTTGAGGCCTGTCAACCAATGTACTCGTGAAGTTTTCGATAACAGTCCTGTTCAATTTTTCACCCATAGTCCAAAGCGCTTGAAGCGTGGTCAACCGGGAAGGTCGTAAGAGGGCAGCCAGGCTTGGCGTCGCCATCATAATGGTCGCTCTTGCTTCGTTGATGGTGGCTTCAAGGTCAGTCAATGTCAAATTCCGATCAGCAGAGCAAAGAGTAGCTCCGGTGCTCAAGGTGACAAATATTTCCATGAGTGACGGGTCGAATGTAGGGGAAGCAAATTGGAACCAGCGAAAATCGCCTTCAAAATCACCAGGGAGTGGAATGGACGTAGCATGAGATGCTATAGAACAGGTGACTGCGCAATGGCTGACTTGGACACCTTTGGGCTTCCCAGTAGATCCACTGGTAAACAGAAGGTAAGCGATCTGGTCACCATCAATATCCACTTCTTCGAGGATATTTTTGGACGGTGGAAGATGAACACCAGGATCTATTAGAACTTCCCATTTTGTTACATCCTTCACATTGACCCATATGGGCTCGCTTGTATCTTTACCCTGCTCCTCCGTAGACCAAGGTCCCAAAGACGGCTTGGGCATGTTACCCAGAATGATAGGACAGTCTATGTCCCGCAGAATCTCACGAATCCTATCCCACGGGGCGTCCTGTGGAATTGGAGAGAATGCGAAACCGGCTTTCAATATACCAAGGTAAGAGATGTACAGTTCAGGTGATGTTGTCATGTACACGGGGATTACTCGTCCGCAATCAGCAACATCACGGGCCGCCAGCAGGTCCCTGATATATGCCGCCAGATTGTCAGAGGCTTGGTCGAGGTCAGAATAAGTAAAAATGCTGTGCTTTGCAGAAGAAGATTTCGAAGGTAAAGAATGAATGAAATCAAGGGCTATGGCATCGGGCTTTGTCCGGGCCCAGCCCTGGAACGCAGCGTGAAGGAGAAAACTTGAGGGTATCGTAAAATCAGCGGTTTCATTCCAGTCATGGCGTCGTGAAGGGGGTATCATAGATGGGGTATGATTCATAATAGAAAGATTGGGGGAAGTGGCCTCGCAGGCCAGTGAGGACGACGAATGCGCCAAATGAGTCGCAACGCTCTTCAGCAGCTGATCCGCCGCAGGGGCGGGGATCAAGCGGTCGGGATAGCTGAAACATATTTGGAGGGTAGCAGCGTTAGTGGAAGGCTCCACGTATAACGTAAAATCCTACCGGTCGATCAATTAGACCAAATGCTGCAAGGCAAGTGACATGAAACTTACATTTTCGTGTATCTGAACAAAAGGCCTTTGATCGGCATTTTCAGGTTCGCTGCAGAATCCCAAAGCCAGGTAAAAGTGGACCTCATCAGCAAATTGGTACTGCTCATCTCCCTCTTCGATGGTGCAGCGCTGGACATCGTCTTCCGTGATGAAAGATGCACGGACCACTCCGCGCGCTCTCTCCGATCCGGAGACAGTGGTTGGATGGCGTGCGACAAAAAAGGCGATCTCATCGAGCCCCGTGAAGCTCGAGATGAAGCGAGCGTACCCTTGAATAAGGCTACTTGTGACAGCTTGGAGGCTTGTAGTGCAAGCAAGCTCCAAGCGGCGGCTCAGAGTAACTGAGCTATGCGCAAGACCTTCGACAGCGTACTGGTCGACCGTATCCAAAGCAGGAAGTCTGGTAGTCGGGATAGAAGCAAAATTCATGGCTGAACCGAGAGCATTGTTTGTAACAGAAGATGTTGTTGTAGTAGTCGACGAGGCGATGTGCCCCTCACTTTGCGGTTGGGCGGTTGCCATTGATTTGAATTATCCGAAGCGGGGTACCAGTCACGCACCAGCAGATATTGACCGCAACGCTGACTTGCTCGATAGCAGAAGGATTAACTTTGAAAATGGTCAAGAGACGAGGGTGCTGAATCACAGGAGTGACCACAATAATAAAGAAGATACGAGCTCCGCTGTTGCGCGAGAGGTACTTTGCTCACGCAGGAACTTTCAAGGATATGCATAAATGCTGTCTGGTCAGCATCACTTGCAGTGGATCCATACGGGAGCCACGCGAAGCCATTGGGCATTGATCACATTTTGCAAAAGGCTGCGAGGTGAAAGTGGGGTGACAAGATTTAGGAGCCATCCAATCTGCCGCATTCAAATTCATTGCGGATTGCAATAGAAGTAAGCAGATTGGCAGAAGATACTGGTTGGAGCTAGGGAGGGGTTGAGCGTAGGTAATTTTCTTCGCCTTCCTTGATCCTGGCCGTGCCGCATCGGTCCGTGGCAGACGCGCGCATCGCGCCACGGCTCTTGGCCTCAGGCCACATATTCAGGCCAATGATTGCCCGGCCAGCCTGGCTAACCAGACGTCCCGGCCAGATGTTTCTCCGATCGTCGGCTGGGAGGCTTATCTGATTAGATCATCTGATTAGATTCTCTGGTCCGTTGTCGAAGCAAATTTTTGCTGCAAATGCAGTCCTGGGCTACAATCTGGAAACCTCCTCTGACACTTTTGTGCATCCAAGTCGTCTCTTTTCATAATATGACCAAGAGTTATGGTTTGTCATGTTGATTTCAGGAGTTCAAGGCCCTTTCTGCTGACTAGTATAAAAGAACCTGTCTGATATTTTCACTTACTACAACCATCACGATTGAGCACGCTTTAATATCAGAAGATAATTACTGTAAGAGCTTGGGCAAAGACTCAATTTTCTTGATTTAACCTGGCCCGTCACAAAGCACTATCAACATTCATAAAGCTTATAGCATTCGATCTATTGACTAACCTTGCTGACTATACATTGTATTACAATTATACTTATCAGCTTACATACAGCTTAAAACTCTAGAACTACATACTCCTGTATATGTGCTACTACTATAAAAGAAGCCGTGGATTGTTGAGCAACTCAAACTCGAATAGTACTACTTGTGCTATTTTGCGAATACATCCGGCAGTTCCCGGCGTCAGTATATATATCCGCGCCGACCCTGTTGCCAGGAAACCCAACACAGCTACCACTGGCAGGTTACAACTGATATACTCCTTATCTACATAGTCTTTCGCTGATACCATACTGCAGAAGTCAAACTGCCAGTCCTTCTATAGTGCTCAAAAAAGAGGCGCGATTGTGCAATCGAAAAAGAAGAAGTCTTATGAGACCCGACCGGCAAAAGGCGGATCAGATAAACGGAGCCGGGAACATCGAGATTCGTAAGTCTGAGTTCATACTCCACTTGACAATTTCGTTTCGCAGATTGATTGGCTGGGTCATGAGCTGGATTTGTCAATTTCTCACGGTCCTTTCCATTCTGGTCATATTTCTACATGAGCCTCTGGCATCCTGGATTCTCCTGCAGTCAGGGATTGGACGAGGTCTGTCGTGGATCCGGTTGCGCCACTTGGCGCCAATCTGATAAGATGATGAATAAAAGATACGGAAAGCAACCATCCGGCTCAGTTCGTAACTTGGTTTCCGTAGTCACACGATTTCGTCCCGAATTGTGTCACTGAGAGACATTGCAGCAGAAGTGCCTCTGGTAGCGTCTCATTGCCTTTGAACCTCACTCTTTTCAGCAGCCTCACGTCTTTCTCTGACAATAGGCTTTCCGTCGGTCTCCGGCGAGACCTCCGAGACGAGATTTCGGTCAGATTCAGGCACCCCCGATACGACAAAGAAACGTACTGTGACACAATGTCCCCATCGGATCCACAAATCTGGGCATCAGCTCCCCGGTTCCCGGTGACACGTCGGGTTATGTTGTCGCTATCATAAGGATGGCCTTAAGAATGGACTGCCCCCCTTTATCTCGCGACATTCTCCTCCAGCTTTGCTGTCTATCAACTTTTGTCTAGCTGCTCGCTATCGCTCTCCACTCTCTCTCTCTTTCTCTCTCTCCGCTTGCCCTGTTCCCCCGCATTTAGACTGCTATATCTCAACCTCAGCAGCAGCCAATACCTAGCACCCAACATGCCGTCCAACGAAGGCCTTGTCTCTTTGGCGCGCGAGTTCCGCGTTCTGATTGTTGGTGGCTCATATGGCGGGTTGAGCGCAGCGATGACGCTGCTGGATCTCTGCCGAGGTCGTCTCGCTCGTTTCAACTTCACACCCAATGCACAACCCCCTCGACATCGCATACCCATTCAGATCACATTGGTGGATGAGAGGGACGGATACTGTGAGTCGCGTGGTTTTCCAACCTTCATTTGAGATACATCACCACTAATGCGGACAATAATACTAGACCATCTCATCGGTTCCCCCAAAGCACTTGCCTCCGAGAAATATGCCTCAAAGACCTGGAACAAATTTGTGGACATCCCTGCGTTGAAGACTCCCGACGTCAAGTTTATCCGGGGAAGCGTTCACTCGGTGGATTGTCAGCACAAGGTGGCTCAGATTCTTGATCTGCAAACAAGGCGATCAATTGAGGAGAAGTACGACTTCTTGATCGCTGCGTCAGGTCTACGCAGGGCTTTCCCGACGGTACCACAGTCTCTCGAGCGCGAAGAGTTCCTGCAAGAGACCAGGCAGAATGTTGCAGCTATCCAGAACGCAGAGGAAGGGGTGGTAGTCATCGGAGGTGGTAAGTCTCATCAATGCCCTCGTGTCTAGGCCCAAGTCGTTCCTAAGAAGTTGTAGGTGCCGTTGGTGCCGAAATGGCCGCAGAATTGAAGGATCTATATCCCAACCAGAAAATCACTCTGATCCATTCCCGCGATCGACTCCTTTCTGCCGAGCCCCTGCCTGACACGTTCAAAGAGCGTATCTGCTCAATCCTCCGCGAGCAGGAGGTAGAGGTTATTCTGGGACAAAGAGTCGTCGACACCACTGCCGTTGAAACGGAAGGAGGGCGCCGTATCTGGGAACTGACCCTTTCCGACGGCACTCAGATCAAGGCCGGCCATCTGATGAACGCTGTCTCCAAAAGCATGCCCACGTCCACTTATCTTCCTAGGGATGCCTTGGACGAGCATGGGCTTGTGAAGATTAGACCCTCGTATGCTTCTCTATTCCAGTCTCTATCCTTTTGTGCTCCGACTGACCGCCATGTAGCCTGCAATTCCCGCGTAATGTTCCCAACGCAGATGATCACTTCGCTGTCGGTGATATCGTTTCTTGGTCGGGAATCAAACGCTGTGGCGCTGCCATCCACAAGGGCCACTATGCGGGGACCAATCTTCATCAGCTAATGTTGGCGCAGGCCTTGAACGCTAAGCCTGAATTTGTTACTCTGACGCCGCACCCGCCCGTCATGGCTATTGCTCTGGGTAAGACTGCGGTGGCGTATGACTCGGAGGGTGGACTACAGGATGGTGAAGAGACGTATGCTACCATGTTTGGTGATGATATGGGTTTCAGCAGTAAGAATCCTCGGATAGTGTCCGTTCCGTCGTTTCGCACATACTGACTCCATTTAGTCTGTTGGAATTACATGAAGCTGTCGGAGCCATGCAAGGCTTAGATTACGCTTGAGCCGTGTTTATGTCCCTGACAAAGCAGGCATTTGTCAGGCTTGGGACCAACCAAGGGGGCGACAATATAATGGATACTCTGGAAGAGTCGGAATTCTAGCTTCAAGTGCTATGTAGCACTTTCGAGGACTAAGCCGATGCATAGTCGGATATAACCCGAGTCCGGCATGTTATGATTGTTTCTAGCTTCAGAATGATTGTCCCTACAACGAAGGCTCTGGCAGCCCCAATCATTTTTTTTGTGAGATATATAGACAATACAACAAATCCACCTTCAAATCACCAGGCGTTAATGCATCTAGCACTGCTTAAGCTTCGTAGTATCGAACCTCAGGACCACTTGGTTTTATCTCTTGGAAAATTACATTGACATATTCATTAGAGCATTACTTATAGACAAGGAAATCAACCGCCTCACGCCTCCCGCAAGGCCTCCCTACGCGACTTTGAGCGAGTATCCAAGTACGGTGCTTCACCCAGACTGCAAACCCGGTCTCCAGCCCGAGCCTCCACATAGTCATAGGTCGCACAGTGCCAAGTCGACCTGTTATCCCAGATTGCCAAATCATTCTTGTTCCAGCGGAAGCGAACCTGCGCATCATGGTTTTGGGTGACAAGCTGCAAGAAAGGCTTGTCAGTCCAACTGGCACACGCCTATAGTTATTGGTAGTCTGTTGGCAACTCACATTGAACAAGTAGTTGAGCAACATATCGGACTCGTCTTTTGTGACTCCGTTGATGCGCTTCGTGAATCCCTTATTCACATACACGGACTTCCACCCAGTGACAGCTAATAATGATTGAGGTCAGCTCGAGCTGCACAAGTAACGTAAGACATTATGAACACCTACGATTCGTGCGGATCACGGGATGAACGGCGGTCAGCGCCTCTCCCTGGTTGAGCGGAGACCCTCGAATTCCTTTCCGCAACGGATTGCCCAACCTCCGCGCTTCCTCGTGGAAGAAAGTCGCGTCGTGTGTGGCCGTCAGCCCCTCCAACATCCCGGCCATGGCGGGCGACAAGCGATCATAGATCTCATATCCCGACGCCCAGAGAGTATCGCCGCCCGTCTCGGGAAGCGTGTGGATCTTCAGCATGGCATAGTCGGATGGCACGGGTTCGAAGCTGATGTCGCTGTGCCAACCCACCGAGGCGAACCGACTCGTGTCGCTGAGTTGATGTGTAAGACCGCCTCCTTTCTTCTGCTTCTCGCTGCTGATCACACTGATTTGGTCGCCCAGTTCACTGCCTTCTTCTGTTAGGGGATGGATGTGTAGTCCGGATGACTCTGGCTGCAGAACAGTCAGTAAGTAAATCTGTCTTCAACCGCGGTGCTGGATATTGAATAACAAGCTCGCTATGTGTACTTACGCATCCGGCCAAATATGTTAGTTTCTCTCCAAACTCGCGCATCTGCTGCGGTGTCACGTCCTGATCACGCAGGAAAACAACACCTCTGCTTGAGACTATTCACATCAGAGCTGTCGAGCCCGGCTTTTCAAAATTACCACTCACTCGTTACCGCCAAGTCCTTGATGATCTGATCACGTTGTTCTGATTTCAAGATCTCTGCCACCTGAAGACCTTCGTACTCGCGACCAATTACCGGCGTCAGGTCTCTTTTGACGTACGAGTCGAGCGTCCCGGAATACTGGAGTGGCTCTGAAATACGAGGACGCGACTCTTCATGGCCTCCCCTGATGGTCGCAGCCGGACTATTTTCGACGACGGCAGGCATGATGGAGATTTTGAACGACACAGAAGCTGAAGGCAAAAGCAACTAAGTTAACGGGATATTCGATGCTCGAAAACAGGCGGACGATCTCGTCAAGCTTCCTGACTCTTTATATAAACTATAATAGCCGACGGATGTTTGTTCTACTCTGCGGCAGCGATCACGGCTGGTATGTTGTCAACGTGTAGTCTCCACCACAGTGGAGGGTGCGCGGGTCCTGCAGTACGAATGGCGACAACTCCTCATCACTGCGACGCGAACCCTCTTCTACAGACCATGGATTTTATCCGCGGGTCGCAATGTCGCATGTTCCGCACAGTCGCAAGGCCATTTGAGTCAAGTCCCTCGTGGGCCCATGGCCCTCAATTCCCCCGCATGAATCATGCCCGATTGGTTTGCCTCGGCGTGATACCAATCAGGAGCCGGCGGTGTGGCTATCGGTGGGGCGTCGGTGAAATTCTCGGAGGGCTTCCTGGTCCGTGTTATGCCAGTCGTGGTCTCGCCCAACGGCGCTATCGCTGATAGCGAATAGGCGCTGACAACGGGCTCCTTGGTCGGACAGGTGTGCATGTGCTACGTCTACAAACAGCAATGCTCCGAAACCTGGGGACATGAAGGCCATATCAGACAGAAATGATGGGCAAGGGCTGCGTTGACAGTGCGTGACAGGAAAAGGAATATCCGGGGAAATCTACACCTAAGAACCCTCTTAAACGATAGCCGTGAACTGTGGGGTTCGACGCCTCATCGCAACAAGCATGGCCTGTATGGATTTATTATGTTTTGTTTTTTTCTGAATGATTGTTTTCGGGTCTTCATAAACCGATGAGAAGAGAGACTATTGGTGAAAAGCTTTGGTTGTCGGAATGAAAACTGGTTAGCGTACAGCTTGGGGCTCCAGGCGGCGATGATGTGCTCGGCGATCCGTTTTGTGCCATTCTGTTAGTCCGATTCTGGACTCATGGCATGCATACACGGCAATGCCAATAACACCATGTCTGTGGTTGGCTCAAGCAGACGGTCGTTGTTGAGGACCATCGCGAATAACGACATCGGGGAATAAATTATCAACGCCACGACTCTGATGGTATATAAGTCCACCACCATGGAAGACAACCCGGCTTTGGAGGCTTTCCGTTCACGTCCACTATCTTGGTCTTTTGTTGATCTGCGTTACTAGCAGCAAGACCTGCGATAGCCATCATGACCGACATTGAGACGGGCTTCAAAGGCTCCATCAAAGCCCACGATGTGGAAGACACGCAGTCTTCCAAGGTGTCGATCGAGGTCGGACAGGAGCATCTGGCTGGCGTTGTTCCTCCTCACGAGTCGTTTGAGGGCTTTCACCGATTCGATCCCACCGCCACCTGGACAGAGCAAGAGGAGAGGAGAGTGGTTTGGAAAACCGATCTGTTTCTGCTCACGGCTCTCTGCACCATGGTATGTTATTCGCGATATGCACGAAGCGGCGAACACTGACAAGAGCAGTTCTTTGGTCTCCAACTGGATCGTGGCAACTTGTCAAATGCGTTGACTGACAATTTCCTGGTTGATTTGAACATGACGACCGATGACTACAACAATGTGAGAGGTGCATGACCCAACATACGCGCACAATCTCTGACTCTGCCAGGGCTCTACTATTCAATTAGTTTGCTTCTTGTCTGCGGAATTTCCGGTACAGCTTCTCATCAAGAGATATGGCTTCAAGCGGGTACTTCCTGTCATGATGATCTGCTGGAGTATCGTGTCGTGGGCTCAGGCGTGGATGACCAACCGGGCTGGCTTTTATGTGACCAGAGCACTCATCGGGGCTTTCGAGGGCGGCTTCATTCCGGGTACTATTCTGTTTGCGACCTATTTCTACAAGACGAAAGAGCTCTCCGTGCGCCTGGGATTTTTCTGGTCCACCCTCAACGTACGAACCTCCAGTTATAACCAGACGAACCCAGCTAATGGATCAGAACAGGTTGCTCGTATCATCTCATCTCTGCTCGCTGCCGGTATCCTCGAGATGCGGGGTGTGCAGGGCAAGCCTGGCTGGTTCTGGCTGTTCCTGATCGATGGACTTATTACCTTCGTCATCGGCGTCGTCGTAAGAATCCCCACGAGCCCCAACCACCAACTCACATAACAAAATACTCACATTTTCCAAATAGAGCCTTTTCTACCTTCCCAGCTCCCCAACGAACACCACCAGCCTGCTGTGCCCTAAGAACTGGTACACCGAACGCGAAGAAGTCATCATGATCAACGTGAGTCCTCCTCCTCACCCCCTCCACAACCCCAATCATACTGACACAGGATCCCTCCCCCACAAAAACAGCGCCTGCTCCGCGACGACCCCTCCAAAGGCCTAACCCACATCAACGAATCCGCCACCCTGCACGACATCCTCTCCGCGTGGAAGGACTCCTCAATGTGGGGCCTATATCTGATCGGACTCGTGGCCTACATCCCCCAGAGCCCCGTCTCCTCGTACCTCTCGCTGACGCTCAAGCGACTGGGCTTCACCACATTCCAGGCGAACATGCTGTCGATTCCCTATGCCGCGATCCAGATCATCTGCATGCTGGCGCTGTGCAAGAGCAGCGACTACTTCGGCGACCGCACCTGGCACAGCCTGTTCGGGGAGTTCTGGTCCCTGCCGCTGCTGATCGCCCTGCTGTGCCTGCCGTCCGGCGGCTACAACTGGGCGCGCTTCACCATCAGCACCCTCATCTCGGGGTACCCGTATTTCCATCCGATCGTCTCCGCCTGGATCTCCGAGAATACCTTTGATGTGAAGAAGCGCGCTATTACCGCGGCGACGTATAATGTTATCGTGCAAGTTGGGTCGGTTGTCTCGTCGCGTGAGTTTGAACCCCTCCTCCCAAAAAAAAAATAACCAAACATTGTGGATCAAGGAAAGTGTCACCGTACTGATGAGTTCCCGGTTTGTAATATGCTCCAGAAATCTACCGCACCAGTGACTCCCCTTACTACTACACCGGCAATAAAGTCCTTGTCGCCCTCTGCGTCTTCTCCATGGCCGTCTTCATCGCTCAGCGCGAGTACCTCCGCTATCTGAACCGGCAGAAGGAGAAGAAGTGGGCCCTCATGTCGCAGGAGGAGCGGTTGCTCTACCAGGCCGACAAGGAGGCGCGAGAAAAGGAGGGGAACAAGCGCTTGGATTTCCGGTTCAAGTACTAGCCCGTGTGATGCCATGGTTGGTGAATGGGATGTCTAATATACTAAGTTAATGAGCGTTCGTTCCTTGGGCTTGATTTGTTATTTGTACAGCTGTGAGCCTTGACTATTTTTATTTTTCACTTTTTACCTCTCTACTTACTGATACAATGGGAGAAGGGAAAGTCTCTCTGGCTTCATTTATTAACTCATAAGGTACGTGTCATTCGTAAGAGAGAGGGGCCCCTGCATATATAGATACCAACAAAACAGGACAAACCGGCATGGGAGGACCAGATCAGGCGAGGAAACTCGGACTCGACAGCTCGACCACCTCACCATTGGTCATGCCGAAATAGTTCTCGGACGGGAACTGGGCACTGGTCCCGGGGGTTTGAGGGGTGAAATCGCCCACCCACATTCCCACCGACTCTGATGACGGCAGAGACGGCGGGAACCACAAGGCCCCGCCAAGCAGCCGCGGGTCTCTCCCTTCCTCCAATAGTAATGGAGACTGGCTAGCGTTGGGGATGCCCAGGTATGGGTCGTAGGCGTAGGTCGCGGCGGCCGCAGCAGCAGCAGCAGCATAGCCCAGCCCCGCGGAGAAGGAAGCAGCGCCGAACAGGTCAGATGGCGCAAGATGAGCCCCCACCCCCAATGAGTGGAGAGAATGATGATGCGGCGCGGCGCTACTGTCATCGCACGGCTCCTCGGGCAGCACACTATCTCGCGTAGGAGCATGGGTGCTGTCCACTTGGGAATCCAGGGTCTGAAACGTAGTAGTAGCTTGATAGTAGTCGTCCGCGGCAGACCAATCAACCACCGAGTCGGCAGCAATGGGATCGGCAGCACTAAAACCCTCATCTAGCGTCGTTGCAGGCAGGTCTGCAACGGGAGGTTTCACCCTACTGTTGCTGGTGGCTGCAGGCCGTTTCCTCTGGCTTTTACTTCTAACTGGTGCGTGGGCCTCGCGGATGGGCGGCGGTAATGCAGGGCCACCGCTGGACTGTGCGTCCGCCATTTTCTTATACAGAAGCTCCGCTAATTCTTTGTTTCCCCCGCCGCGGAAGGTGGAGAGGATCGAGTGGAGTCGAGCCAGGATGCTGCTGGGGCGGCTTTCCCCATCCCAGACTGGTGCTCGGGGGAGCATGGCCAGATTGATTACGGCGTCGGCTAGTGAGCTGGCAATTTCGTAGAGCTTGAGCTCCTGGTAATGGGTTTAGCAACCTTTTGGGGGGATGGGAGATCGAGGGACGCGTACCATGCCAAGGCCGTGTGCTTCAATTGCGGTTCTCGGGAGCTGGGAGACTATGTTCAATAGCTCCTTCGCTACTAGCACCGGAAAAGAAGGAGAGTTTGGCCATTGAGACGCAGGGGATCCTTGAAGCCCCTGTTTGAACGAAAACTTCCACAGTATCATACGCATCCAGTGCCTCGTTACGCACAGATCCGCTTTTTGAACATCCGATATGTGGTCTAGCAAGGCTGATCCGTCTTGGAGATTCTCCTGGAGCAATCGCAGAAACCTTGAATCAACACCCTGAACCTCGTCTGAGATTGTGTCCCTTCCACCGTGATCCCCCTCGATGAGATCAAACATTCGAGACTGTTCAAACAAGCGGAACAGGTTGAGCAATTTGAGAAAGGCTGGCAGCACTTGTGGCTCATCGCTTGTGTCTAGTGCTGGAGTGGAGACATTCGTTTTCAGGATGACCGGTAATTTGTGGAGGATGCAAACCCCTCTGAGTCCGAGTCAGACACGGCATTCCGTCATGATAGAGGTGCAAAGCAATCTCACCGTTCTGTTACAAATAGCAACCATAGTACGCGGCGACGCAATTGTTGTTCCTCTGCTGGCAGCCCTGCATACGAAGCTTCTCGGTGGAGGGACATCATCTGTGCCAAGGTGATTGCCTCTCGTAAATATAGTAAGGATTCGCTGGCCCCCGACTGTTGATTCTCGTAATACACGTGCAAAAAGAACGCGGTGCGCACATTGTGAAGATTGAGTCTTGACCGATAGTCGTACAGTCGTCTTGCCCTCATGCTCTCGAGCGCAAAGTTCTCGGCACTTAGAGATTTCTCCGGGCCTGAGGTCTGTCCCAGCCGTAACTGGGCAATGGTGGCGGCGGCTACTGCAGTCGCGAGGGCGTATGTTTCGTGCTCCTTTTCTTCCGTGTCTTGCTGCAAGGTAGCCAAAACCTTTTCGACATCAACAATCGGCCAAACCGGATACATGCGAACATGGTAGATGTATAGCGGGGATGCGAGGATATTGATCGGAATTCGAGATCTGCATGCTCTTGAGGTTAGAAACTGGCTGCGCTAACTTTATCCCTGTCTACACTGCGCCAACTCCTCAAGAACCACTGCGCATTTAATGGAAGAACAACGTACCTCGAGCTCTGCTGGGTTTCGCAGGCAGCGGGGTTCGGGACCGCGTGGTTCTGTTCCAGCACTTCCCCGCTCACAGGCGTCGAGGTAAACGCGATTTGCGTTTCAAGGCCTCGCTGAGCTTGATCAATGAGGAATTTGGTGGTCGCGCGTAGCTTCTGAGGACCGCGAGGCTGCTGTACGCGGATATAGGTGCACTTGATGCGCGCATTGAAGCAGGACTGGCACGGCTGGCCGCCGCCGCACCTAATCTTCCGGATCTTGCATCCATCACAGGCCTTCTTGGTGATTCCGGCTCGCGAAGACATCTTGGCCGTAGGTGCAGTTGCGGTGACATGCATTACAAATCACTGGTGTTAGATGCATGACCAAGCCGGAAACCGTGCGGTCGTAAGAAGCGGCCACGGTGACTGATTGTCAAAATGTCGAAGGCAGAGCGATCATGCCGACGATTTTGCGGGGCAAGCCATGGGCAGTGCTTGGCAGATGCAGCTCGAAGCGAGGCGAGACCTGGGACGATCGCGGTAAATCCCGATCAGCGTGGGCTGTTTGCTCGCGCAACGATGAACGTGGCCATGCAAGTGTGTCCACAGTTTTGCAGGTTAGTCGAGTGTCAGTCGATTGTTGACAAAAAGTTGATGGATGGAACCAACGGACGGCAATCGATAAGGGGCAGACAGCGATTGCGCCTTCGATTCCACAGGGCACGTCATTGCCGAGACCCACCGGGGTGCATCAAGTGGACTGAGTGCTATGGAGTGAAGAGTGATAAAGTAGCAATGAAATCTGGTGAGGCTATACAAAAATCCCCACTGAATGAATTGGTACTAGAGTAGACAGTAACTCACAACATCCCATGCTGATCCCAAGATGTCAAACTTGCAAACCCTGCAAACTATACAGCATGTGACTTGATGTGATGTCCTCAAATGCGGGGAAGCAATGCAAACAGGTCAAATGCCGCCAACGATTCCTGTCATCCCCGAGACTATCATTCTACAACCTACTCCTATGGATATATTCAATGAATTTGTACTGAGCCACGCGTGACCAGTTCCGTAGAGGCCCCAGAGTAGCTCCAGTGCAAGCTCAGTTATGCTCCCGTGCCGCCCTGACTCTTGAGTCCTCAAAGGTATCGATTTCGATGGTCTTCGCTGGGAGTTGTGTTGTGCCGGATGGAAGAGTTGGACCGATTTTCGGGTTCGAAAAGCAGGTGCGGCGATATTGAACCCTTGTGAGGCAATTCATAGAGGAGAGGGAGCTCCATGACGGTCGTTCTCTGATGCCATTGGCAACCGACTTGCTTCGAGTAATTTGGGGAGCGATCGAAAGCAGAGATTCGCTCAGCAGGCGTCGAGCATCAATATAAGCAGCCAGCAAACATGCTGTATTAGTTCAGAGTCCCCGGGGTGGTCGTGTTTGACTTCAGCCTGCAGCCATCCACAAATAATTGTGTCATTCTCATCTCATCCCAGTCTAAGAGATGGAAGCATCGTCATTCAAATGAGGATCAGTAGGTTTCGGAAGTCCTCAGTGCCAGCTAGACCAGTCAATTCAAAGCCAGCTTGCTTAAAGAGGCACAACTGATCACTTGTCTACTGGCCAATAAGTTCTTTTCGCATGCAAGACAAAGCTCATTCTGTAGCAAGAGAGTAGTCCTGATATAAGTAGTATTCCAGGATATGCCGCGCACAGAACAGCCCGCCGCACGCAAGCCTTGAAGCTAAACCCTTCCCGGCCAGGTGGGACTCAAATCACCCCGAACTAAACATCGAGACCCTCCGAGCAAACCTCCGACGCCTCTTGCGCCTCCTGCTGTCCTGCCCAGATGTCTATGTGATTGGATTCGGTGGCTCCACTGCTGCACCTGCGCAAGAACGCGCAGACCAATGATTGATACCGCGGTTCCCAGCGCACGCAACCGCCCCGTCGCAGTTGTCCAGATAAAATGGTACCGCGACCCCTCGCGCGGGGGAGACAGACTGTCTACTATTTAAGATATCACAGCAGTGCCCCCTCTGGCAGTTCGGTTCAAAGCAAATTCGAACCACAATCTTACACACCATGGCCTGGCCGAACAAGAACAAAGACATGCTCTACCGCCGTGTAGGCAATTCCGGCCTGCATGTCTCTGCGCTGGGACTGGGAGGCTGGTTGACGTGAGTTGATCCTGGCTGGTCGAGAGAAGAAGAGATGAATTTTCTTTACTGACATTCGCTTTGCGCCTGACTGTCGGTAGATTTGGAGGCCATGTAGACAACGGTACGACTACACCGCCGAGATCTTCCTCACAAGACTAATTACCGTGGTTTTCTGCAGAAATCACCTTTCAGTGCATGAAGCAAGCCTACGATTGCGGAATCAACTTCTTCGACACGGCAGAGAGGTACCTACGAACTTCATCTAGGGCCGTCATCCCAGGCTAACTCCGTATAGCTATGCGGGAGGACAATCCGAGATCGTTATGGGCCAAGCAATCAAGAAATTCGGCTGGAAGCGCAGTGATCTCGTGATTAGCACGAAGGTTCGTTCCCATCAACCGCGTGAGAAAAGAGAATGACTGAGCCTGATAAATCCTGCCAGCTGAACTGGGGCCTCGCCAACGGGGAAATCCTCATCAACAACCACGGGCTTTCGCGCAAACACATCGTCGAAGGCACGCGGGCCTCGCTGGAGCGCCTCCAGCTGGACTACGTGGACATCATCTACGCACACCGGCCGGACCGACTCACGCCCATGGAGGAGACGGTGCGGGCGTTCAACCATGTCATCGAGAAGGGGTGGGCGTTCTACTGGGGCACGTCGGAGTGGTCGGCGGACGAGATCAGCGAGGCGTGCGGGATTGCGCGCGCGCTGGGGCTCATTGCACCCATCGTCGAGCAGCCGCAGTACAACATGCTGACGCGGCAGAAGGTCGAGGGCCAGTTCCAGCGGCTGTACTCGCGCTGCGGGATCGGGTTGACCGTCTTCTCGCCGTTGAAGATGGGCCTGCTGAGCGGCAAGTACAACGAGGCCACCACACAGCCGCCGCCGGGGTCGCGGTTCGCCGAGAGCAACGACAAGTACGCCAACTACGTGCGGAGCGAGTGGGAGTCCGAGTGGGCGGGCACAATCAAGACGGTGGTTGGTCTGCAGACGCTGGCGGATAAGCTCGGGGTGAAGCTGTCGCAGCTGGCGTTGGCGTGGTGTCTGAAGAACGAGAATGTCTCGTCGGTGATCACGGGGGCGTCGCGGCCGGAGCAGATTGTGGATAACGTGGAGAGTCTGAAGTTGTTGCCGCGGTTGACACCGGAGGTGATGGCGGAGATTGATGAGTATTTGCAGAATAAGCCTGAGGCTGACCCTGCGCGACAGGATTAGTTGCCGTTTGAGAGCTGGGCAGTGTAGGTAATGTAGAAAAGCAACTTCAATGAAATGGACTAATCCAGTTGACACCATGTATTGACAAGTGCAGTTCCAACACCTTGTGTACAAGCAGACCAAATAAGCCAGTGCAACAAAGACAAAAAGCACGTGGCACCACCTCCTCCCAATAACCAAGTGTTAACCACAAAATCATTACATCACCTCAACATTCACCTCCCCCTCACCCCCTCTCCAGTACATACTTCAGTGTAATACCTCTCCTACAATTACAAATGACCTCTGCATATACTCAACAATCTTCCCTCTAATGAACCCACCACCACCCACAACCGAAACAACAACTCTAGAATCCCTCCCCCCGGAACTCCACTACCTGATAACTACCCACCTCCCCGCACTTCCCGACCTGTCGCGCGCCCACCTCGCCCAAACCAACCACTACTTCCACACCCTGATTCCATCCCCGACCCACGCCGACCTCCTAGCCGCCGAGCTGGACCCGCTCGCCATCGCCCACGACCTCTACGCCTGCCGCTACTGTCTCCGGCTGCGGCGCGCGACGTGTTTCGCGGACCGCATGCTGCACCGCGGCCGGGGCCGGTTTGGGCGCGAGGCGGAGCGCGCGAAGCGGTTCTGTTTGGAGTGTGGGGTTCTTCCGCGGGGGTCTTTGACTTCGGTTGAGGGTGAGGGTGAGTGTGGTAGTGCGGTGGAGAACAAGGGAGACGGGGGTAATGATGCTGGTCTAGTAAGAGGAGGAGGAGAAGGAGGAGTGGAACGTACCGGTGAAGCGAGGTACGGGTATGGCGATCTGGTGCGGGTGCAAGGGGTGTGGATGATGTTTTGCGGAGAGTGTCGGGGATTGAGGCGGGTTGTTGCGGCGGAAGACTATACAAATGAAGAACAGGATGCCCAGAATCAGAATGCAAATGCGAGCACGACTGCACATATACATGCCCACAAAAAGAGCAGGAGGATGAAGGGGGTCGGAGTCAAGGAAGAATTCAATATTGGGATGCGGATGGGGAAGGATCTAGGTTGTGAAGTGTGCTTGCAGTTTGGCAGTCAGTCTCCAAGAAATCTAAAAAATTGTTGATGTGATGATATTGTCTGTATACCACTAATGTGTAATTGAGATACCCAGTTCGAATGAAGACACGAGAATGACACTTCAGAGAACCTGGAAGCACAGCACACAAGCAACACACCCACAAGAATCCCTCCATCTCCCCCTTGACATCAACCGTCCCCTCCTCGACAATGACATCCACATAAAAACTCACGTACTCCACTCCCTTCTCGATCGAACTCACCCCCAGAAAACTCCCATTGTCCTCCCCCAGGATCGCTCCCCATGCGCGAACAATCCCCGCCGCCAGCTCATCCTCATCGTCAGTACCCAACTCGGACAGATATCCAGTCCCATACGACACAAGGTAGCCCGCCCCATCAAAGAACTTCAACGCCAGCGCCTCACCCGAAGTCATCCGCGTGGTCTGTCCTGGCGGCAGAAGACGAAACACCACCTGGTTGTTGCGATACCATGTGACATGGATATCCTGCTGCACGGCGCTGACGGTAGCGTTGCCAGAGGATCCCACAATCAAGTTTTGAATCACAAATTCCTCGAGCTTGTCCTCTGCACTCAGAATCCCAGCAAACCCATCTGCTGTTGGCAGTGGAACTGGCACAGAGAGTAGATGGGAAAATTCCAGGCCGCGATCCCGCAATGCATGGGCCATGAGGTCTTTATAGGTTGTGGGATACAAGTCAGGAAGATGGAGATCATCCATTGCAGAGTAATCGGCTGCGGCGGCGAAGATGATCGCAATGAGAGAGCCAGTGAGGCAGGCCATGTCCCAGCATGCATTCAGGCGCATGAGCGAGCATATCGAATTGACGAGCACAGTGAAGGCGAAGGTGTATGCAATCCTGCGTTGCGCAAAGGGTCAGCATGGACTGTGTGGGTTTGGATTACAGAATTTACTTGTTCTTGCTGCGTCCGAGAGTACGTAAAATTGCGTCGATGTGCACGCACAGCTGGCGAGTCGTGTCGTGTGTCAGAGGTGACTGGTTATAATCTTCCAAGATACGAGCAAGATCGATCCCAAAGTCTTCACAAACGGTGACTCTTCCCGTAAGAAATTCGCCCTGTCCAGCTTCCGAGGCTGAAAGAAGGAGGAATAAAGGTATCACGGTTCTTTTCATGGTCTCCATGCTCAGGGCGGTCTGCAGACGTGAACTGTTGCTTTGAAAACACGTCAGCAATCGCTTCCCAGACTGAGTTCCAAGACTAGGTGATGGTCCTACCGACTCCGCATGATCAAGTGATCTTTGAAGAAGAACAGCCAGAGTAACATAGACAGACCAGAGAAGAGACTAGTCAACAGTGACAAGACCCAACCAGTCCAGGTGGTCTTGTTTGGATGAAAGCGAGCACGCGTAGCTCGCCCGGTATGCTTTTCTGTGTCATGGGATGCTGAATCTGACTCGTAAGCAGAGTCAGCAAAGGTAATTTCGCTCATCGTCATGGGATGCAAGCAGTTATCGCCTGGATAGGAAGCTGGCATGTGCTGGTGAGGCATGGTTGGTTGTACTTGATGGTAGTGAAAGAGGGAAGGTGTGCAGAGGAAAGGTGTGGAGAGGGGAGAAGTGCGAAGTACAGTGTTTTCAAGTCAAAGCATTTCACACAGGGCCCATCAATAGACCCTGGTAAGCATGTCAGCGTGAGAATGTGTTGAGTCTAATCACAACACTTCCAGTCAAAACTACTAATTAAATATCAATATCATCCCATTCTTTTTTCCTTATTGTGAGTAGAACCACATATACCTACAGTCTTATATCTGGAGGGCGGTAAAATCTTCTTATTAATGATAAACACAATGATATTCACTAGACCTGACTTGTTGGTTTCATAAAAACAAGTCAAACAGCACAAACTTATTCCAATGCATGATATACCCTTTTCATACCCAGAAACAACCCACATATGCACGTTCCAGAGACACAAAATACTAGACCAAGAACCTGAAACCTCTGGAGCCTGCCTGGCCAGGTACCTCCCCGCTACTAATTCCCTCCCCACGGTCAAGCTTCTTGTTCAAGCGTACGAGGACGAAACGAAGGGCTGTCGCAGCAAGGATGGCCAGGACAGCGGTGACGCAGTTGACTGTCATCGCGGTGACTATATACCATTAGCTTATGTATAGAGGAGAAACAACGGCTGAAAGAGACATACTGTAACGTGGAGCGTCGCTGTCAGGGTACATGTAGCTCGCATAGACACTACTGAGGTTACTGATACAGTTGATGCCCGCCAAAGCCGCAGCACGCTTGGAGGCTGGACGAGGCAAGGTACTCGAGATCCAGCCTAGAGCGACGACGTAGCTGGCGTAGAATGAGGGAACCATGAGCATCATGGCAACGTAGCGTGGAGCGACGCTTGTGGTGGCGGCAGCCAAGATGAAGGCTGCCACAGAGATGTATAGGGGCAGGGTGATGTGGAAATAGCGTTCACCTGTGCGGTCGGCGTGCCAGGCATTGGTGAAGGCGGTGATAACCGCCAGACAATAGGGAGGGGCGGTCAGGCACAAGGTTTCGATGTTGCCATAGTTGAGAGTTTTGACAACGGTGGGGAAGAAGTTGGTGACCGATGCGGACGAGACGATACCAAGAATGAGGAGTATCTAGAAGTCGATAAGCGAATGAAGAGAAACTTTTGACCGCGAACTGACTTACCAATAGGTAGGTCTTGATGTCGGTGAAGGCCAGCTTCACACCATGCATAAAGGTCTGCTGCTCGCTATCAACCCAATCGTCTTCGCCAATATCTTCCTCCAGGCGCCAAGCAGCCAGCTGCTTCTCCTCCTCGGTGAGCCAACTCGTCGTACGCGGGAAGTTGGGGAGGATGAAGACGGAAGTAAAGGCAACAACAATGGTAATGGCTCCCTCAATGATGAAAAGCCAGCGCCTGGCCATGATCAGTGACTGTACAGGTATCCTTTCGAATGTACCTACCAGGATCGAAGTCCCATTTTGTAGTCCATGCCATCCGTGATACCTGCAGCGATGAGACCGGAGAAGGCCCCCGAGAGTAGAGAGCCAGAGTACAATGCGGCAGTACGGAATCCGAGTTCCTTGCGAGTGTACCAGGCACTCAGGAAGTAAAGACATCCTGGCTATCATGATATCAGCAGAAATTTCTTGAGGCACCGACGATAGGAACGTACGAAATAGGCAGCCTCCACGAAACCCAGAAAGAACCGAACAACGACCAGACCAGCGTAACTCTGGGCGCCAGCAGTGCACGTCGAGATGATACCCCAGAGCAGCATGGATCCGGGAAGGTAGAGGGCGGGCTTGCCGACCTTGTTGAGCAACAAGTTGGACGGAACTATATCAGTCAGAATGTGACCTTATGGCAATGCAGCAGAACCGGGCAAACATACTCTGCATCAACAAGTAACCCACAAACAGAATGCTGACACAGGTTTGGTATTGCATCCCCACCAGGTTCAGATCCTCCTGAAGACCGGCCAGTTTGGCAGCCGCCTAGGAGATAGTCGTATCAGCAATGAGACTTGAGGAAGACGCTCACTGGCAGTCACGTACAATATTGTTTCGGTCCAGGTAGTTGAGAATATACATGATGATGAGCATAGGCAGTAGACGCAAGTCGATCTTGCGGACCAAAGCACGCTCGGCCTCCTGACGCTCCTCAGGTGTCAAACTGGCGACATAGGGCGGGGCCTCTTTTTGCGGATTCGGCTTATTGGCGTTGGCCACGGCATCAGAGACGATTTCGACGTTGTCGACATGACTCTTGTCGATGTCCCGTTCGGGATCGTACGAGGTCCGAGGAGACATGCTGTGTCTCCTAGTTGGGAATCAAGGTCTATAGAGTGGCTTCAAAATGATGACAGGAAAACCCAGAAGGTTGGAAGGTACAATCACTTAAGGAGGAAGAAGACAACAAGTCAAGGAAAAGAAGAAAACAAGAAGAAGCAGAGAGGGGAGTTTAGAAATGTGACAGCCAAGTCGGAATCAGAAAGGCTTTTGTGTGCAGCGATGGAGACAAGAGCCGAAGAAGCGGGCAGCAAAACCGGGATTTTGGGGAGACCCCAGACTGAGAGAGGGTCGGGGAAGAAAGAGGGTCTGGGGCACGGGCTGGAGACATGGCAGGACCGAATCGGGATCGATCCTGGGGGGAGACTGGGCGTGGGGGTTACCGAAAACAACCCGAAGATATGTGAGGAAGTTGGAGAATGATGACGATGACGATGCATCGTATGTAGTGGTGGATGACAGCAATGACTCCGCGGATGTTGTTGAATGGAGAGAAAGAGACTGAAGGCAAAAACGAAGCCCAAAGGGAAAAAGCGCGGAGAGAACGTGGGGGTCGCGTTGCATCCCGTGCCGACGTTGCACTGGTTTGCATTTCTTCCTCTTACACAGTATGGAGTACAGTCTCCGTACATTGTCTTGACTATGCTACTTGGATACACTCAATCCTGGTGGGCTATATAGAAGTCTAGGGTCCAACTATCTCTCTCTCTGTCTCTTCTCTTCTACACAGTGAGGTAAATCATCGTAGCGCCGCAATCACTTCATGCCACAATCCGAACCGAAAACAACAATCGGGACAGGCTCTCGGCTTCCACCCCAATGCGACCATCAGACCATGGTCCCTGTCTGCCCGTCGGCCTGGGCCGTCCATCCGCCTTCCAACAGAAGGAGACCTGATGCGGGTGTCCTCGGAGGCAAATTCTCCTCCTTCGAGTGAGCTGACAAGAAGAATCGCAGGCTAAGATGGACTGACTGAGGGACTGATGGCCATGGGACCGATCCCGATCCACCTTGCCATCCCAACGCATCCACCCCCATTAACACCACCACCACGCTCGGCAAATATCAATGGCAATTAAGCGAGCTGGTCAAACGTGGCAGTACGTACAGTAGACTGTAAGTGTGGAGAAGACGTACGTGGAGGGAGCCGTGGGTGACGGATGGGTCCAGCGCAATTCGAAGCGGGGAAAAATTGAAGATGCCGATTTTCGGGTCTTCCCCAGAGGAAGGATTATAGTTAAAGGGAAGAAGAAAAAGAAAGCGTGGGGGTGAACATTACCTGCCCCCCCCCCCTTACCTAATCATATCCTTTCACCCGCTCCTTTTCTGCCCTTGATAATCTTCATATCTTTGATCTCAAAATCCTTTCCCTCCTCTGGATAAACAGTCTCGAGGGTTGGAGTGTTGAAGCAAACTCTCACCCGCCACTCCCTTCATAAATCTCCTCTCGGATCTACGCTGAACAGAATCAAGACTCATGCGAACTATTGCATTGCTTCACCAGTACCAGTCAACACTAGGAGAAGAGCGCTCCACGCCATCCACGATGTGTGTCGCTTCTAAAAAGAAAAAAGAAAGGAAAAGAGACTCGCTGTACACATAACAAACACCATGGCAGACGCAGGGGAACAAGAAGAAACGACGACACGATGACACTATGAGACAAGGTGTGCAAAGGAGATGCTGCCCAATTTCCACGCTTCCTGAAAACAAAAGCAACAACCGCAAGATTAAAGAGATGATTGAAATAATGACTGACGAACTGGTTCGGATGCAAAGGTCGATCGATTGTCCCCACAGATCATTGACTGGGAGAGTTCGCAATTAGTGAAGAGAAAAGGCCGAGGAACCCGTAAATATCACGGCGCTCGCGCGTACAACCTGACGCCGATGGAGCAGCCGAGACGAGACCCCAAGACGTGGGCGTGGCAAAGGCTGAAGCCAGCTCGACGCAGACCCTCATGGGCAGTAATGCCTTGCTGAATACCCATCAATACCCCACGGGTTTTCTCCGGCAGTGAGAAGACCCCTCTTAGATCTCCATGCGTAGTAAAACAGAACACGAAACATGAAACGAATCCAGGACCTGGAATGAAATTTCGCCATAACACCCAGAACGCAGAGCAAAGACATGAAGATATGACCGAATGAACCATCACGCACAAGTCGGATAGAGAGTCGCGGGCGCGAAACCGAGATTGAGGATCGGCCCGGGTTCGAAAACCAAAACATCCTCTAGGAAAAAGGAAAACAGGTCTACTAGATACCAAGGGTACCATGCCGTCATAGATCGATCCAACACTCCTCGGGAGATTAAATAAGACAAGACACGCAGTGAAAACGCCTTTCGAAAAATGCAGCGATTTAGAGGAAGTGGGTATAGATTTTCGACGTCTCATGGACTTCCATTTCCTAGACAAACATTTAGTCATTCGAATATCAACGAGGGTGAGTATCGGATACGCACCATCTTGAAGTTGTTGAGCTCCTCTTTGATCTGCTGTGCGAGCAGTGGTGTCAAGCGATTGCAAGTGGCAATGTCACCCCGTCGGTCGTACTCCCCACTGGGCCATGTCTCATGAAACTGAATACGGGGGCTGAAAACGAGGCTCTTGGCAAGCGGGGTCACAGGGGCACTCTTTGCCTCAGAAGCCAAGAAACGACTATCAGAGAGATAATCATCTTCGCCAGCAATCTTGATAGCGTCAGAACGGCGGTTGCCGGACCGCGTGGGATCCTCCGGTGTGCTAGGGACACTAGAATGTGGCGAGTCATTGTTAACTGCTTGGGAGTTTTCGAAAGACTTGGTGGACGTGGTGGGGACATTGGTATCTGAGTTTGTCTCTGTGGATATTTGTTAGACATGCATACATAACGGATGGTCGGGACACGCAATGAATGAAGCAAACAACTTACTCTTCAAGATGCCCTTACGGACTGCTGCCAGGACCTCCGCTCGCTCCCTGTCTCCACCGACAATGCTCTTGCGCGATTGAGACTTGTCATGGCCACCATCGGCATGACCTGCAGCGTTGGACCCAATCGACTCCAACTTAGGGAAAGCCGTTCCTCCGTGAGGCAAGTCGCGAGGGTCTGCGTTGACGGTTCCGCTCTTGCGCTCGGCTTCGATATTGACTACCGACAGTTGCGGTGCCATGGGCTCGGTGATCACAGCGTCCGTGGACGAGGAGCTCATGATCGATTTGGGTCGAAACAAGCCGACAAGAGATCGGGTCGATCGTTTCATGCCTTTGCCCATTTTGCGAAGCATGATTGAAGCGGAAGATGCGGTCGAGGAGACGGACAAATTGTCGGTGGAGCTGTTGAAGATACGGCCTTGGTGGTGAGAAGAGTATATGCTCTCGCCTAGTCCACTTGCCTCCTGCTGCTCGGCAATGGCCGCCTGTTCGGGGCCTAGCTCTTCCTGGAGCAATTCCCGGCGAGCCCTTTCGGCGGCAATCACCTCCTTCTTGTTCGACGCCTTGAGGAGCTCAGAGGCGCTACTGAACGAGAAAGCCCTTCTGAGTCGGGACTTCCCGGGCCGCCTGAGGTCGTTCTTGGTCAGTTCCGCAAGTCGTTCCGGAGCGGGACTTTCAGCTGCTGCAGGTTTTGTGTTTGACGTAGTCTGCGAGGGTTTTGGAGAGGAAGGCTTCGAATTGACATCAACGGGCTGGGATAGAGGCGAGGGCTTGCTGGTGCGTTTGCTCTCATCTGGTTTGCTAGGGCCTCGACTTGCCGTATGTGCATTCTCTATGTGGCCAGCATCGCGCACCGAAGATGTCGAGGAGTGAGCGGATGGAATGTTTCCCTGGACATCTCGATTGGATTGAGCCGATTGAGGTCGGTGAATTTGATCAAAGTAGTCATGACCACCTGTCGACGGGATGGGTGATGATGTGGGCAAGTGAAGTTGCATGTTGATGAGACCGGCATTGTCAATTGTTCCCCAGCTCCGACGACGATATCGCTTGGCCAATTCCGTTTGAGGTTTGTCCGAACGTGAAGTGTCGTCAGCACTAGGCGCTCTAACGTGACCCGATCGGCGAGCTCCGTCGGAGACAGAACCAGTTGACCCTGGAGAGCTAGGAGTACCCGATTGGAGGAGGCTATCGTCCACTGTGGCTGGTGGAGTTCGTGCCGAGCCAGGTGCGTTCGGTTGCAGCTGCGGAGAGGGGAGCCCCGCAGCACTATCAGGACGCCGGTTTCCGCGGCGATACCGATCGGGTGAGGGACGAGCAACTGTAGGGGATGATATACTCATGAAGTTCGAAGAGGGTATGTTGACGGTAGACAATGGGCGCAGCGGAGGCTCAGCGCGTAGCTGCCGGGACGGAATTGCGGAGTCGTCTTTAGACATATAGGACTGAACAGAGGAGTTGGAGGATGAAGATACAGAACCAGCTGCAGGATGATGGGAGAAACGCGAGTTGAGTCCGAGTCCGCCGTGGGCAGGGATTGCGGATAATTGAGGGGCGGAAGGAGCAGAAGAGGTACGGTGCTCTGGTCTCAAGTGAGGAGACGACGACTGGCGATTGTGCGTAATCGTTGAATTGGAGAGGTTGGGGGTGCTGTTGAACTGGTAGGGGGCCACAGCCTGGTGGCCTGCCCTGTACGTCGTCGAGTTACCCGTCGTGTTGTAGGGATTCCAGGACATAGTCGAGTTCCGCGGGTTTTGAGACTGCGAGGGAGGCGAAGAAGGTGCGAACGCGCCCGAGGAAGATGATGGTCGAGTTTGGAGCACAGTAACCGTGCCACTTTGCTGAGGGATTGTCTGTACCAACGCAGCCATGATGTGTTCCTCCGCTACTCAGAACGAAACAGGGTCCGACGCGTGACAGATAGCGTCACAAGTATGTTGGTCCCTTGAAAGATGATGTTTTATTTCCCAACACTCAGCGGGTCGAACGTCGAGGGATATTCGAAGGAGTATTCAAGGGTGGGAGTAAGAGATCGGGAAAAAGGAAAACAGGGGAGACTCTGTGCTACACACAGTCGTCAGTCAGCATTGCACAAGAGCGAGCAGGTTGACAGATTGGTTGACTTTTGAGGGTCGCTGACTCTAGCCACGATGGTGCTTTCCTCAGCCAGGGGGGGGTGGGTGGTGGTGTCGTGGGTGAATGAAAAGAGGGGAAGGGGAGGATCTCGAAGGGCCCGTACCTGTTCTAGTGAAAACGCCAGTCAATGATACTGATACAATAATAAAGAGAAATGCGCTTCGGTTATGCAGAACGAATGCTGTTGAGGAACACGAAGAAAGGGAAACGAAGGGCTCGGATCAGGCGATCGAGGAGGGAGGAGTTGGCGACGGAGGTACGACGAAAGGAACACAAAGGCTCCAGAATGGCAGAGGCTGTCTAGAGCGGTCGAGCCATGTACACAGATGAAAAACGGGAGAGCTCGAAAAAGATAAAGACAAGGATGGCAAAAGAAGATGGAGGAGGAAATGAAAATTGGAAGAATGGGAGAAGTGAAGTGGAGGAAAGTCCTAGGCACCTTGTCTTCTGAATCAAGCAGAAGACGGGCCGGCGGGCGAGTACGGAGAGGGAGGGGAGGGAAAAAAAAGCGACGGAGCTTTAGGTGGAAAAAGCGGATCAGAGAAGAGGGAGATGGACGAAAAAGAGACTAAAGGCTCTGGGGATGAAGGGGAGGAAGAAGAAGAAGAGGAAAAGGAATTAGGGAGGGAGAGTAGTAGCAGAGAGCGAAGGTGAGAGGAGGGAGAGAGAGATAATGGACGGGAGGAATGATGGGGATGGAGATGGGGATGAGATGGGATGGGGGAGGAGGGAGGGAGGGTCGCGCTGCGCTGCTTGTTTCTCTCTCAGTCTCTCTCTCTCTCTCACTGCAACTCTTAGGGGAGACCAACGACGACTGACAGGCGGGCGGAGACTGACGGACGGGATTTTCCAGACACCGCGAGAAGGACGGAACGCCAGGCACACACACTTTCTTTGCTCCCAATTCTTCGAATGGCAACCAATTCGATTCGATTTTCCTATTCTTTTATTCTCTGCTAATGTGGTCCAAGAATATCAATTCGGGTCGTTCATAGCTGATCTATTCACAAAAATACAAGTATCAATAAAAAGGATACCTCAGCAGTCAGACAGAACAAGAAAAAAAGAAAGAATAAAATAAAAAAGATGGTGGGTGGGTGGTTGCTGATAGAAAATCCACGAGGCGAAACCGATGAAGCGTTTGTACAGTATAGTATGTATGGAATGGAGTATGTATAGTACCAAGTCTCACTTTCACTATGGAGAGCAGAGAGGCCTTAAAAATCCACAAGAAGAATTCTCTCAAGGGATTACTCTTATTGCAGGTGGCAGTCATACATGAGAAGCAGTAGGTTAGCACATGATTGTCAAGCTTGACACCTACCATGTATCACTCCAAGATCCTCTCTGATGGATGAAAAAGATAATCGTATCACCCAACCCCGATCATCTTTCGCAGTCAGATAGGTCCTGAGTAGATTAAAGTTCGAATTATTCTCCTGAGAGGAATCGGTCCTGGGCCTCCGTCCACCCCCCCTTCTGCACCAGCCAGCGAGCTATTATTATTCGCTCGTCAGACGAAAGGGGTAAGACATCTTTGGGGCTGTAGAACTGGTGCTGAGGGCATACTCCGTAGACGACGGCAAATCCGGTACGCACAGAGTATGGAGTTTCAGTACGGAGTAATTGCTAAAGTACTGGTTAGGCTTGGGAACTTAGTCTTAGGTTTTACTCAGTAATTGTGCTGTTCGATCTGTTACGTACAAATTCGCTCTCATTGTAGGAGTCATGCCATGCTGCCTTTTTGCCTTGCTATGCGAGGTATGCTCAGTTCTTCCGTATTGTTATCGATTATACCCGGGCGGGTTCAGACCAGCAACCCCGCTCCCTTCCTATGGACCGATGCTAATGCCAACCCACTCCATCCGTGGATAGAAACAGTAATTGAAGGCGAAAGAAAGGACTAAGGTTACTTGGAGCTAGGAGTGTGGATGGTGGACGGGGCGCAAGTGAATCTGCCGGCCGGTGCCTGGTTCCCTGGTTGATATCAATAGTTAGTTGATAAGTGGGAGAGAAGGTGATCAACGTGGTGGCTCTTCTATCTCTGGTGGGGTTTGATGATTCTTGTGCACAGTTCTTAGTCTGTTCAGTCATTGGCTTATAAATTTGAATCATGTTCAATCAACTCATCATGTTTGATCGCCTCAAGTCTGTCTTTGAGCCGCCTCCTTTCCCTCCTCCCCTGCCCTGAATTACCATCTCCGTCTGAGCAACAACCGACAAGAGGCATTCACTGCTAAGTCTTCCTCGGTAGACAAAGTAGAAAATAAAGAACTGAAGAGAACGTGCTAGGTGCATGAGACCATCACTGGGACCATATGCATTTCGCTAGCGAACTGGGATAGTCCGATGGAAACGAAGCAAATTGGAAGCTGATTTGCAGCCACACGCCGACTAAAATTCTTAGCTGTCACGCCATGACTACTAGTCCTGGCAGTCCTGGTAAGTCTTGCCCAGGTTTTTCTTGGACGGAAGCTCGGAGAAACCGTCCGGAGGCAGCTTAGCTCAGTCACCGTAAAGGGGAAAGAAAGTTCCCTCGGTCGCGGAACTGTTGCCGTCTTGCACTCGTGGATAATAATAGATTAATGCCATTATTATACCTTGAAGTTCGAGTGTCCAGGGTTTTGTTGTGTTGCAAACCACTTCCGGACCAGATTGTTTGTTTGAAAAGACTTAGCATGAGCCGGCAATTAGGTAGACCGGAATTCCGAGCAGTGAGCACATCTATTCCAACCTCCCCTGAGACTAACTAGGTAGCCTTTTTTAATCTTACCATGCAAAATTAGTCCCGGAACAAACAGAAGTACCCAGTCGTCGGGGAAGGGAAGGAAGAACTAGGGGGTTTTCTCCTGTACAATGATCTCACCGAGGAGATCATCACCTCATCGATACTAAGTAAATCATCCACATCCATCACCCCGGATTTCCCGGCTGACGCCTCAATCGAGTAGTGCAGTGCGGGCTCGTTCCTCCACCTCGAATTTAACATGCTGGTACAACGAAGTAGTACCCCATGGCTGCGATATCTTGATTGTGTATTCCGTACATCACAAAAGCAAACCAAACAATAGTAAATCTCCGACTCGACAAGCACCCCTGAACAACAAACAAACTAACTAACAAACAAACCCCAATCGAACTCAAATTCCCCTGACTGACCAGACTTTCCCATCCATGAGATCGAGTCAGGACATTCCAATCTCAAGCACCCAGTGGGCACCTCCCGAAGACAAGTTCCGTGGTTCGGATTCGTTCCACCGGTGTGTAACCTACTGTACCTGACTTGCTACATTACCAGTGGTGGGCAATGGTCATAACCCGCATTTTCGTGTTCCCCCCTTCCCCTTCCACTCTTCGATCGTCCTCTTACTCGATTGCAGCCAGGGAGCCACAAAAGGAAAGTAAAAAGAAGAATCTCCCGTGTCGCAAACTCCCACGGAGGCTTCTGTACCATGGGTCAAGTCATTAAATTCCATCCATCTGTTGTGACTCTTTTCCTCGTTGCGTGGTTTTCTGGGATCGGCACCGCCAACTTTAAGCTTGTAGAATCTGAATCGGCTGTCCCGAGTGGCGAACCAAGAAACCCTTTTCCCAGAGTTCCTTCGATTGTGGTACTGGTAAGATTGGTTGTTTATACTCCGTACACCTTTTGACTATACGATAGTAGTTATAGCCTGCTATCATGTCGATGTCCTAAGTCAGTCAGTGTAGATGATGTCAGCTCTCACCAACTGAGCTGAAGCAATTTGTTTTCGGTATGAAGAGTTTGAGTTTGCGTAGTAAGGGACGCTGGATTCGCAATGCACTTATGGGGTGCATCATGATATCAGATACTCACCGTGTCACGGGATTGATAGAGCCCAATGCTTCTCAAGAACCGGATGACAGCCAACCACGCAAAGTATGCAGAGTCGGAGGGGCATACACCCCAGCTGTAGGGCGCAACGTAAATGCTCAACAGAAGCATCTTGGAGGTGAGAATGAGAAAAAGAAAAAGCAGGAAAGTAAAGCCGGACTGGTTGCCAACTGGACTGGAAAGTCTACATGCTAGTTAATCTTCACAATTAGTATTTTGGCAATTGACGCAGTCCAATGCAGCAGCCACATAATACTCAAACACCTCCAAGAAGTAGGTCTGTCCTTCTTCCCCTTCTCTCGGAGGTTATTGTCTGCTAACTTTGCTTTGAGCAAGAGTCCGAAACAACGTTTGCCTTTCGTAACGGACCACGTCAGAGATGATCAAGGAAGAGCCGCACGGAGTGCTGACTGCTGAGGCAACTGAATTTAAGGTAGGTGGCGGGGATTTACCGGCCGTCGATTACGAGTACGGAGGCAATCCGAGCTTGCCAGATCGCAAAAGTTAATCTCTTGGGGATGTTTCGAAGCTTGGCAACATTCTTTGTCGGTCTGAACCCGAGGATTCGGATAGCTAGACTGGGGGTGAGCTCGCTTAACGATGCTCCTGGGAATAGTTATCTGCTGCTAACTTCTCAGAGCGTTGTGGTGATGGGACGAGTAGACGTTTACGAGCGATGTTGAACCCACACAGTGGCTCGCAGGGAAAGGAAGATTCAATAGCCTGTAACCCTTGGAAGTGTATTTTCATGTCTTGTGTTGTGATGCTTCTATTGCTGACTGTCGGTGAGCCAGAGCTCAGATGTAGTACTTAGGTAGCTATCTGATCCGTCAGATTCCTCCCACTCGTTGTCATGAACCGATCATTGCGGGCGCTTCGGAAGATCGGTTCAGCCCAGGTCGTGTCAGGCCGAACCCAATGAGGATGTACTGTAGTCAAACCGAGGACTCCGTGCGGTGAACGCAGTACCTCGTAGGCTCGTTCGGTCTGCATCTGAGCAGAAATGCGGGACGGGGAGAAAAAGGAGGTCGCATTTTGGCCTGGGAGCGGGAGATTCAATGTTGCAGGGGCCCACTTTGATGGTTTCCTGTGTAAATCTGCGGGTTCGTACGGGTTTTCCCTCAAGTCTCAACGAGCTCACCTCATTTGAGTCATCTCGAGGTTGTTCCTTCGCTTGGCTGCAAGCAGACTAAGATAACAGTAACTACTGAATACTGAGTGAACTGTTTGGTCTTGTCTCCTCTAATTTCTTTTTCAACTCTGGTTGACGCTCCTACCACTTAAACAATAGATTGATTGAATCGGAAATGATGGGACCGAGGACATTTCCATTCGAACTGAAACCCAGATCGTTGGTACCGTGAACCGCCCATCTCCCACATGAACCCACACTGCTGTGGATGATTTGTTAATTGTTCCCATCTCTCATTCCATCTCCAATTTTCCGTCATTGCCAAATTGCCCACTTCCCCCCTCTTTCTTTGCCTTCTCCCTCATCTCCCCCTCAGACTCTCATGTGGTTAGTGCCACCGCAGATCCCCTGTAAGGAGTTCCCGCGTGATCGACAGAGCAACGTCGCCATACACATAGATTAATTGTCGCCATCAGCTTCTCTTCCTGACAGCCAAGCCAGCCAGCCAGCCAGCGAGACAGCGGCGGGCGCATCTCACGGACCACAGGGACATGGCCAGAGACAATTCTTAGACCGTGGCTGTAAGTAAGTCAGTGGTGAGCAGTGGGCAACGAGACACACTGCCATCAAGTTTCACATTTTGATGTCTCAATTTGTCTCCACCCATGATTGCTGCCCGTTGCTCTGGGCAAAATTGACCGCGAAGGGCAAAACTATTCCGCCATCATCCAATTAGTCTGTAGTCATGACAGATGATCGCAACATGAATTGACAAGATGCTATGACAACGTCTTTCATCTCGAACCCCCTTATCTGTTGAAGACCCCGGGAGAAAGTGAGAGTATACTCGGACCAGTAGGCCTGGAATCGAATTCGCTAAGGACCATGATTCATGAATTCACCCATTCACTTTGTCCAAAAATTCCCACTTTCCCATCTCTCCAATGAACGAAAACCAATCAGGTACATACAGTATAGATACGAATAGGTTGAAGTGGAGAGGGTCAGAACCAGAAAGGGAAAAAAATCCACTCCTCACCCAGTAACCGATATCTAGGCAGCTACGTACCGGAAGCGAACTTGGCAGAAGACCCGAAATCGACATCGTACAGTAGTTAGTCGTATGTCTGGTTTGCTGTCAGTCTAATGTACATAATTCGATTGAATAGTTATCTTGTCTAGATGCCAAGACACAAAAATTCCGTATAACCGTTGCAACGGCGCACACAACCACAACCAACAAACCCGGGTAACAGCAACCGCGGGTCGTGGCTTGCCCCCTCCCAAGGATTCAGTGAGCACTGAGCAGGTTACCGAGTGGTTTTGAGCGGAGCATCCGATGCCGAACCCTGGTCAAAACTACCGTTGATGATGTGATTATGATATGATATCCGAAATTTTTGGGTACATCTCTCAGCGGCGATTTGCGGTTTACATCCCGTGAGTCCTCCGGTCGACGTATTCGTATAGTACATACACAGTAAGTACGGGTAGTCATGTAGGTGTGTTGCAGGCACTCCGGACTTTGTACGAAGCAGGTATTCGTCATAGGATCCTGTGCCTTGCTTCATTTTGATATCTGTATGGGTATCCTCTCTCATCCAAGTTATATATGCGCAGGCCGCCTCATCGAATGATGAAATCTGTCAATCACCAAACCCAGTCAGACAGAAAAACGATTGGAGATTGACGTCGCATCGGGTCCAACCGCGACCGTCCGCGGGTCTGACTGCCTGAATGGGGAGGCAGAAAGGCAGCCAGCCAAGGCCAAAATCCACGTAGAAAGATCCAGCTGAGGGACGATCGGATGAAAGTGGTAGCAATTCGCATGTGGGAATGACTTTTTTTTTGTCGAATCTCCGCGTACCTTGTCATCTGTCGATTCCAGGAACAAGTTGCTTGTCAGCGTGGTCGGGATACTCCGTATGGTAAGAGGGGTAAGGAGCGAAAGCAACGGAAATATCCAGTAAGAGAAACATGAATCAAAAAAATAAGCAGAATGTTCTATGGCTTGGGCCTCGACCGGTTAAATTGACCCCGGATTTTGATCAGGACGAAGCAGTGGACTCCTCCAGTACTTTGAGGGGTTGGTTACAACCTCCAGGGTTCTCTATCGGTTCGCCTGCTGGGTGGCAGGGATGCTGATTTCGAGCATTCTCCGCAATGTGGAAAGAGGTCTAAGAAATTCCGGGGTGGGAGGGTAGAGAAAGGGAAACCAAGCACTCCATCGTTGGACGTCGCCCTTTGGTCGCTGGCTACGGAGCACTTCAACCATAGTATATATATGCTGCCTGTGCTCAACTGAATCGATAAATTGCTTCAAGTTTGTGTCTCCCAGGTTCTTATCGAGAGTTATTGAAGGTTATGATTGTAGTTAATTATGAAGGACTACATAAGTGCTTGGGGGAAAACCATCATCTACAGAGTATCTCTGCTACCATTCAAGTGGTCAAACCTCTAATCCTGTCAGTCCTCAGTCCTCAGTACTATCTCAAAGCACCGGTCGGCAATAGATCCCACGCGCGGATAGATCCTCCTTATCGCCACAACTTGAGACCCCAACATCTAATTTCTCCTGTCACTCAAGCTTTCATCTACTATAACACTTGAACCCTGGATGCAACCCTCCCTCTCCTCACGAGGCGTTACACCCCAGGAAACATCCGGAAGGGCCCAGAGCAGCAAGCAATTTGCGACAAGCACGCCAGGATCCACCTGTGGCAAAGTGCTGACCCTGTTCCAGTGCCTGTACAGTCCTTCCATTTACTCGAGGAAGTTTAGCCTCAACGTGCTCTGTTAGACAAATAGATTGACCCTGAGCAAATAAATCAACCTGCAGGGAGGGGCAGTCCCCCCTTCCGCATGGCTGATTGGCTGCACGGAGATAGAAATCCCGGCCAGTATCCATGCAGTCGAGATTAAGATATCTCTCTTGCTGTGGGGGTTAGGATGCTGAACGAGCAGGGAGTCGGCACGCATCACTACGCATAAATGAATAGAGGAACTACTGACTGCTAGTAGCTACGTACTGCAGCATACTGCAAAGTTGTCGACAGACAGTACTTTACTGTACCACGTATATACCCCATATTAACGGAGATATACCTGAAACGCCTAAATGCTAGTCAGGCCGGAGTCCTGCTCCAGGGGGCCGAGTGAACGAGTAGGCGATCGGGCATGGAAGAACTCCCAGGATGTTCGCTTGCATACCAGGGAGAAACTAAAGCGAAGTATGAAATCTAACATTGAAAGTCCAGGGCTTTGCTAATGAGTGCCAATTTGCGTCCTTAATCTCAAAAGTAGTGGAGTAGGATAGCCAACCCTTTGCATCGAAGCAGAGGCAGATGGTTTAACAGCGGCAGTTACGACCTAATAAGCGCAAGATTGCAAGTGATAGTACGGTACTTGCAATTCAAAAGTAAAGGCAAGTAGTATGGAAGTCACAAAGCACTGTAATTATTAGTTTAAATGAATGAATACAGAGCAGTGAGTACTCCGTACATCGGTTGACATCATCCACTCAGACTAGCGCCGTCTGCATGTCGCTGCAATCGGAAAGCCACTAAGCGGGGTTACGCTGACTTGTTCGCGTAAGGACTCCGTTGCTGACCTGGTGCAGGCGATCAGAGCTTCATCTTACATTAATCTCAGTGTGTGGGCGGTATGGTTGGTTCGAATATCTAACGCGTACCTTTTTTGAGGGGGGGATGAAGGAGGGGGCCAAGGTCGACTCCTGAATCATGTATAGTAGTAAATTAAACAAAAGGAAAAAAGAAAAGAGTTCGACAAGATGACCCGATAACTTCTTGAGTCGGGGGACTCTGCATGCGTCTGGAGGAGTTATTAGGTACTTCTTGTTGTTATTGTTGTTGTTCCTGTTGCTGTAATTGTTCGCTGGCCAGCCCTCGTTTGCATCGTTTTCCCAGACCTGAGTCAATTCTTCGTATACTGCCACGGCGTAAGTGTTTCACACGCGAGCCACTGCTCCCAACATTTCCTGCTTTCCTGCCCGAAGATCAAACACTACTCAGGGACTGACACAGTATAACCAGTTGACAAGAAACAACTCTTTCCCGAAAGACGGCATTATCTCAGACAGAAGAACCGCCCCGATCTTGACCCACTGCGGGGTCCTCAAGCACAGTAAACTGTCTCGGGGAGAAAGCGAGAAGCAGCACAACCCAACCTTCATTCCAGTCCGATCGCCAGCAACTGACGATAAGGACAGGAAATTGATACCATGCCATGGGACTGGCCTGACGAGTGTAGATCTGGTAGGATATCGTCATCAGCATCATCATCATCATCATCATTGTCGTCGTCGTCGTCGATATTGCCTTCCTGTTCTCATATCCGACTGCCACCAGATCCTGCGACAACAATACGTATACAAAGTCTCTGGTCTTTAATTTCCCTTGATCCACTTTTCGATTTGCCCCAAACAAGGAGTCCCGGAGTAAAGTGCATGAACCAACAGCCCGCGAAACAAGAAGCATAATTAGTGGAGCCTTCGACACGGGTAGGCGGTGGTGTCTGGATCTTTGGCCCTTTCTTTATTATTTCTTTGACTTTGGTGAGTTGGTGGATATCGACGGGAGTGTTTGAGAGTTAGGGCACGGGTCGGGCTCATGTATGTGACTTTGTGCAGACAGTAGCTAGCCGTAGATAGGTAGGTGGTTTATGCTGGATAAGTTCTGTGCTTAGTTATTATGCTGCGCATCCTGTGGAGATCTTGGGTAGGATGAAGGATGAAAGAGGACTCTATGTACTTTGCTTATACTGTTAGCCGTCATGGAAATGAAATATTGTCTGTATATAAGGGATAATGTTTGTTGAGGGATGAAAGTAGGCTACCAGGTAGGTATCTTTAAGCTTGAGTATACAGTACAGTGCTGTACTGAACTGGTCTGTCCAGGTATGTTCCAGCAGACCTTCTCGGAATTTGAAGGTACGTCGCGGGGGCCATTCCAGGTGTATACCCTCCCAGGCCACGCAATCAACGACTGGCCGAAGTCTTCGAATATGAAGTTAAGGCGATGATAAGCAAACCATGGCATATATCAAGAAATTTTTCAAGAAGGGAGACGGTATTTCCATCATATCCTATTCAACGATTGTACCTGATGATTGCTGAATTTGTTGAGATTCTCGAGTATCTACAGCAAATTGTAAATTGCGTGGCCAGGAAGGTAACAGGTGAATCTGTCCGGTAGTTCTCCTGTATTGTGACTCTCACCATGATGGGGGAGTTAGGAGGACACTGAAAGGGACTTGAGATACTATGATATTGTTAGCTTCTGAGTACATGCAGTCCACGACTGACGGAGAAAGGAGACACAAGAACCTTGAGGAGGAAAGTGGTATATAGCCGACATGACAATGTTCTAAATTTGTCCAGCCTAGCTGAGAGCATCTTTATAATTTCAGATACTCTTGGGTCGAGCTATGAAGAACTCAAGCTAAGAAGACTTGGTCTTGAAAGCCTTGCCCGGTTATACTGTGCTTTGATTCACTTAGCCGAGCTCCAATGTATCTTGCACGACCCTCCAGTGCAAAAAGCCTGAAGGTATAAGGTACCTCTGTATAGCTGTTTATAATAGTTATCAACAGCCAGTTAGTTACTCACGGCCACAGAAATAATAACTAAAGATTTGCCATTTCATAAACAGAATTTATACGCAAGCGCCAGCTCCAGTACTCTGCGCAAGCTCTTTACCAGCTACTAAAGCCATATCGCATCGTTCCAAACTTCACTCCAACTCCTTATTGCGCATAGCACAAGCCTGATCCAGGCACTTTTGCGCGCACACACGATAATAGAAAAAAAAAAAAAACAAAGACCCGCTTGTCTGAGAGAATGAAAACACGACATCACAACACGCTGTGTCATTTGAATCATGTCAATACACTATAAAACCCGGGTGAAGCTCTCACTTTGACCACCCATCTACGTGTTGGACACGCATCACCATTCTCAGAAGCCACCATACCAACATAAGCTCAGACAGGACATTGGCTGACCATCGCGATGTGTCGTTTGGATGTACACCAATACCCATGCGGCCACTTCTGGGCGATGAGAAGCCGCTGCCGCGACCACGCTGCACCAAACCACCAGGAATTACCCCCCAGACTCGTCACGATAGAAAGTCTGTGTCTAGCTTGCAGTGTTCCGCCTACCAGCGACACACTTCGGAAGCGAGGACTGCTCCTCAATGTGCAGGACATGGAGGAGATTCTTGGGATGTCCCGTCACCAGGCAGATTTCTTCGAGAGTGTGACCCGCTTCTACGCCAGAGGAGACCATGTTCGTTGGCTACAGCCAGGGTATCAGACGCCCAAGAGTTCAGAGCAGCAGAAAGAAGAGGAGTACTTGCAGACACTGGTGAGGTCAGCACCACAGCGTAGCGTTGGCATGGCTATCGCCGCCACTGGATCTCGTGGAGCTGCCAACTTGAACTTCAACTCTGCCTCTGGTGACTCGATGTCGAACGCGCAGCCTCAGAACGTCGCTGTCAGGCCGCCTGTCGAGGTCTTGAGGGGAGTCCGAACCCGTCCAGCCATCTGTGTCCAGAATGAGGCGACAAACCCGACGAGGTTGGTGTTGGGACCTAGAGATCAGAGACGGGGATTTGAACCTCAACCGCCGAGCTCTATCCTAGAGCTGTTCGGTAAAATGGACGGCGGCCCTGCTGCTGGGCAGGCCACTATTCCGGTCAGTTGTGGAGTCATCCAGAGGAGATATAGAGGAACAGTATCGGAAAGCTGACAGCAACCTTTTTTAGAAGAATACACAGATAAGAGTTGCACCCAGTATCAGCACAGCTGCTAGACAAGCTATCATTCCAGTTAGTCTTGCGGTCGATCCGAACAGGCAGAGTGACAGGATAAGAGAACTGACGACGACTTTCTAGCCCAACATGCAGCCCAGGGTTTCATCCAATGTCGGCACAGCTGCTAGACAGGCTACTATCCAGGTATGTTCCGCGTCATACCAAAGGAGTAGAGGAAATGATAGGAGAGCTTATGACAACTCTTTTCGACAGAACGTACAGCCCCGAGCATTACCCAATGCGCGGGGATTCCGTCTAGGCACTGTCCAGCAGCATCGGCCAACTATAGTCCAAATTGCTGAGCCAATGCCCTTGAGCACCACACCGGAGATTTATCGTTCCCATGGCGCCAGCTTCAGTGAGTCTCCCCAGAAGATGCCCTCTGGACTCACTCAGGATCCGTATTCTCCCATATTCGTGAGTGGCTACAGGAACCTTGCTCACAGCAATGAAGATCCATTCTTCGACCCCGTCCCCACTCGCGGGAGATCCGCCTTTGAACCGAGGTCTGCGATCCCATCGACTCCATTCCCACAAAACGTCCAAGTTGCCAGCCGAGATGGTGCTAGTACTGGGCCTTCGATCGGACGCCTGATGGGTCCACCGGAGCTCCCATCGACCTCAATCCGACCTCCGTGGATGAGACAACCCGCGTTGCTGGACTTCTACTGGGAGGACCACGATGTCTCCTCATTCCCCACTCCCACAGCGGGCCATGAAGCCATCACTGACCTCAATAGCCGCGATCCGATGAATATGCCATCGCCCACCGTGATTGCGCTGGCCAGACGAAGCGAAGAAGCCAGACGCGGAAAACGTCCAGTGCAGGAAGAACCACGCTCACTCATGTTCTCTATGGCGCGTTATGATTGTCCCAATGATGATGTGAGTAGTCCTGCTTATGCCCGTGCAAATTCGGTCCCGAGTAAGGTCGCCCAGTTTGAAGGCGGGCCCATGCACGGACGTGAGCCAAAGCGCCCTCGACATGTCAGGTTCATGGACGATGCCACCATTGTGCCGTGCTCGCCCGGTTCGACCGTGAATTCGAATGGCGTGGGTATCGGCTTTATGAGTCCTCCTGTTGATGTTGGTGCTCGCCAAGCTGTCGAAGAGAGGGACGAAGCGAGGGATGAAGCTGCAAGGAGCCCATTGATTCAGAATGAAAATGGTGCGGCTAACAGCGTTGGTGTTTTGCCAACTATAAATGGTCAGCAGGAGAGTCCATCTGTGGCTGAAGATAGCGCTGACATGGACGACGTTGAAAAGGAAAGTACTAAAGACTTGGAATGGTTGCTTGAGTGCCATTTGATGAGAATGGAGGAGGAACAGCGAGAGCAGATGGAGAAACAGGAAGCTGTCGGAGGTCTGTCGTCTGTCACCTGCCCCGATGCTTACAATTGTGAGAATTTGTCTGATGATGGTATGGGGAAGAGAGATGATGATGGAGATCTGGAGATGATGCAGTAGGTTTGAGGTTCGTTGGCTGATGGATACCTGGCTGGCTGTTTCTAAGTTGTTTGCATCGCATGGCCATTGGCCTGTTTGCTCCCTGGCAGCTTTGGCGGCGATCCTGGTCTCACTGCTCGTTTTCTTTTCGGGGTTGGCGTTCTCAGTAAGTACAAGATTGGCGTTTGCAGTTTCAGCTCCGCGTGTCTTTACATTTCCTTTATTTCCTTTTACTCTTTCGCACACATCTGAGAGATGCCTGACTTGATGATTCTGCAAAGAACATATCAATCGTCTTCTTCTCGTCAGACATCAAAAGTGTCATCAATTCATTAGTAATCTAATTCTCTTTGTCTTTTCCTTTCTGCTCAAGCGTTTTTCACCTAATAGTCATCCTGGTCGTCCTCGTAATTCCCTCCATCCATATCTTCATCGTCATCAAGACCTTCGAAAACCATGAACTTCTCGTTCTTCGCCTCAGTGTCATCCTCAACTACATTGCCGTCCTGGACTTCACAGTCCTTAAGAACACACTCGCGACCAATTTGAGCCCTGCGCCCAATGATGCACCCCGACAATTGGGCACGCTCTCCAATAACGGCCCCATCCATGACCAGACACCGCGTCAATCTGGCGCCAACTCCAATCACGCAGTTAGCACCTATGACGGTCTCCTTGACCACCGACTTCTCATTAATGGTGGTGTTCATATCAATCAAGCAGTCAGCTTTGGTGACCGTGCATCTCTGAGCCACATTTGAAGTGCCGTTGATCTTCTGGTTGTGAGCGAAGGGAGATGCGGCGACGCGACCAACTTCCTCGATGGCTTCCAGTTTAGCCAGCTTCAGGGATACGCTCAACAGCAAGGCGGAGCTGTCAACACGCCGAACCAATGGCGCCGAAGCTCTGGAAGAGTGCATGTATGCCAGGATCGGAGGAACGTGCAGAGGCTCGGCGCTATCTGCATCCTTAGCATCAGGGTTTCTGACGCGAGAGGCGAACTGAATATCATCAGTGATGCTCCCGTCGCGGGAGACACCAGCCCCGGGTTTCGTAGAAATCATGGAGTTCAAATCAATTTCATCCTCCAGCGAATCTCCGTCCTGGCTGCCGCTCTCTCCTTTGTTGTCTGGCTGAAGGATCTCTCTCAGATGTAGCTTTTCCCCAAGACCTGTCTGCCACCCGGCCTTCGCCCACCATCCCACAAGATCTTCACTGATACTTTCAAATGGCTCGTTGAGGCGCGAGAACTGGGATACCCAGTGAGGGAAAAGATAACAGTTGGCGTCCCTAAAGCTTGTGAGTAGCTTGATGCGAGGATGCTTCTTGACCAAGGAGTGCCGAATGAGTAAGCCCTTCTGCTCCTGCATATTCTCCTTCAGTGTATCCATCGGCATGGAGAGAGCCAGCTTCGACAGTCCGAACCGCAAAGCAGCTGGTCCATCTAGCGGGTGAGACACGGCGGGAGCCTCATCTTCTTCCAGAGGAACGGTAGCAACAAAGTCCGTGGCCTCCCCTTTCACACTCTCCTCTTGACCCTTGGTTTGGTAAAACATTGCGAGACCACCACGGGGACTACCACATCCCAAACCAACGGTCTTCGGTCCGTCCGAGCTCCCTAGCGCGCTTTGTGCCATCCATGCTTCGATGAATGACTCTCCTGGAATATCACAAATCAAGTCACAGGGAAGGAGCAGGAAGTCGGACTTGATGCATGACTGGACTTCGGGGAGGCGGAGCAGTTCCGCCGTTCCGGTGGTCATGGTCAGATCAGGCGGCGATAGGATCGACGGCGAAGGGGACGGAAGGGAGGTCAAGTATGGATTCGTGCCCATAGCACTTTCTAAGGGCTGCTTGATCGCGGAAGGCGTGATGATTGTGATATCTAAGGTGCCACGTTGGCGGGGTTAGACTGTCGGGCGCAATCCCACATGCAGTGGATGGCATTTGACTGACTTGTGATTCCCATGCGATAGCACCAATCTAGGGGGTAGTAGATCATCGGCCTGTTTGCGATCGGAACCAGAGCCTTAGGAGAGTCTTCATTTGAGGTGAAGGTGTTCAAGCTGACCTATAATAGTGTCGGGGTTAGTTAGGTGCTTGCTTCCTTGATGGTAGCTTTCACACTCACTCCGGGACCGCAGAGGATGAGGGCTTGAATGCCCGTGTTGGGGACTGGAATCGAATGCGGCATTTTAATAATGTGCAATTCTGCTGTAAGCCAGAATATTGTCGGACGCGAGAATAATATATAGAGTCGCAAGTCGATTTCTGGACCATACAGATTTTGCGACGGAAATTTGACGCGGGGGGGGCGGAGGGGAAAAGGTCGTTTTGGTATGACTCGGCGTCCGACCGAAGCTCAGAATGTAATAGAGGTTAAGTTTCCTGGTTTAGAGCAAGACTGAGCCGGATATCACAAGGTTCAATAATTTGGAGAGAAACTCAACGATAGCAGACTCCGTCTTGCTATGTCTGTCTTTTGAGTCAGGACCGTTGACCAAAATCCCAGCAGCATTGCGCCGATAACTAACTAGCATTGACTGAGTCAGCAATCGCGCGGGTCGGGCTGCCGTAGCTGCAGATGATGCATACAATGCAAACGCCGCAAACTGCGCGATAGCATTTGTGGTCATCTTCGCGCCCCGGACTACTAACTAAACTCCTCCGCAACTCACTCTTACTGGCTAAGCAAACATCCCGCGGTTAATCCCCCAGCATCACCAGCCACATGTTTCTTGCTTCCTCCGAGGCCAGCCCGCGCGGCTTCTCACTCCCTTTCCCCCAATTCTCATTCCACCGCCTGCCCTCAAATCTGCCCCTTCCTTCGCGCCAGCTTGAAATGTGATGCCCAGCTCAATGGAAACTTTCTGAGTCTACGCGCCTCTATTGTTTGATCAAAGCGATCTCGATGTCTTTCCCTTACTCCCAGGATGCTCGCCGTCGGCGGGTCGGAGCCGGAACGGGTTTCAGCTCTTCGGGCAGACGAACCGTCTTGGGATACTGGGTGCCACTTGCCTTGACTGTAGGCATCGCGACTGTGGGAATCGCTGCATGGATTTGGAGTGAGCGCAGCGAGGATGACGACGACGACAACGACCGCGATCGCCGTCGTGACGATGAGCCATTCCCCGCCCCCGGTCCTGGTGGGGAGAGCTATCCTACAAGCGGCGACTACGGGGGAACCTTTGCTCGTTCGACAGCGACAGAAGTCCATGATGGCCATTCCGAAGATGCCAGCATGATGGCACGTATGCAGGGAGCCTTGCGTCGCACGCCCAGCCCCCAACAGATCCTTGACGGCGCCAGTAAGCGAGTCGCCGCGGGTATGGCCGCGGCCGGTGCCTTCGTCGGCGGAGCTCTCACATCTATTCGCGAGGAGGATAGAGGAGACTTTGAGGATCACTCGCGGTGGTCGGAAGAGGTAGAATCCAGGGCCAACCAGAGGGAACAGCCCGCCCGTGCTGCACCGCTTACCCGCGAGGCTGTCTCTGGTCCTGCGCCCACCGATAAGAAAAGGAAGACTATTGCGATCGTAGTTTCCTCCGAAACTCCTCAAGTGGACCCTGAGGAGATCATCTCACAGCATGCGGTATGTTCTGTAGTGCAACCATAATCTGAGCTTGTCGCGCTAATGCCGTTGCAGTCGATCCTTTCCCACCTCCCAGAACATGTCAATCTCGATACCTCCCGAGTCTTCGTTATGATCTACGCCCCGGGCCTGAAGCATGCACCCAGCCAAGGCGGGTCCTCTCCACCTACATTGTCAGTTACTTCCTCCTATTCCAACATCAACCCTGAGGAGGCGACCTCGCCGGGTGAGGTATCTGGCCGCGAGTTGTCGGGAGAGTCTCGTGCGACAGACGAAAACGAGGGCGCCACCCCACTGTTTCGCACTTTGTACACGCAAGCCCAGGCTCTTGTCGAGAAGCCCAATACGATCATGCCCTTCAGCACTGCCACGGGGTATGTGCACCTTGTGCGCCACATCTCTCCGGATACTGTATACGTTCAAGAATCTTTGGCTGGAAAAGATGGAGAGGCGGCTCATCACATCTCTGGATGGGTTCGACAGGTGGTTGTTGTGGTCGGCGATGAAGGTGGCCGCGGTGGTCTAATCGACAGTGATGATGAGTCGGCGTTGGCGGATAAGGGCGAGAAGTGGTGGCAGAAGGAGGGCACCACGGGACTTGGGAAGCGCATTGATGTGGTCGATGCGCTTCGGGTCGGCGACGATTGGCGACGACGAGTCTCTGGATTCGATTAGAGCGCTTTTGTGCCCTGCCAATGCCAAAGAAGGAACGAAGTGCATGGTGCTTCGCATGTCTATAGCTTCCCCCTTCCGTATTCCCTTACTTGACGATTATCTGCATCTCCGTTTGATTCCCCTGTCATGATAATGTGCGAGGCTTTTCTGCCGGCTGCTTTTCTGTGCATATATAGCATACTCAATGCATGCTCCTGCTTTGTTCTTCATTGTAGATTGTTCTATATTTGTAGTCTTGAAATACCCTTCAGCGGCCAGTCGACTGGCTCTAACCTGAAACGGAAATCACATGACCAACCTCCTTCATGTCGTCCGCGGCCTTGGGCTGGACCCAACTCCCTCTCACTTGACGAAAGAGAGCCAACGGTCAGCCTTGGACTCTTAGCAAGCTAATTTACTCCAACCTTTCCTGCTTTTGTTGCAGGTGTCCGTTCGATGGACTCTTCCATTCGCTTTCTGTAGCGACTCCGCCTTGTGTGCAACTGTCCGCATCTTATTCCGGCCCCTTCGTTGTCGTGCCGCTCCGACCTCCGCTCCCCACATGTCTCGCGCTCCGGCCGTATCCATCGACGACGACGACTCACGGCCTACCACCATCGCCTCCGGCTTCGCCTATTACGCGCAGTCGCACTCACTCGTTGTCGCCCCAAGTCGCGTCGCTGTCTTCCTTCTCGCAGGATGGCGACAGCAATCTCCAAACCTTCCTCGCATCCCCCTAAGATGAAACGACCTCCCCCGCCTTTTGTTCAGACCGGAATGAATGGTGTGAAGCCCCAACAACCCCCAACATCTCCTCCGTCTTCCGCAAAGCACCTTCCAGGCTCTGCAACAACCTCTGCTACAGGCTCCGCGAACGCATCCATGGTGAACGGCGCCAATGGCACGGCCAATGCGGGCGCAACGTCTAGCAAAGGCCCCCAGAACCGAACGAAGAAAGAGGCGCAAAAGGCCGGCGAACAGGCTGGGCGACTACAAAAGTCATTCTCAAGGGCCTCGTCAATCGATAGTGATCGCCGACTAGGAAAGCGCTGTCCCGTGCCTTTTGGTGAGCTTTTGCAGCAGTTTTCACGGATGCGCTTGGATTGTACTAACACGTGGACCCGCGTTGCCCATAGTCAAAACCACGTCATATATCCTGAAGAAGTTCTCCAAGCAGCCCCCTTCTCTTATTCTCCACCTTCATCCGACCCACTTCCGCTTTGAGCAGCAAGATGGGAGCTTTCCTTATAATTCGGAGATGAAGGTCATCATCGAGCATATCCGTTCCCAGACTGTTCCGCATGACATGATGGAGGAGCTACTGCGGGCTAATGTTCGGTTCTACGAAGGCAGGCTCTTTACCCTTGTACACAAATATCTCGAATGCTTGACTAACTAGTCACGCGACAACTAGGCTGTCTCATTGTTCGCGTAGTGGATCACAAATCGGTCTCGCAGCAAACGCGGAAATCAAGTGTGCCCTCATCGAATGACAGCAATACTCCCTTTTCTATACATAACTATAACGAGCACGTCACACCGTCCGCTTATGTACCATATCCGAAGCTGAATCAGTTGACCTCGGAGAAACCCGCTGCAAAGGAAACGACGTCTGAGAGTCAGCCGGAAGTCAAGGCGGGCAGTGAGCAGCCTGGTAACTCGGACTCTCAAACTTCACACAATGAATCGAAAGTTGCACAATCCAAACAGCCTTCCAAGCCCCGGGTTTTTACTACCGTCTTGCATCCTACACCGCGTTCACTTCAGGCCGAGCTGACTCTTCTCGCTACTACACCCGACCCGAAAGCAGCCAAGCAGACTGCAGCGGCTTCGGCATCCCGCCCGCAAGGGTCTTCTTCCGCCGCACCCTCTCCAGGAGCAGCCGCCAACCCGCAGCAGGATCGCATGCCGCCAGCGAAAAGACAGAAGATGCTTGTAGAACCACAGGATCTTTTGGAATGTGAAGCCAGGTTGACGAGGGCAATGGCCCCACCGCTCTACCTTGAGTCCGTCAGTAGCCTCGATGGAGTACACGATTTGTTGAAGCACATGGAGAGTCCCCTCCATTGCGATCCACCGCCGTCACCCAAGCGAAGAAAGAGGACTGTGGCCGAACTTGCCGCTGACGAAGCTCTGGCAGCCGAGGAAGAGCGTTTCATGCTGATCATGGATGAGCGTCTAGAGCCAGCTACTTCGAATGGTGTCGGTGGGCCGAAATCAGCCGTGGTTGACGACACCGGGGGTGGTGCGCCGTTCGAACCGCGCTTCTCGAGATTCAAGACTCTTGAAAACATCCGCTTGCAGCATGAGGAGAAGGCGAAGCGAGAACATGAGATCAAGATCAAGCAGGATCTGGCCAAGCGGCAGCAACAGGAGCAAGAGAGAGAGAGACGCCGTCTTGCTGAACAACGACAAGCCGAAGAGCTTGCTAAGGAAGAGACTCGAAGACAACAGCTCGCCGCGCAGCAAGCTCAGGCTCAGCTGGCAGCGCAACAGCAGACTCGACACGCCATTGCTCAGCAGAATGGGGTCAGTCAAGCGCCACAGTCGTCTCCTGTCGTTCGCAATCAAACTCCTCAGCACATTTCATCGCCGGTCGTTGGCGCCACAAGGACTACGCAAGCTGGGGTTCCTATGAGCATGACTTCTTCTATGCAGGGAGCTGGAAGCCCTCCGAGACCGCCATCGGCGATGCAGCACGCGCATCCCGTCATGGGTCATCCGATGGCGCCTTCAAGGAGTCAGCAAGGACAGAGCCGCCATGGCACACCACAAATGACCCAGGGTACACCCGCCATGTCTCATGCCACGCCAATCATGCGAAACGTAACACCGACACAGCGGATGAGCCACGCCAGCCCGAGCCACTCGACAATGGCACCTACGCCAATTCTGAACCAGGCTACCATGATGGCGACCCCGCAAATGAGCAACGGGATGGCTCTCACACCCCAGCAGCAACAACAGATGCTCATGCAGCAACGGAATCAACTCCTCGCCCAGCAAGGAATGCTTCATGGCCAATTCTCACCCAAGGTGACTCAGATGCAAGCGAATGCACATGCACAGCAGAATATTCAGGCCCATCAGCAGCAACAGCAGCAGCAGATGCAAATGCATCTACAACAACAACAGCAGCCACAGCAACAACCAGGCCAGCAAGCCAAGTTCCCCAACCCTCAAGCCTACCAAACTCAGTTGATGCGTGCACAGCTTGCGCAGATGCAATTGGCTCAACAGCAGCAACAGCAGTCGCAAGGTCAACAAGCTCAAGGCCAGCAGGGACAAATGCATCAGAACGGCTCGCAAATGAATCCTCAACAACAGCAAATGCTGATGGCAGCGGCACAGGCCAACGGAGGTCATCTACCGCAGAACATGCAAGGTGTGAACATGACTCAGGGTGTGACCATCGCCCAGCGATACAACCAGTTATACCATGGACGCTTGCAGCGGTTAAGACAAGAAATGGCCAGCCGGTTGATGCCTCAGTATGGACCGCCAGCCTCGTATCCTCCGCAAGTTGCACAACAGTATCAAGCTGGGCTTGAACGCAATGCCAAACTTTGGGTTCAGGAATTGATGCGTCGAGAGCGGGAGCAAGCCCAGCAGCGTGCTTCTCATGCGGCCGCCGTTCAAGCTCAAGTGATGCAACAGCAACAGCAGCAGAATATGATGCAAAACGGCATGAAATAGCTGCGGGGTTGTCGGAGTGCAGAGCAAGCTCTCCTCATTCCACGTTTTCTATTCTCTCTTTCAAGCGAACAAGTGTGACAGCACTTGTCCCTTAACTTCTCTTCATTCTCTTCTCCATTTTGTCTCGATCTCACATATTTGGACCTCTAACTACTACACGATACCAACCTGCGACACTACGTTTCTCCACACTACTACATCCCAACCACCGCTTATCTCGAGGCCTTCTGGTCCAAATATGTCGAGTATCGCTCTTCATTACCTTCATACCCATTTACCTACTTACTTGCTTACACCCCTACCTCTATGATTGAGACTGTGCATACGACATTGGGAACTCGCGTTAAAAGGAGATCGGGTTGGCGTTTTTGTCTCTTACAGTTTTTACCCCCCATCTTGCGATATATTTCTTCTGGTTGACTGTTTCTTGCCGTTCTGGTTTGTGCTTGGCGATACTGTGTACTAACTTTGGGAGGAAAGGAAAGGGGGGCGGGACATTGACATTTGAGCTGCTGATTTCTGAATATTGTTTTGAATTCTATGTTATCATCTCACTTCGGGGAACAGGGTAATCCTACTTTACAGACTTGATACCACTTTTTGTCCAGGGTTGTCCCCCTTTCTTTTTGCGTTGTTGTGCCTTTCTGACTTTAGTTTCTCTGCGTTCTGTACGTGTGAATCTTCGACCTGTTTGGTCAGTCGCAGGAAGGAGCTGGCTGATTGGTTGGCCTGTCGACTTTTCAGGCGATGGTTGGTGGGCACGGGTTGGATTGATATACTACTATCTAGTACTTTTCTCCTTCTACTTTCCACTTCGACTTCTTGACTCTTTTTTACTATAGTGGTTTGGGGGTGAGACTTATGGCGAAATGTAACAAGTCGGAGGCTATGTAGATTTAGCAGGCATCAGTAGGCCATTTCCCCTTCCCTTAAGCCAACTTAAGAAGTCATAGAGTGGCTAGAACTAGCCTCCATCGAAGCTGGTAATCACCACGGATAACGGAAGATAATGTCCTACACTGTCGTCGCAATAGCGAGAGCATGTAAGCAACGTCTTCAGCATGAAGCCCCCCTTTTACTGTAACACACACCAGCTTTGTCTGATCGAGAGACGAGAACGAGGCACAAACGACCCTCGAGAAAGTACAGTGAATGTATCAGTCTTCTCATGCAAACCAGACCTCACCTCATCTTCACGGAAATCATACCAATGCAATAAACCCGCCCGCCCTCCAAATCATGGTCCCTTCGCAGGATACTTTCACCCCCCATCTACCTACCTACCTACCTACCTATCCTTCAACAGAATTCGATAATCCTGTCTTCACAGAAGGGAAAAGAAGAAAGAAGGACAAATGCACCCTTCGCGGAGAAACAAAATGGAAAAATAAAGACCACACACCATCCGAACCAATAACTATATGACCTCATAACACACGAGTTTTGGTGAATCCAGCGGGGTTAGAGAGTAGGAAGATATTTAGATACCAAGTCATGCAGATGGGTTTTCTTTTCCTCAAGCTGCGAGAAGGAGATGGGCTTTTCATTCTTAATTTGTATACCGGCATACTAATTTAGCCCTGGATACTTGCTAATACTACCGATAGCTCGACGCGCACTTTAGGACTTATATACTTATCCGATGGTGTCACGGTGATACTATGCTTTGGAAATTTGAAACAATCACAAACCAAGTGGGAATTGGAATCGTGAATCGAGTAGACTGTACTGTACTTGCATGTACGACTTTTACGTGATTTGCTTCTGAGGCTTGGATTACTACTAGTAGGCGTCGGAGGGTCCGAGCATGGATATATAACGAGGTATGGTCTGTCTCAGTCTGAGTATGGATTTCAAAGTGAATCACTTCCATGAAGTCACATCTTGAAATAGAAAGAGAGGAGGATTTACTGTAGATGAAGGGGAAAAATGAATAAGTGTTCTTGTCAATCGGAAATTGAATGCTACACATAGGAGTCATCTACACCATAGCATATATACACTACGTAGTGAGCAGTGAGGGAATGCCTCAGGCGTTCAAAACACCAGCATGGCCTCACCACAAAACTCAAAGAAGAATAGGAAGAAAGAGCCTGGTGTTGGTTGCGACCACTCGACAATCATTGAACTGTACCCTTTGTAGTACACCGCCTGGACTGCCTAGAACTCACCATAACAGGGAACCAAATCTCTTTGTCATGATTATTGTCCCTCCTGCGACCGCTAGGAGTGCAAATGGCGGTCCACCTGTTCTTACCCACTCCATGCACGTATGGGGGTGGGCGCGATAGAGAAGGGACAGACGATCTCCGGCTCTAAACTGATCTACGGATCTACGATGATCTCCACTGCGTCAACTTCGACGTCCGTGCACCGAGGAGCGGGGCCAGAAGGTCCAAGATTCTGGACGAAAGAAAAGTATACTGGGTGGTATGGTGTTTGACAGTGAGCTGCAGGGTGGAAAGCGCTGGCGTACGTACGTGCCAGTGTATGCGAAAATTTCGCATATGAAAGGACAAGTTGTGGCAAAAGTCCGTCTGTGGAAGTGATGTGTGCGCATGAACCGCGACGGACGATATGGATGGCTAGGTTTTAGGTGGACTGTCTGCTGCACATTCCAGAGAGAAGGATAATTTAATTTGCTGGTCGGAGTCCGAAGAGGAACAACAGACTGGGCAGGAGTACGCGCTAGTTAGTGAGGGTTGACTAGGTTTGGGTTCCTTGGATCAAAACGGTCTCATTGTCTCTTCTGGGACATAGGCTCTGCGCGCTGTGAGGTCGAGAAGTTTCTGGTTGCTTTCCATCAGGTACAGACTCAAAGCTCCGAGAGTCAGTTCGCAACCCCTGGCACTAGAAAACGATCCAGGTTAATTCAGTGTATAAGAGTGATAGTGACTGAAGTTGTGAGCATGAAACCTGATTTCCAGCCAATAGTGCGCCGGGAGCACGGCGCCTCAGAGAATCAATAAACTGACGTAGTGAAGAATGAACGACTGCGAAAACTCGGGGCTGGTCTCACACGCCTCGTCGCAGGCCCCGTTTCCCCCAGAAAGCCACCGCCGTTGGACCAAAGCGGAAGGATGGGCGGTATCGTGCACGAGTACGTGGGGTTGGTGCTGCTGATGCGAAAATCCCAGATGGTATAGCCTATGCACGCTGCCATAGGTCAGAATCAGGAATGAGTCCCCCAACGCCAATGCAATGCAATGCAATGCAACTCAAAATGGCGATATTGGGTGGGCAATGGTTGGATCGAGAGCCTTCTGGTGCGGACTCGTTGATTGGGGGCTTTCGAACTCGAATCACCGCGACGCAAGGGGCGTGCCTTTAGAGGTTGGATCGCCGCCCCCTGGAGAGCCAACTCCACCTCGCCCTCGAGAAGCGATGGCTGTGAATAATGATGATAGGCTGTTTCTTGCAGCAAAGTCGATCGATCGGGAATAGAACGAAGCACGGGAGGTCGCGCAGCAGTTGAGACACGAATGGACCCTGATTGTGCGATTTTTGGTAGTGGTCCTGAGTCTCTTGATTTGCTGATACTGGTGATAATAGTTCCCCCCTCCAACCACTCAATCGTTTCTATCTCATTATCCCATGAATACCTTGGTTCGTCTGCAGTAGCCAATCAATAATTCGAGTGGCTTCAGGGGCAGATTCGAATGCATAGGAACGAAAAGACCCAGCATTAATCGTCATTCATGACTATGTCAATGATGTACAGTACCTGCATTGAAACAAGGTAAAGCCGTCGCCCAAGCATTTCAGGGCATCTGCGCAACATGATGCTTAATGATTCCATCTACGTCGACCAAGTAAGTTAGGGCTAAAGACGATACGACAATTAGTCATAAGAGCACGACCGTGGATCAAGTATCAAAGTCTTGCACAAAGCGTGAGGGATCACTTGTTTCACCGTAGCCATGGGAAGAGATCTTGAGGTAAAGACCATTGCCGACATTCGCTGAGTCAGTATGGCACGATCGGATCTGTGGCATAGATGGTTTATTGACATCAGAATTCAATATCTTGACTTCGTCTGTGCTAAAATTATGGCGACTTTCTCGTGAGCTCAAGAATGGGTAAGGCTCATGGCTATCCACAATAAAGTTGAGCGAGAAGGATTAAGATTGACTATCAGATTATCTTGGGCTTCGACCACGAACCACATTGCTTTTCTTTGATCAGCTAGAGCTGGCCACAACACAGGCTACACAAAGCTCTCACTCTATCCATTTTGTGGTTCTATCAAGACTCAATGCAAAGAACAGACGCAAGGCGCTGGCCAATTTTGCCGATAGGCGCGAAGAAGCTGAGGAAGCTTGAGAGGAAATTTGAGGACATAGATTAGAGCAATCTAGCAATGGAAATTCTGCGTAAGGGCTTCTATGTAGAAATTCCCAACGTCTTCTCGGAATTGGAGAATTCGGTCAGTGGGGCAGCCGTTGATGTCTTCTTCTGTATCTGTTCTTCTCTTAAAGATCTGCAGGTCAGCCATTTTCTCCGCATTCGGAACGGAAGAACGTCGCGAGAGATTTCCCAACCAGTTTCAATATATTGGCCGCTGTTACTCGGTGCTCTAGGGTCTCAGTGAAGGAGATGTTGATCATTCGAAACAAGATCTACCATGGCCTTGGCGGTAATGGTATTGGTAGATTCGAATCGATCAATTCATCACAAGCACCCTTGCACGGTTGATCCGGCCCGACTCCTTGCCATCCACAGGCCCGTGCTGCAGGGCCTCCTAATTGGGTTACCGAGACTTTGAATTATCGTTGAGATTTTGAAGACAAGGACAGCAACATGGCGACCGCAGTGAGCGAGCTTCTCATAGACGTTTGGGAAAGTACTCGACACGGGCGTCCACTTCCTATGTTTACTTATGGCTCCTGCAAATGTTCACGAAATCAGGCAAGAAAGCGGTAGACAACTGGCTCTGTATGCCATTAGTTTGGGACTTTTGGCAGCATCAGCTGACCATGCAGATACATCTTCGAGGCGGTCGGGAAGAATCAAGGAAGTTGCTGCACCAGCACCGGTGGAGGAATTTCGGCAGTGGACGGAAATTTGATCCCTTGATGGTCCGATTCAATAAAGTAAGAATCACTGTGTGCACAGCTTCTCCGTATTGAGAGGGAGATCCGGGGTTTGGTGGAGACTAGTTGTAGCTAGCTCTAGTGATAAGACAGCCACACCGGTATCCTTGACGTCACTGGTATTTATTTTCTCCTAGGGACGAAAATAGTCAGAGGATATAGGGCGAACAAGCAGGCGGAGGGGCAGCAAGAGATCA